TTTGTAAATACTACTGGTACTTTGCAGAGATGAAACCATGGAGGAAGTGGAAGCCTCAGTCGCGGTGACTTCACAAAAACATCAGGACCAGATGAGTGCGGATTTTTTGTGTTCGTGGAGCAGAGGCTTCAGTGACAGAGCGCTGCGAGGAGTCTTCAGAAAACCAAGGACTTTCACATGCTGGTTGCCTAGCTGCCATTTTCAAGCTGGTTTCAAGGACTCTGGTGCTGCTTTAATGCATCAGGGCCATAAAAAGTATAAATATTCAATTATGAACTATGAACAAGCACCAGTTCACATCAGTTAAGAGCTGAAAATATAGCTGCAGCTAACAGTCTTATTAGTGATCGAGTAATCAATTTGTTCTTTGACTACATATTACATATATGTTTCTGAGAAATGCATGAATCAAAGTTAAAATTAATACATGATTTTTAAATAAGAAAGTATTTTTCCCACAGCTGCCCTGGGGCAGACTGACAGAAGTGAGGCAACCAGTTTTTACCATTGGCCCCCTCAGATTACCACCAATCATTCAGGCACTCACCAGATTTTTACAAGGCACTTTCAGTGCAGTCTAGCGCAACAGAGAAACTACTCAGTGAGAAAAAAGTTCAGATTCATCAAGTTGTGTAACTATAGACATGCAGCTCATGTTTAAAACGCATATCAGTTGGAGCTCTTCCAAATCCCACAGGCATTAAGTGACAAAAATAATAATAATAATTAATAATAATAATAAATACCAGAAAAATTAAATTAATCATTCTCTAATGGACCACAAATCACAATATACATACAACATGACTGTGCCCAGTTAATAATAATAATAATAATAATAAATGTTTATTTTTTTTTACAATTTTTGATTAATAACATATCACAATAATAATAATAATGATACATTTTATACACATCGTGATGCACAGCAGTTCATCAGCTGGACTTAAACAACACAAGGCCCTCATCCAAAAGGTGCCTGTGGTCAGGTTACTTAATTTACTTCCACAGAGTATCAGCAGCTTAGGGGGCCTAAATTAGCCCAGCAGTGAGCAGTGGACGAAAGACTATGGAGTGGCTGAGACCTCATTAGTTCCAACAGCCACATCCACAACATATGTAAGGAAAGACGCTAAGAAACTAGTGACACCACAGCAGCCCCTGAGCCAGTATCCATGTCTAATCTGTCAACACATTTCCACGCCAGCATCTGACACATTTCTATTACCAACGGCATGGTGCGCACAATTATTCATAATGCAATGGTACATGCATGATCATTTATGTATGAAATGGCAACTCATTTACATGATTAATAAGAAAAGGAGTGTCAAAAAGTTTTCCAACGCAGGACATGTTTCTGGAAGTTTCTACTAGACTTCACTAGAATTTTAGCTGAGGGGAGATTTGGTCCTGGCTCAGAAAAACCTTGTTCTAGTCCTTCCATAGCTTCCTGTCCTGGCCTACTTTTGAAAGTTGTTCTATAACATTAAATCAAAACAATACATACAAATAAATAATAGCACATGCTCTCAAGCTATGGTCATCAAACACTTTATTTGGAATAAATATGCAAACAATAGCATCAAACAATAACACAAAATATGAAGGAATTAGCGGGACATTATTCAATCGATAGGGAAGCACAATTAGAAGAGATTACCCATGTCTCTTCCCTTTAGCCAGGCCTTCCCAATCTTAATCCTTGGGTCAAGCTGCAGGTGGCCCATTTCAACCTTGCTGTGCTCTCCGTGTGGCCTACTTTAGACACTGACTCATGGCCAATGAGGATTTATAATAATGAAATTACACAAGAACTTTTTCACTGATCTCGCAGCAACCGTTTCAAGCTATCATCAGTTTGAAGTGAACATCTTGTGGGTGTGGGCTCCTGTCTACGTTGTTACAATGAGCTGAATGTAAATTGATGCCTCGAGGCCAAGTTACAGGTGAGATCTGTGAAGAATGGAAGCCCACTCACAGTCGAGCTGCCGGCCGAGGCATTGTCCTTAAAAAATATAGCACCTAAGATAGTTCTAAATCTAATACCATTTTCAATTTCTGTTTTCATGCAGGCCTCTCAAGATGCCTTTGATGGTATATTACATGTAAACAATATTTTTATATTGTTGATAGTATCTTAACTATTGTATGCCACTGATGCAAGTGCAATGCAGCAGGATGACTTTCTTTATTCTCAATCTGTTCATTTAATTTGAAAAAAAAATCATGTGTCGATCCAGATACAGCTCAAACAAAATAGTTTAAAGAATCTGAATGAAGAGACAGTAAATATTGAGATTCAAAATGTATTGGACAGAAAGCCACAACATTTGGCCTTTTTATAATATACAGTCTATATATTCGAGTCCCATATTAGGTAAGAATTGAGGCGGTTGCTAATGGATACTGGCAAGGCGTAGTCGCAGTAAACAATGTCACCAGTATTACTAGTCATGACTGCATTGACAATAGAAGGTAATCATAATAATAATAACTTGAATCATTCTCGAACCAGAACAGCTGGTCAGACCGAGAGAATTACACAGTTGACATTTCCTTGATTAGAAATTGTAGCAAAGAGCCTATTTGTTTGAGTAATACAAACACATTTATTACAAACCAAATGTGTAGCATAAGGAGGCGTGCGTGTACGTCTGTGGGCAGAGACGCGCGGTTTCTCTTCCCACTGGTCATTGTCAAACTGCAAGTAAAGATAATGAGTCATGCTGCTATTCAAAAGTCTTTTCTCACATTGAGTGGAACCTTGGGGAAATCAAAGGCCCTACAGGTAGGAGCTACATCTGCCGAGGTGTCGACTGCACATGATTCATTTGTATGAACATGTAAAATAAAATAGACAAGCCGTCAAAAGCTGTCACGTTACTAAAGTTATGCAGAATGACTATGAGCAAATTTTTGAACCTTAAAAATTTTGTACGGACTCCTAATGGGGTCATACTCTTTTGGTTCTCTGCGTGCAAGAAATTTGTGCCTTGCAAATCAATTTCATCTTATAGTTGTACATTTATAATTTATTGCTTTCTCTAGTATTCTGCAACGGCAGTTTCTGAGCAGCACATGGTTTCCTATGGCGTGAATTTTCATTTTAGCTCCAACATCAACGATGAGAAATTCTGTGTGTATAAAAAGGCGTTTTGTGTTTTGTAATTATAGCACGCAGTAAGGATTTTTGACAGTAGTGTGGGGGGTTTGCCTTATGTTTAAAATAAATATGTATGGAGCAGTAGGTATTTTATAGGAGCTTTATAGACTGCATTTATCCCAATGTATTCCAATGGGTGTACTTTGCTGATTTAATAAAAATAGTATTCTAGAAAAACAAAACAAGCTTCTCTATACGTAAATAAAGAAGCTTAGCGTGCTCCTTTTGGTCATATATAAAAAGGTTGAACTCGTGACAGACATGCTTGTTTAATTAATTAACTTATTTTAACTTAATTTATGAACCACCATTCACGCTGTACAGTCTGCAAGACGTATGTAAACTGGACTTATATAGACCTAACATCAACATTATACAATTGTAATAACAGTTGTTTACCACATATATGTATAACTTGTCTTGAAGATGTGGCTATAGATACAAAATTGGAATAATAAACAAAATAAAAACAGAAAACCTATTCAAAATCATGCTCAATAAATGTTCTGCCCTTCTCTGACAGATAACAGCCCCCAATGTGAAGGGAGAAGCATGGGAGCTGCTCTGTGCTGACCGGTTGTCCCACTGACATTTGAGGGAGGGTTAAATACAACATTTCCCACTGGGACAATAAAGAGTCCCTCATAGTTAACATCAATGTACTTGTAAAGCATTGGAACAGAAATTGTAAGGGGCATTTTGTCTAATGGCATAGTGGTTAATTACCAGTATGTGTAAGCGTGATGTGCATATGAGAAAAGACAGTGGTTTTGTAAGATCATACTATGTCAAACTCATTTTTTGTCTGGAGCTAAGTTCAAAAACATAAGAGTTTGTTTACATATTGTATTTTGACAAATAATTTTTATTTGACATGAGTTTGGATATTATTTTCTAGTAGGTTTGGAATTAATCACAACGTTTATACAAAAATATATAGATTTAAGATTCATAGTTAAATATACAATAAATATATCTTTAGCCTAGCTCAACTTCTAATTACATGTTAGTTAAAATTTCAGGACAGATTCAATTATATGGCTGTTTTTCTGATAAAAGTATGACATGCCATAGTATCCCATTACAGCTGCAAATGATAATTGAGAAGCATATCAGGGCCACTAAAAATTGTCTTGCGAGCCGGATTTGTCCCACGGGCCTGAGTTTGACATGGCTGTACTACTGAATATACCACTTCCAGAGATATTGGCTTGATAAAACATTTTGTGTAGTATACCCCAACCCAAAACTCCAAAATCCTAAACAATGCAGACACCCATTATCAAATACTTTAAAGATACTTCCTGTAATTAGTTATCAACAGCAACATGTCTGGTGGACCACGACAGTCACACAGTTAAGCTCTGTCTGGGGATCTCCTTCAGGGGCATTAAGTCATTCACAGGAAAAAGGCTTTCAAGCAGCACTAACGGATCCAAAATAAACACAAGCATCACTGCAGGCCAGGAAAACAGAACTGAAACAACACATCTGCAACATTTCTATTCCAAAAACCAAGCTAGTAAATGGCGTGGCAGTAATTGGCAATAGCCCAATAGACCATGCAGTGATTTTTGAATGAACAGGAGGAAAAATCGTGTATGTTTTTGAAGACACGCGTAGGTTCTCCTCCTCTCCCAGAGCTGGCGTGTAAAGGCCGTGCTGATGCTATCACTGAGTGCATACATTCAACAGCTGTCAGCCCGAGCACCGAGCCCCGCTGTAGGGCAGGGTCTGGCGGTCTCTGGAGGTCCCCAAACGCGGGCTAATAGCTGCAAAGTTTGGCGTGTGGCTGCGCGCGAGGAGGCGGCGGCTGCTTTGATGGTATACTCACGTGCCAAGGACTTCCTTAAAGTCAAAGATTTTCTTGATATCGTCGACGTGTTTTTTCCACGAAGAGCCTTCGCCGGACTCGCCGTTTTCTTTCGCCATTTCGACGCGGCGGCGGCTTTGGGGGCGGAAAGGCTGGAGAGAAAGAGGAACACTGAGGAGCGGCTTCACCTCAGCAGAGAGACAGGCAAGAGACAAGGGAAGAGCCAGCCCCCCTTCGCTTCAAAACAAACTCAAGTGGTGCGGTGTGTGCCCGCTCGTCCCCGCGCTCCACGGACGCAGAGAGGTTCTTTCACTAATCTCTTTGACGTAGCGGAGCGGCGCGAGCTTCCACGCTGCTCAGTTCAGTGTGGCGGGGGAATACAGGCAATAAGGCAGTCCTCCAGAGCCGCCTCCTCCTCCAGAGCAGAGAGAGGCGGTGCGCGGTGAACTCAGGTCGGAGGAAGGCACCTGACGGTCTCTGCATCCAGGACCACACTAGACTACTGCTGCTGATGATACTACTGCTGATGATACGACTGCTGCTGATACTTCTGCAGCTGCTGGAGGGAGTGGGAGGCTGCCAAGCGTTTGTCCAAAGCCACAAAGTCAAGCACTGCGCCAAAACTCCCTTGGATAGAGCCTGATAAACCAACACTTACAATAAGAGTTTTTACCCTAAACAAAAACCCAAAAATATTTTTCAGTCACACTGACCGCCCCGCGCTGCCGTGTCATTTTGACTCGGCTTTTTAACCACCTTTGGACCTAGTCTTTTTGCCGAATGGTGTTGAGTGTAAACAAGAGGACAGAAGATGGGTAATAGACACCAAACTGTTTTATCACTGGTCATTTATTGCACTGTTGCACATTTTATTAAATAGGTATTTTGCAAGTTTTGTTTCAGCAAAACCTACAAGTAAATATAGAAATATTTAAAGTATTAAAACGATATGGCTCTTAAATTAATTCATAAAATTAATTTTAAAAAACGTATTTTTGCAGATTCTGTCAGCTTCCTCATAAAGACACGTCATGCTTGTGCCTGCGTCAAGAGAAGTCAGGGGCCTAGTTAGGATATAGATACATAATATTGTAGGCCTATAGTTGATTCAAAGAGTTTGTGATGCTTATCACCTGTGATGAGGACATTTTGCACATTACACAATGTGCAAAACAAAGATTTTATTTAGACTTTTTTTTTTTTTTTGTTACCCAAAGTTCACACACAACTGTGAAGTGAAAGCAAAATGATGCAAAAAAAATACAAAATTGAAAAGTTAGGCAAGCACAAGTATTCATACACCATGAGGTAATACTTTGTGGAACTCCCTTTTGCAGCAAGCAAGTCTTTTTAGGTATGACTACAAGATTTGCACATCTAGAGACAGAGTTTACTCTCTTTACTAAACTTGAGCTCAAATTAGATGAAAACCTGTTCACAAACGCTCTCCAAGTCTTTTCACAGATTTTTATTTAGGTCTCGACTTTGACTGGGCCATTCTAACACATGAATTGGTTTTGTTTTAAACCATTCCACTATCGTTTTAGCTGAGTGTCATTATCCTGCTGGAAGAAATCTTTGCCCCAGCCTCAATTTTCCTTAAAAATGTTCCCGTGTTTGGATCCATCCATCTTCCTAGTCCCCACTGAAGAAAAGCAGTCCCTCGCATGATGCTCCCCCTCCATATTTGACACTAGGAATGGTGCACTCAAGACGATGAGCAGTGTTAGGTTTGCGCCATCATGTAAAACGTTTTGTCTCATCTGACCAAAGCACCAGAAGTTATCGGTGTCCCCCATATGACTTCTGACAAATTTCAAATTAGGTTTCTGGTGTGAATCTCCAGCAGTTATTATTTAATGCACTCAGAAATAACTGTATGAATACTTGTGCAGACCCTTCTTTTCACTTTTCTATTTTCGTGTATCATTTTACCTTCACTTCATAGTTTTGTTACTTGTGTGTGAACTTGCAGTAAAAAAAAAAAAATCTATGTATATCTATATTTATGGTTGTAAACATGACTAAAAGGTGCAAAAGTTCAAGGTGGATGAAGTACTTCCCAGAGGCACTGAACAACCTAATGAAGCCAGCTAAACTTCTATAATTATTTACTTTGGTGGTGCATTGCTGCAGTCATTAGCATGTCCTCTAGTGACAGCAAAATACCATCTCAGACACGATGTGATCACATAAGGTGGTGCACATTTGGAGTGGCAACAAATAATAGTGCCATGGACTTGTAAAGCACTTCACAGGCTTGAACTCCTTCACTGTGTCCCTCCGACCACCACCAACAAACAGTATACTGCGGCATGCATTTGTTTGCATCTCAGAGAGCTTCCAGTTCATTCTTAAACCAAATATGATTCAATCTCAAACCACTAACTAAAGTTTACAGGTACATCAAGTTTTATTGCAGGTTTGATTACTTCAAGTTGAGATAGAGGCAAAATGGCTGCTTTTAAATAATATTTCCCTATTCATTTAGAGGACACCATTACCAATATTAGAGTAACAAATGCACCGTGAGAAAATATTCAAATTTAATACTCTGGTTTGGTATATGTACATTAGCCCTTCAGTTATTTCTCAATCAAGTCTATGTAAACAAACATGATCTACAAATAAACCACACATTTAAATATGTAGTCCTAAAATATATCTCAAATATCTCACAATCACAAAGAAAATCTTGTTCAGAAACAATTTCAAGTCCTTGGTTTAGTAACTGATATGCTTGGTTATTTAACAGTGGCTCAGACAGATAAGCACATTCCAGGGACTGTAAGGGTAAAAGATTAATCGAGCCATCAAGGAGCCGGTTCCTTCTGAAGTCCGAAATAACCGTTTGCAGCAGTCTATGCGTTAGCCTGTGAACACTCTCAAAGTGTAATGTGCTTAGTAGATTGGGTTTGTTTTCAAAATTCATTAAAAAGGTGAAGTCTAAAGTCTTCTCATGGCCGCAAGCTAAAAGTGAAATTTAAAATGGCGTGAGTCTAAAGAATGAAAAAAAAAGACATTATTGTTGTTCAAGTATCACTACAACAGGTCCCAACGCTCAAACACTGACCAGTTAAGATTCCCAACTAAAAGGTGTTCAAAAAGAGCAGGTTTGTTGTAAAGAGTCAGTTTGGTGGCAATTTGGTTTCAGGAGAAGGTAGAGTTCAGGATGGCTTCTTGTTGTTGATGATGAAGGATGCCGATGCCCACGGCCGGAGCGGGCAGGGCCGGACGGCTGACGAGGCGGAGCTAAAACAGACATTATGCTTCAATGTTTGAGGAATTTGACACACATCTGTATCCTCGCCCCAAAGAATACATTGAAATTGATTAATCGCAACTAATGATATATTGAAATCCTAAAATGGGAGCCATACAAGGACTGAAAAATGCTAAGAGGTTTTTACCTTTACCATTATAATGACTACAGAACAACATGGAATGGTTTTTTAAAAGAATGTTATAAAAGTTAATATTTGTTTTGGTGCAATTTTGTTAAAGAATACAATATTAGACTGATTTCAATGCAATCAATTGATCTAAATACTGCCCTTACACATAGATGATTAAAGTTACTGTAGATTTGGAGTTCTTTAGCTTGTTTTAAGGACCTTTTAGAGATACTGGAGCCACAGTCTTATTCATAGGATCATAACACGTCTAGTTATGAATTATAATTCTTGACACCAAAATACCAAATCACTAAGAACATCCCTAAATTATTTGTTAATTCAAAAACGTGCAAAAATGTCTTGTGTTCGACGCCTGTGTGACACATCGGATGAAGCCAGTTTTTTGTGGCCCCTGAAATCATTTTAATTTATGTTCAATTATTATGTTAGCCCTCATTATAAAAAGGTAGTAATAATAATGTATATTAATCTATCTTAAAACTTTAATCCAAAACATACATCAGTATATACATGCTTAAAAAGGTTAAAGAAATAAATTATTCGATAGATATTAATTTTCTGTGTTTTTACCTTGCAGGCCAGTTGCTTCTCAAACCTAGGACCTACAAAAGACCAGGGCCCCATATTTTCAGGCTCTTCTTGACTCCAAACGAACTCTGAAACACAACATTGAAGAAGATTAGTGGGTCGTTGAGAATCAAAACTACATATACCTGTTGATGCTATATATATATATATATTTTTTTTTTTTCATAACTTTTTCACCATAACATGTTACTAGATTTGTATAATCTCTCACTGCACAACTATTTGATTCGTATGGGAGCTAATAGAGTTTAATGGAGCTGCAAAAATAAAAACCATAAAAACCTGTCAAACAAGGCATGCAGAGAGGTTATATTTGGAAAGAGACTATTTCACTTCTCGCTAATATAAACGGGCCCCTCTATTACACAAACACAACTTTGCCCTCTCAACCCCGCCAGGAAGAAGTTGTGGCTGCTATTTTTTATTTTCCTCGCTCTGAAAATGAACCGCACAGTTTTGGAAAGGAAATTATTAAAGATATGTTTGTTTGGTTCAATTATTTATACATACATTACATAGATACGTTTATTATACAACTTTATTCACTGATATTGTACAAGGCTCAAGCTCCAACTGCAGAAGTCAATCCACCCGAGTCAAATTCTCTGACCATTTTTATAATATATTATAAAAATGAATCTTTATTCCATACTCAAGGTCCATATAAAATACAACACAAAAACACCACAAGACAGACTGTATTTTACTTTAACTATTAAATTCAGCTGTTACCTTAGTTCACGGTTTATGAATGTGTGTTAAAAGATTGAGATGTCTTTTATGAGGAAGCCACGTTGCAAAGATTGTAAACTAATGAGGGGCTATGATGATAATTTCATACACAAATTCATGCACCGTCTTGAGATCCCCAATACAATAGAGCAGACGTTAAGTTAAGGTGGACTTACGTTGGTCTTATTGAGCACTCGGAAGAGAGAGTTCTCTGTATTCTTGTTGTTGTATAATTATGGAGGAATTTACTTCAGAGCAAAACGACATGAACTCAAATCAGTTCAGTTAAATATATTCTTGTATAGCTGTCAGACTGTATAACTAGAATTGCTGAGTCTGTACAAGTCACTGATAATAATTCACTGGTCACTTTACTGGCGACAGTAGCTCAGTTGGTAGTAGTAGTTAAGGCCTGAAGGTCGTGGGTTCAATTCCCACCTCTACACCTTCTTCACCATCTCCCGCTGATGACTGCTGTCGTTGTGTTCTTGGGCAAGACACTTAACCCCACTTTGCCCAAAAGCCCCCACTGAAAGATCAAGGCTATGCTCACACTCAGAGAGCAGCCGTCCTCCTGTGGACTCACCACCTGCAGAGGGTCAGTGAGGGGCTGGTGCTATGAGACTTGGGTGGCATCTCTGACTGCCACCCCCCTGACCCAGAAATGGATTAAAGGGTAGAAAATGGATGGATGGATGGATGGTCACTTTACCTGTTTTTATTACTATTACTGCACTACTACATGTCCATTCATCTGATATTTGTGTCATCTAATATTCACTTCACCTGCTGATATTGTTACTATTGTCATATTCTCTGCTGCTAAAGTACAATATACAAATATGAAAATACCTCTGAACCAAGTGCAATTATAGCTCCAGAGATTTATTTTATTTTATTGTATTCTACTTTACTTACTATTTTAATGTTATAGTCTATTACACAAGTTGACAGCCAAAAAATGGTCAGGGGTTTCTCAACTGATTTAGACAAATTTTGGTGTTCTGAGTCCGAATATCACATGCATTTTGCTCTATCAGGTCAACTTTTTGAGATACAGCCATAGTGTAACGGATTATGTACGTCTACGTTATTATGAATTCTGCTTATCAAATTTGATGGAGTAAATAAAAACTGAATGACTTTGGATAAGTTGACTTTTATTTCTTGAGGAAAACGGAAAAAACGTCAAGGGTTTCTCAGCTGATGATCCGCGGAAATTTGTTTTTTTTTACGCAAAATCGATTAAAAAAAATATTTCTGTAGCAGAAATCCTGACCTGATTGAGCAAAACCAAGGTCATTTTCGGACTCAGAGCATCAAAATTAAGTCTAATTCAGCTGGAAAACCCTGGACTATTTTCAAAAAATATTTGTTTGTTACCCAGTGTTATCTTTAATAATAGACTGTTGGATGTGTGCAGTCTGAGTGCTCTTATTTCCTTCTGTTCCACTGCTGTAACGTGCGCAACGATGACAATGAAACTTCCCCACTGTGGCACGAATAAAGGAATATCTTTTATTACTGTTTATCCGAGATAACAACAGTAGTTATCTCGGAGAACTACTGTGTTGATAAATGTCCATAAATGTTGTAAAATCAGTAAATCAAGTCAAAGTTATTGCCATTCGCCTCTTTGCGAGTAAACGCCCGACTGTTCAGATGCCTGGATAAAGTTTCTGCTATAACCACTGTCGATATTGTATTTTGTTTGTTCGTGTACTTTAGAGAAACGGTTGCTTGTACCTTTAGCGTTGGGGTATTTTGCGAGCTCCTGCTGCAGAGCCTCCAGTGGAAATGGACACAGCTCCTCCAGTCTGATCAGAGCTGTGTTGGCAGCCGACGCCTCTCTCTGCTTCAGTAAAGCATAGTAATGCTTCCCTGAGCACAGCACCACCCGCTGGACACTGCCCACAACAACAGCAAAACAAAGCGTTTCATTTGAGGAAATTTAAAAAAATGCTCAAATACACCAATAAATGTCTTGGGTGATGATTTACCTTTCGGGTGCGACAATGCTATTGCCCAGTACTGGTTGGAATGAAGTGCCTGGTGCCATCTCACTCAAACTGGATGCTGCCCCCTGAATAATCCCAATCATTAATTAGTATGTCATTTCATGGATGTTTTGTTGAAATTTTGACACTGACAGAGAATCTTAACAGAGTCTTGGGTCCGACCACAATGAGAGGTTTTCGGAAGTTTCTAATCATCTGTCTCCGCAGCAGGTGGAAGTATTGGCCTGAGGTGGTCGGGTTGACTACAGACATGTTCACCGTGTCTCCATCAACTCCATCCAGTTTACTGTCACACATCTGAGAAACATAAACACAGGACAGTAATTAATAAAGTAAATAATTGTTATTCAAGTGTGAAACAAGTGATATGCAACATTATATGCAAACTTAGCAAATTAAATTTTGGTACCGCGTTAATGATTGCTTTAATTTTTCATTGAATAAATTAAACATTTCTCCAAAGCAAACACCCATATTGTTATTGAGAAACACAGGGGATTTTAATATGGCTGAAGGGGCTGGAACTGCACATGCTGTAATATTGTCAGCTCCATAACATTCTCGTTCAAAGAACATACAGAATGATTAACTTTTAAAATAACTTCTGTGTATTGCTTTAAATTAATACAGTTGACGTATATGAAGAATAACAAACCTGTAAAAATCGCTCCATCCGACAGGACGAGTGCTCAGGACCTGCTCCATCGTAGCCATGGGGCAACAGAATGACCATCCCACACTGCAACAGCCACTTTGCTTCACCTGTCCACACATTTACACTTTTATATTACACCATTTTGACCAGGTTCTGGTAGAAAATTTAAATTATGTTAGCTCACCGCCAGAAATGAAGGTATCGAAGATAATTTGTGCACCATTGAAGAAGTCTCCAAACTGAGCCTCCCAAATAGGAAGAAGTTTAGGTTGAGCAATACTCATTCCATATTCAAAGCCAAGCACAGCCTCTTCAGACAGAGGGCTGTTGCACACCTAAACGGCACATGTAACCACCCAAATATTAAATAAATACATATATAAGTGTTAGTTCTATTTAATTCGTACTGACCGTCAGAGGGAGATGCAGAGTAGTGAATGATTCCCTGAGCACATGCAGTTTGAGTTAAAATGCCAAATATATCACACCTGTGACCTGTGCTATAATCCTCAATCATATGACATTCTTCTAGTTTCCTTCTTGTGAGTTAGTTCATTTGAAGTATTTGATTCTTTGTAAAAGCAATAAATACACATCGCTTATCAACTGGAGCCTTGCTACTACTAATTTATCAGTGGGAGTAACTGTGTCCAGAGTCCTTTTTGCTGGCTCTTGCAAATGCATGTTAGGCCTATAATCTAGCAGCTGGTGCCGCTCCGCCACTTTATTAGAGTTCATTAGAAAATACAATCAGCTACTGTAATATTATTGATTGAAGTCTTACCTCCGCCGTGCAGGTGCCGTTCGCACCACCTCTCCTCAGCTCATGGAGTTGACATATGGATGTCAATAAATTTGTTAAGATTACTTGCACATTGACTTAGAATTTCCTCAGTCTGGTGATGGCTGCGTGTGCGTGTCCTCTCCCAGCTTTATTGCTGCCACTGGATTATTCCTAACTGTATTGGTGTTTTACTTTGTTCCTCAGCCGGGTGAGGGCTGCGAGCACACGGGCCCTCTCAGAGCCGTTATTTCAGTGCCACTACAATATCACTAAATGTGTTACTCGCTCCTCTGCCTGAGGATGATGCTTGCGCAGGCCCTCTCTCACCTTCCTTATGACTTTACTGGTATTTGGTCATTCACCACTATGTATCACCCTCTGGCGGCCAGAGGGGATGAAATAGAAAAGTTACGTGTTCAACTACGGTTCTGTGAATCCCAAATCGCCACCAGAGCTTCCGATTACTCAGAACCCTTGTGGTCTCGTTGCAGGAAGTGTTGGGTGATGGAGGATTAAAAAGCCCTCCTATTGGTCATCTGGTAGTCACAGATGTGACATATTTGGTATTATTACACTCAAGGAATCTTTCTCTGGCGGCCACTTGGGATTCATAGAATCATAGTTGCAAATGTAACTACATAACGATGTAAGGATGTATACTATAGTATTTTGGATTGGTTTTTTACCTCCAAGAAGCCGGTTTGTTCAGGGCTGATGTTGTTTAGTGGGATGTATGTGTCGTTAGTTTCCTGACACACCACCATTGCGTGTCTCTGACTAAAAGTACCTCTTCCAACATCCTGTCCACTGATTCGAATATTAAAACCTGATAAAAAGGAGGTTATTAATTAATTATTGTCATAATTTAGGGAACATTTCCCAAACACAAACCTTGACACAGAAGAGAGCCAAAGGCTAGTGCTTCTGCTGTCGACCAGTCAAGTTTGGCCCCTTCTTCCAACTTCTGCAGCCGAGCCTTAGAGAAAAGAAAGATTTAGCTAAACATGTAAACTTCTTTAATACAAAAACATCTCAATCATTAAATACAAGCGTAGAGTGTTTTCTTTCGGGCAACTGGACAGGCACCGAGTTCATCACTATTAAATCTAGTTACACTAATTTATGAACCTGAAAAGTAAAGACAAATCATGTGTATATAGTACCTGTACATGAGTCTTTACTAAGTGGCTGTGGACTTGTGTATTCTCTGGGATGTTCACGGACTTTGCCCCTACAAACTGCAGAAGCGAGATAGGAACACCGGTGTCCCACTTGGTGACTTTAGCCTGGGGTTCTGCCAGGCCCCCCCATCGGCCCTGCAGGTTGGTTGGCGGGGGGCTGTACAGGGTCATGTTGGAGAGTTTTTCATTGAGCATGCCGTAGTGTGCTGATTTGATGCCATTACGCTCCTCTTCAGTCATCAAACCTTCTGCTATGAGCTGATCCGAGAACGAGTCTGGGACGCTTTTGCGAGAACTGCAAAAAGAAAAAAGGTAATGTTTATTCAAGGAAGGCCGAATACTTTTGGAAGAACTGTTTTAGACCATGTCATGAAATGTATTTACATTATAAAAAAGGTTGAATCGATCCTAACTAAACTGTTCAAATTGCAATTTGCATTTAAAAGGAGATCTTTGAAATGGCCGTACCGAATAATCTTGTACATAGCTGGGTTTGTGAAAAAGGGCTCGTCCAACTCATTATGGCCCCACTGGCGGTAACAGAGGAGGTCCAGGATGACGTCTTTGCGAAACGTCCGTTGATACTCTACAGCCAGACGAGTGGCCCGCAGCACCTCTTCAGCATCATCACCGTTCACATGGATCACAGCGCAGTTCACCATTTTACCTGAAACAAGAGAAAATGTGAATATGAAATAAATCAAATGTCCATGGGTAATAAGGTAAGATACATTTTATTGATCTCACAAAAGGAGAAATGTGCAAACATCCAGTGAAACTTCAAGTCTAACTACTACAAGAATTTTTATTATAGATGATTATTTTCTTCTGATTTTGTGATTTTGAAAGTTGGATTGTAATTTGTCTATATCTCAAAAATACAAGTTAAAATCTTGGTTAAAAAAAGTGACTATAGCAGTGCGACAATGATAATTTATACTTGTTCAGTATGAGGATGCACACATCTTTGAAAAGTAAAACGGAAAGCTTTCAAGGAGTGGCATCCCTGTGAACAGACAGGGATGCCATAATGTCAGAGGAATTTTAAACATATTATTTTATCAGAAAGGGGCACAGGACACTGCACTATTGTCTTTAGATGCAGAAAAAGCCTTTGACAGAGTGGAATGGACTTATTTATTTGAAATTTTGAAACGATTTGGCTTTGGTAATTCTTTCTGCAAATGGATTAACCTGCTCTATACCGAACCTTACGCCGAAATAGCAACAAATCACAACACATCAAAATTATTAAAGATCAAAAGGGGCTGCCGCCAGGGCGACCCCTTGTCGCCTCTACTATTTTTATTGGCAATAGAGCCTCTGGCAATTGCTATAAGGGATCATAAAGAATACCTAGGAATAACTATTGGTCAGCTAGAGCACCGCATCGCCCTCTACGCAGATGATATAATTTTATTCCTAAAAGATATTCATAGGTCTGTTCCCGCACTACTAGAGGTGCTTGCTTCATTCAGCAAATACTCCGGATATAAAATTAACACATCTAAGAGTTCTATTATGTTTCTAAACCAGGAAGAGAACTTGCACCCACCTGATATAGTCTCCCATTTCAATGTGGTTGACTCGTTTACTTATTTAGGCATTCGAATCTCCCAATCACTTCAGGAAATTGTTGACACCAATTACAAACCCGTCATAGGAGAAATCACCAAATCTTTGGAGAGATGGTCAGCCATACCATTAACACTGATGGGTAAAATCAATATTTTGAAAATGAATATTCTTCCAAAATTAATGTATTTGTTTCAAAATCTACCCCTACCGCCACCAAGCAATTTGTTCAAATTTCTAAACAAACAATTTAACAAGTACTTATGGAACAACAAAAGAGCCAGACTACGGCTGTCACTGCTATACCTCCCATATGAAAGAGGAGGCTTAAAGTGCCCAAATCTGTTGTGGTACTACTGGGCAGCACAATTAAGGAATATGATGTTTTATTTTACTGAAGATAGCTCCCCCTTGTGGAAGCAAATGGAGGAACAAGAGTTGAGTCTTCCCTTTCCTATTTACCTGTACTCGGCAGAAGAAAAAAGGTTGAGAAAGAAAACCAGAAATCCGATTGTTAAAAACATGATTGTAACTTGGAATCAAGTAAGAACTTTTTGTGGAGAATTGCCATCTGTATCATTATTCAGCCCAATTTGGGGTAATGAGAGATTTCATATAGCTAGAGCCGATAAAGGATTCAAACTATGGGCAACCAAAGGGCTCAACAAAATTCAAAAGCTCTACAGTCAGGAAGGACAATTACTTACATTTGAAGACATTAATAGATTATATGACATACCCCGCAATCACTTCTTTAAATATTTGCAAATAAGGAATTTTATAGGCACTCAGCAGAATAATTCTATTGAACCCCCAGAACTTTCTCCACTTGAAAAATGTATGATAATGAAGTGCTATAAAAAGGGCCTTATCTCTAGTTTATATTGCCTCATAACAGATAAATCAAAAGAATCTTCCACTAAAAGGCTGGAGGGCTGGAAAAAAGATCTGAAGGAGGATTTTTCAGTTGAAGATTGGAAAACAATATGCACCAGATCACAATCAATCACTATTAATAAAATCTGAGAATGATACAATATAAATGGATAATGAGAATCTATATTACACCTGTTAAACTAAATAGATTCAACAAAGACATATCAGATCTATGTGCAAAGTGTGGTACTAAAGGTACACTGCTCCACTGCCTGTGGCAATGCAGGCAGATTCAAACATTCTGGGAGAACACCATTAAATTTATTCAGGACGTATTGGCAATCTCTATAGAGCTAGACCCAAAACTTTTGATACTTGCAAAATTACCACAAAATAACAAATGGAATTTAAAGGAAAAAAGGTTTGTAGAATTATGTTTGGTTCTGGCGAAGAGAGTAATCGTCAGGCATTGGAAAGATTCTTCAGGGCCGAGTACAGGTGAATTCATGAAGGAACCGATAACTACACTACCGCTTGAAAGAATTACATATACAATTAGAAATAGGTTGCAACTTTTTGATGAAATTTGGGGACCTTTCCTGCATTACTTAGAAAGGTCTGATTCAACGTTGTTCTAGGTACACAGATCATGGAGCAAAGTGCACAGTGGCAGAAGTATAGGGGGGGAGGGGAAAAGAAAACATAAGAGGTTTCATTCTTCTCTATTTTTTCTTTTTTTTTTTTTATATAAATTCACTTGTATGTATCTAACACCTATTTACTATATGTGACTGATATATGGACTAGGAGGTCCATGAATGTAAACAGATACACTCATACATGTTTATGTACATTTATGCGTGTAGGTGTGGGCACATGAGAATGTTACTATTGTAAGTACCCATGTTTAAAACTTTATTTAACTTGTTTTCTCTTTTTTTTTACTTATTTATGTGCTTAATTATAGTTTTATTTATTGATTTATCATTATTATTGTATATTTTTTGTATTCTATATATATGTGTGTGTGTATGTGTCTGTATGTCTATGTATATGTATGGGTACATGTACATACGTGCACATGCATATGTATATATGTGTGTGTGTATGTGTGTGTATATGTATGTATATGTATGTGTATATGTGTGTATGTATGTGTGTATGTATGTGTGTATGTATGTGTGTATGTGTGTATGTATGTGTGTATATGTGTATGTATGTATATGTATGTGTGTGTATATATGTATATATGTATGTATATATATTATTTATTTATTTATTTATTTTTTGTTTTGTTGTTGTAGATTATTTATTTTGGATCAAAGGATGTGTGTGTGTGTGTATATGAGTGTATGGAGTGTGCTAGGGAGGGAGGGTTTGGGATAATTGGTATTTTTTCTTTTTTCTCCCTTCTGTTTTATAAGTTGCTTGTGTGAAAAATACCAAATAAATACAATATGGAAAAAAGAAAAAAAAAAGGAGTGAAAAACTGCTTAAAGACTGTAAAACCCAAGTTCTATAACCACTTTAAAGTATTCGATTTTTCCAAAACAAACCTGAACATTTTCTTACCAACATCGCTGCAGTAGAGTGAGGAGCGGGCTCTCTCTGATGGGGTGGTGTAGCCAACTTGATTGTTCACAATGAGATGGATGCTGCCCCCGACCCTGTAGTGGGGCAGGTTTGAGAGGGTCAGAGTCTCAGGAACAATGCCCTGCCCAGGGAAGGAGCCGTCTCCATGGACCTGTAGAAGAAATGGTTCAACTAGTACTTTGTTGGAATAGTTCTTGACTTAAGCTCATATTTTGTCTGTCTTTTCAGGAAAAAAAAACAGTTTATGATTCTTGTTTGGGCTTGTACTGTGCAGAAAATTAAGCATTTGGCAACCGATAACTACATGTATGAATACACAAAAGCAATTATTTATCTAGTAGTTTAAATGGGACCCCCAAACGCCCCGTTTTCCCATCTCTGCCAGTTTTATAAGTTACTCCCCATTTTTTTATGTGATAAAGTGGAGAACACTTCACAGACGATGATGCAAGGTGTAGGAAACTCAAGGCAACAAATTGTGAAGCTTGACAACTGCATAACTCACACACACCTCTCAGATTTCTATATAGTGTGCAGGAAAAAAGACTGAGCAGCAGACATGAAATCAGGTAGTGGATTGGTGTCTGACTAAAACACTCATTTTAAAGCCTTCTCCATTTACCTGTAGACAGATGACTTGGTCTCCGGGCTGAGCGTGTTCATCTGGAGAATAGTCGCCCTCTTTCCTCAGCTGCTGCCTTGCTCGGGTCTTGCCCTGAGCCACTGGGTTAATGGCCTCCAAGTGGGACGGGTTCGGCAGCATGGTCACGTGAATGGGACGTTCAGCTCCAAAATCCAGTTGCACGGACGAGGTGAGGTGAGACAGCACGTCCCCGATGGCTGGAGACGTGTCCGGAAACTCGCTGAGACCTCGCATTTTACGAAACATGAGCTGGAACGGCAGCAGAGTGGATTATTAGTCGTGTCCTTTACATTTTGACAGCTGGATGATAGTATCCGAGATTCATAAATAGTTATTCACTTGACTTAAATCTATTCTCTTAGTCTATTTAATCAAAAATCGATCCAGTCCAACTACAAGTCTTACTACAAGTCTTACTTTGTATAACAGAGGAATAGTAATAATAGAGGGCGGTAAGGTGGCTGACTCTCGCCTCTCAGCAAGAAGGTCCTGGGGTTGAATCCTGGTCGGAACAGGGTCTTTCTGAGTGGAGTTTGCATGTTCTCCCCGTGCCTGCGCAGGTTTCCTCCGGGTACTCCGGTTTCCCCTACCTCTAAAAACACGCTCACAATGTTAAATTCCTCCAGCTCCGGTAGTCCTGACCAAGCAGAGCATCAACAGCTGGAAATGGGTTCTACGGCGACCACTGCTCCTGACGTAAGCCTTCGCGGCATCGGGTCAAATGCAGAGGATTGAATTGCCCTACGGGGATTAATAAAGTGCACCTTTACCTTTATAGTTTCTTCTGGTGACGGGATTTTGAAAGTTGAATTGTAATTTTTATGTTAAAAGATTAAGAACATGTTTTTAAATACAGACAATAAGCCATAACTTAAAATATTTGTTAAAAAAATAATTATTATCCTCTGGCTTCCTAGTGTAGAGGTCAAATGTGTTCTAATTGTACATGGTCACTTTATTAATAAAATTAATAATTAAAATAATAATCATGGCGTTAGATAACTGTTTTTCCAGTTAAGTTTCTAAACCTAATAACAAATGTCTGTTAACTGAATGATGTGTTTGGACACTCCTAAAACAGATTAATTGAAGAAAAAAAAAAAAATTATAATAATAATAACAATGTCACATGTGCATAAACATAAAAATAGCTTCATATTTGGACCATCCTTTGAAACCATGATTGACACTAACGCTGCCTCACCTCTGGGGGGAACTTGAGCAGGCCGGTCAGGAGGTTCAGTCGGCCGCGGTGAGGCATCCCGATCACGATGTCCGTCACCCCGCTGTGGTTGGCCTGATGGAAGAGCTCGTAGAAAAACCCCATCATGCTCTCTGCTCCCTCTCCTCCGTACCGCTTCACAGTAGCAAATTTAGTGGCCAGGAAGTGGTCAAACTCCTATAAGTGCAAGAAGTGCAAAATACAGCTTAGAAAAGAAAACGAAACATAGTTTATTCTCAAAGGATGAGATTTGAATATTTTTTTCCCCTGACTTACTTGTGACTCCAACATTATTTTGGCCAGTCGTTTCTTCTCCTCAGTGTTGAAACTTTGATTTTTCAATGCCTCAAAGCGATCAGCAAACCAGAGCCTCTCCTCCTGGCTGCTGAGCTGGCTGATCTCCACCGACAGAGGACCACAGTACATCTTTTCCAAATAGGCCTGGACCTCCTCCACGGAAGCCTCGGATTTGCCAAAATGCCTCAAACCTGTACAACATACAAAATACTTCATGTTATGTTATGTTTATGTTATGTTCGTCCCCTTTATTTGTCCATTTCTGGGTCGGGGGAGTGGCAATCAGAGCTGCCATCCAATTCTCAAAGTACCAGCCCCTTGCTGATCCTCCTGCAGGTGATGGGTCTGTGGGAAGATGGCTGCTCTGTCAACAAAGATGGATCTATCAGCAAAGTGGGGTTAAGTGTCTTGCCCAGGGACATAACAGTAGAAGTCAAATTGAGTGGGTGACATGGGTTGTGAGGGAATCAAACCCACAAACACTAGGTTCAAAGGCCAATGCTCTAGTCTACCAAATGAGCCACTGTATCATTCTGAAAATCCTTCATTGGACATTCCTTTACAATTAATCAATTATCATTTGACAGGATTAATTCTTCCTTGAGTGTCCCGTCGTCATTCATAGACATGCTCAGGCACATTTCTGGCCGTGTAATCGGGGTGTGGCTGTGTGAAACTGAATTAGTACAGTTAAAGTGAACAAGACCAACAAGTGTGAACACACCAGGGATCACTAAAACTCTGATATGAAACCACCAAACAAGTGTGCACTGTAAAAGACATTACTATACATCAAGTAAGTAGTAGTAAGTAAGTAAGTAATCTTTATTGATATACCGCCTTTTCACTGCACATCGGAGTCTCAAAGCGGTTTACAATTGTTATTTTTTATTATTATTTTCTCTCACTCCACAAAGAGATGGGAGCGGGGTCGCCGAACAGGATGCGCATGCCAGAACTATTGTACATATTTTTAGTGGTAGGGGAAACCGGAGTACCCGGAGGAAACCTACGCAGACACGGGGAGAACATGCAAACTCCACTTAGAAAGGCCATGGTCCGACCAGGATTCGAACCCAGGACCTTCTTGCTGAGAGGCAAGAGTGCTATCCACTCAGCCACCGTGCCGTCAAATAAGGACATTTCTCATTTCATTTACTCTATTATTTACTGTCTATACTATTACTATTACTTTACCCTTACTTATCTACTCTTATTGGTATGTGCCAATTCAATTTACTAAAGTGGTAGTCCATTTCTTAATTCAGAGAAAGCGAGACCAGGCTCGTCTCATTAGTAACCTGTGATTTTCCAGACTAATATGACTAACCAGACACTTATTACCATTTAGGAATGAGGCTGACTAACAAGTCGCGCAATCGTTCAAATTATTTTTCACTCGTGGTTAAGAGGTCCGAGGCAATACCTGCGTAGCTTACCTGAGGTGTGGAGATATCCTGTAATGGAACCAGCAAGAGAGGAGATCTCTGGGATATCATCCAGTACTGGTTTGTCTGGGAGTAAAGGGTTGATTTTGGCTGCCTTGTGTCCATGAGCCCTGTATGCCTCCACCAGACGAGCCAGGCCATGATCTGAGTACAGCAGAGCAACAACTATTTTAACAATTACAATAACTTTTTCATAATGTCATCATACTATTACTCAGCAAAACTTCACCAAGGACTAATACAGCTGGGGTATTTTCCAAGCTCTAAAAACCTTTTGGAACTTATGCCGCCCCTAGTTTTCACATTTCCTCTGCTGCTTGGTTCATGTTTTTTAGCCTGTATCATATCTTTAGCTTTTTGCAGACAGAAAGCTCTCAACTCAAATGCTCACATACAAGGCTCTATCTTTAAAAAAAAAAAAAAAAAACTATAACATATTTTTTCTTGTAAGATAAATACAGCATGCTGGGGTCTGATTTGGTTATAACATTGAATTTCTGTTTGGGCAAACTTCTTGGTTCAATGTAATGTTATGTTGTGAATAAAGATGTTCTTTCTATCCAAATATTCAGCTGGATATACAGAATGCTTGCGCTGTATTCAGAGTATGGTAATAAATGTACCTTCTTCAATAAGATAAGTAGATCCATTGGGCCAAGTTACGGATCATATCTGTGGGCAGTTCTCTCGGCAAGACTAGTTATTCCCAGCATTAAGCATTTATTATTACAAAAAAAACAGGTCAATGTAAAGCTCGGTGTAGGGGTGCCTAGGTTTTTCATGCACAATAAAATGTAAAAGTAAAATCAACACGCCCTCTTATTTCCATTGTCAAACATATTTTGCATACTTTTATATCACTATTTTGACGCTTAGGGCCCAGAGCAGATTAGCTCAGTGAGGGTGGTCCTCTCTTTGACACACATTTTTAGATCAGAAAGATTGATGAATAGAAAAGTGACAGAGGCCAAAAGATCCACTCGAAATGATGGTCCCAAACAGAGCTGTGTTACAGTACATTAATGTGCTTAACTTAAGACTCAAGTTGAGCGCCTTCTACACTGAAATGATGACAGGATGTTTAGGAAACTGAAATATCATTAGAATAATCCAATGACTATTGTGCAAGTACAGACCATAGACTTGTACAGACGGGAGTACGCTTCCTGGGTTTATGTTGCATTATGTGTGCAATCTCAGATCAATGAAAATGAAAACTTCTCAACTACAGTATCAACATCTCTCACATGGAACCTTATAGTGTATGACAGTTCACGTTCAAGTTATTTTGGTCTTTGAACCTGTGACACAATTAAACCACAATTATTATAAAAGTAATATGTACCAGAGATAAAATAGATGTGGCTACATTGAAAATGTGAAGCAGCGAGTTTCTGTTAGGATCAGGTTCAAACTATAGACTAAATATTAAGTTCAAACGCGTTGGATATTCCATTGTGTTGTTAATCTTATACAGACAAAGACTGACCACTTACATGAGTCTCCTGCCCCGTACTGACCTTGGTTCAGGGCTGCTGCCCATTCCGTGCACAACTTGAGGTCTTTGTCGGCGTGTTTGGGTCTGAAGCCGTAAACTCCTCTCTCCGTGTGGTAGCAGCAGCACAGGACCTGCCGGGCCGAGGGCGGGAGCCGACTCAGTGATTGTTTAAGAATTAGTAAGGCCGACATGGTTAAAAAGTAGATTAAAATTAGATACGAGCAGCGGCCACACGACAGCACTAAGCGGCCATACTGTCCGAGGCAGCGGCAGTGGGAGGAGACGCCGCGCCGCAGCTCATTGGCGCAGATGGACGACTCTCTCCACTTATGTCACGTGGAGATTTTTAACCTACATACACCAGGTTAACCAAAACAAACAGGACTTATTTAAGAACACTCTGACACGGTCTGCAAAAACACAAGATGATTTTTTAAGGATGTTTAAAGGCGCGACTTTGAAACGTCGAAGGCAACAGGTGCACGTCATGAGGCGTTCAAGTACCATGTGTATTCTAACTTTACATATCCCCGGGCTGAGGTGCAGTGATCTCCAATCAAGGGAGGCTTTCGAAGAGTTTGTTTCTGCAATGTTAAACTGTATGGCATAAAAATTGTCCCTGCTGACAAGCAGATTACGCCACTACGGACTATTGGCTACTGTGAAATATGGATTGGCAACTTCCCATGCATCAGTGTGCCTCGGGGCAGCTGTGGCTACAGTAGATTGCCATGATTTATGAAGTGAATGAAAAATGCATTGATAAAAAGAAAATTATGCAATAATTATATTTGTTCTAATGTCCACATTTACACAATCCTATTTGGTGAACTGCGTTCAAAGCACATGGAAGTAACATGGTTCTAATTGTGAAATCCCATTCATGTGTATTAAAGGCTAATGAACAAGAGGCACAACAGATGTCAGCGAGACAAGCCACAGACAAAGGGTAATGTAAACGTCATTACGGCACTAGACAAGCACAGCACAGACACATCAATATTCAGGGAAATGGTTTAATTCAGACAGAGGTAAAGAAACACACCACACATAAACAAACATTGACTAAAATAAAAACAGTCCTTGGGCTACACACCGCAATGGGAAACAGAAAACTACACCAGGTAAAAAGCAAGGCTCAAACTAAACATTTAACTCATCTAAGACAATTACCCACATAACTGGTCAATTCTTATATGACTTTAAATTATGGACAGCACAAGTACCAACAAAAAACTTGACAATTAATATCCCTACCCCCCAAAAGTGAAACGAGTAGTCAAACTAAAAATCAGGCATCTTTAGACAAGGGAAAAATTACATGACAAAATATTGCTTGACCTCAGCGAAGAAACCTGGCCTAGAGACGAGGCCACGTCGAGAGGCCAGACAATCTTTCCTCTATATGATTTTTTTTATTTATTTCCAATATAAAAAGATCCACTGGTACAAAATACATATTAACAACCAGTTGTAGAAAGTGAAGCCTGTAATGTCTTTGAATCCCACCCATTATAAAGAAAAAAGAAACTGTATACAGATCACATCAAGATGCACCCACTTTGGCTTTTATCAGACAAGACAAAAACATCAATTTGACTTAAACATAGTCCTAAGGGATTATAGAACAAGGATCAAGACAACACCTAGTGATGCAAATATAACGCACGTCTAAAAAATAGCACTTGAACAAAAATATGATTGACTTGGATTTTGTGATGGAAGCCCCTGAAGCAAGCCAGAAATTGGGACCACTTTGGACTGTACATTGTGCTTTTACTATTCACATTAACACTTAACCACACAATCAACTCATTCTGTGTTTGACACAAAACACTTAAAATGAAATGTATTGAAAAGTGTTACATGTTGCACACTAAAAAAGAGGGTTACCCTTTGAAACGTATAGTTTTATTGTTTATCTGCAATTTTTATACCAACTGATCAAATAGTACATCACAATACACATTTCACCAATAACTCAACATAGAGCGGGGGTGGGGGAATGGGGATTACATGAGCAAGTGACAAAGCTTTTTCAGGACACTGGCAGATAGACAAAAGGCGAATTGCAGCAATCTCTAACCAAGGCCTAATATTTAAGAGTAGGCAGTTTCTAGACGTATATATATTATGGCACTTTGAATATTGTATTGCATTTGGATAGAAAAACACACTGTAAAAAGCACATGCCCACATTTAAAAAGTGAAATTAGTGGTACCTTTGTAAATTTTGGAATATAATCACACGTCACACACATTCCGCAAAAGTGATTACAGCCCACTATTGTGCTTTTCCTTACAAAAAAAACCAAACAAAAAACCCATCTCCAGTGCTGGTTCAAATTTGGTACCTTTATATTTTTTGGAATATTTATGCACATAAAGAAAAATAATATCCAAACTGAAACTGTCAAATGGTGACAATTGTGCATTTTGTGTCATAACCCTGCGTGAACCAGTTTCACACAAAGCAACCCCTGAGTTGACAACTCTTTAGCGCCATCAGGTATGCCATATTTATATTTTAGGGAACCCATCGTTGGGGATGTGTTTTTTTGTCTTTTTATTATTTTTACAGGGTTATACCATGACCCCAATATTTAAAAAAAGTGTAAACTTGTGGTGAACAAATGGAATGTATTTTGTAAACCAACACTACAGTGAAGGGTTAAGTTTCAGTGTGCTTTGTGCATTTGTGAAGCATGAGGTCAGTGAACGGAAAAAAACTCAAATTAATCTACAGCGAGTGTGCGTGCGTGTGTGCGCCGAAAACCCACGGGTCGAAGGCGTTTGTCCAAGAGATCTCTTCTTCAGGGGCTCCCACTATTTAACCATTACAAAGTGTTGGCGTGTGTTTGTGTGCATGCAAGCGTATTTGAAAATTTTAATCATACAGGAAAAAATATGTTTGAGAAACTTCAAAAAACACTGAGGCTGACACGTGGGCACTTAATAAAAATAAAAGTACATTGTCTGACATAAGTTCCAACAGTACATTGTAAAACATTTCAACATTAGGCAACCAAGACTAAACTAAAACGTGACATCCATTCATTAAATTAATAATTCACAGAAAGTCAACAAAAATAAAAACGTACCGTTAGGTTTTTTTTGTCTTTGACATAGGGAAAATTAATCAGAAGATGTCTGTCATCTCAAAAGTTAAAGTTACAATTAATGCAGCAAAGTTTTGACTTCAACAGAGATTTGAAATTTAAAGAGACCTTTAAACGGTCAAACAGATTTTTAGTCTTTTTAAAAAATGTAATGCACTGATAACTTTCCCTAAACCCACATATACAGATGACAATTACAACATAATCTACAAAAAACCCAAAGTTTGCCTGGGTTCTGTTAGTTAAATTCTATAGATTCAATGGTATAAAATATAGGTAATCTAAGTGTGCATTTCAACCACAGATTGTCTATTTGTGAATCAGTTCTACAAAAGTTGACTCATGTTGGTGTCATTTCTCTAAACAGAGTAAATGGACCATATATTGTGCCATCAATATTTTCCAAAGAACATACGGACACAGTTTTGTAAATAAAATCAAAATGTATATTAGCCTTGGTTAACTTATTTTAACACTGCCTGCAGAATGCAGAGACCTTTACAGAGCACTGAGATTGAACTTGACTTCAAAAGTGTTGGAAAGTGATCTGTAGCACATTTTTGTATAAGAAGCAAACATATTGCTAATGGCACCAAAAGCACAGCTGTGTGCCAATCCCTGTATTCAACTTTCAAGTGAACTATTACTGAGAGAGGTAAAAAGAAAGCAACATAAAAAACAAAATAAAAACATCCCACAGGTTTTTAAAACATTCACAAAAAAAGAAAAACTTTAAATGAATTGAGTACGTAGTTTTCACATTGATTTACTTAACCTCTCTCCCACCAGTCACATTTCTTTACAGAACAAACAAAATTAACACACATGCAGAGAAACCAGGTTGAGCTAAGGTCAGGGCGGGTCAGTGGGTGGCCAGGCGAGCTTAGAGACATCACAGACAATGGTGGGATGATGAGGCCACGAGTTTGGCTTGGCTTTCAACATCATGGAGACATGCTAGGCTAATGATGAGCAAACAGGCATGGAGAGTTGTTCTAGAAAAGAACACGACAGGAGGACAGAAGACACAGAGGAGAGAAGAGAAAGTTAGGGACACAGCACAAGAATCTTTAGCCGTGGAGGCACACAAAACAACATAGTAACAATAAACCCCCCCTCGACAACACAAAACAAAACAGGTTTAAGATGTGACACCAAGACACAGTATGGCTCCAACATGCATTAACTAGATTATACTTGGCACCCAAAGAGATCCATCGAGAGCCAGTGGAGGCCTGCAGATGGATGGAATGACTGGAAGTGGTTAATAGAGAGGTAGCCTCACTTACAAGACGAGACAGAAGAGATGAGGGCAGGGGACATTTGGGAGGTAGGGGCTGAGTGCAAAGATTCACATTGAAGACAATGAACAATGAGACACATAAGAAGCCACAGGGATGGAGCACTGGCTCTGGGTCTAAGCTTCAGCCCTTTCACTGATCCTTAGTCAACCCATCTTCGCCTAACTTAAAGGCAATGAATGTATGGGAACACAGCTGATGCTCTCCACTAAATACAGTGACAAAGAATACCTCCAGCAAACACCAACTCCAGTGATAGTCATAAATTAGCATACAATAAAAACAGTCAAATAGACTAAAAGTACATGATAAAATTGTAGGGACGAATACAAGAAAATGTGAAAAGAGATTTGCAACCATTTAGGGAATAGGCAGAGTCTCCCTCCTGTGACGGGTCCGCCCCTGCCCTAAGAGTCTCTGTGGTGACCTTGGCAGGAGGTAAACTTACCCTCGCAGTGCTAGCTTTGAGCTGGGGAGGGAACCCAAGCTTAGATCAGTATGGTTTGCTGTCGTTCTTGGAACGCTTCAGCTGAACCTTGAGCCTTTTCATTCCAATCTGAAATCCATTCATGGCCTGGATGGCAGCTTGTGCAGACACAGGATTGTCATAGCTGACAAACCCTGAGAAAAGAAAAAAAACGAATTCAGTAACCATACCTATGCCAAAGTTAATTTGATTTTTTTCTATATACAGGTGTGTATCTTACCAAAGCACTTGCTAAGATTGGTCTGTTTGTCAATGAAGACTTTGGCAGAAACCACATTTCCAAAAGGCATGAACATCTGCAGGAGATCCTGATCGCCAAACTCTTGGGGCAGGTGGTAGATAAATAAGTTGGCCCCTTCTGGCCCTACTTCATCACAAGAGCACATTGGATTTGAGTTTACATCTATAGTACCTGTTATACAGGGTATATGATGAAAATGAGCTTAAAACGAGTGCCAACCTTCCTTCTGGTTGCCTGCAGCACTCTGCTGTAGCAGGGCCTGTCCGTAGAGAGAGGGCAGGGCAGAGGTGTACTGCTGCATCCCTGAGTAAGCCTGAGTCAGAGCATCCATGGAGCTGGCAGCTGAGCCATTGGCCAGAGAGGCTCCCAGCCCTCCGTTCATCACTCCCATACCTAGACCACATAAAAGGACATAGTGACCTTCTACTGACCACCGTGGAGTCGCAAGGGCGTCAGGTACTGTTGTCTTACCACTGTTGGTGAGTGCATTCAGATTGTTGAGGCCCATAGAAGTTCCGGTCAGGCCTTGCAGAGTACCCAGAGAGGCCAAAGGGTTCATGGCTGCTCCAGTGCTGGACCCTGTTGAACCAACTGTAGGAAAACAAAGATATTTGTGATGAATCCCTGTCGTATTTTAAAAACTGATCTATGATACATCAATAAATCATGGAAGGGAATGGAAGATTTTCAACCGTTTATACATGAGCCAATGTATAGTCAGATTTATGGATAACAGACATTGATGGTCACACAATGATGGTTCAGGGCTCACAGACCCCATTTCCTCCCCCCGGTTAATATTTGATTAGTGCCTATTCTGATGCATGAGCCCTAAGCTATTGTTTGAAAAGAAAAGTACATTGACATAAATTACGCTCGGAATTAAATCGAATTCAGCATCAAAATCCTTGAAATTCTTTTCCTCCCAAAGCTAGAACTCCGTCTCTCAGCAGTCAGCTCATTTGTTTACCCTAATGTCAAATTCACCAGTCAACTGCTGGACGCTGTAGTTTTTTCAGATTTTTTTTTGTTTGGAATCATCTTCAAAATAGAGAACACACCACGGCACAGGGTTTTTGCAGACCAAAGAGGTTTGTGTGGAGAGATGGATCTTTTACACGATGACAGAGTGGCTGATTTTTGGAGATGAAGCCGAACCGCTGCTGCGGAGCTCTGCACGGCAGCACGGGGGGCTTATTATACATCACTGGTTGAGCGGTCAGATCGACCTTAAGGGATAGCAGGTGTGAAACCTGCTCCCATTGGCAAATGCTGGCCCTAGGGCTGTAGTTTGCCCACTTCTGCACTAAGGCCTCTGCATTATATAAATTATGTTCATTGATCCTTTCCAAAGGATTGTTGAAAGGATTGCAGAAGTATTTTTTAATGAAGATGTTCTCAGCATATTAGTGGTTAATACCTGGGCTGGCTAAAGCTCCCAAGGCTCCAGTGCTAGAGAAGGCATTGGTGGAGGAGGGACTGCCAGAGCTCTGGGCAGCTGCCGCAGCAGCAGCTAAGGTAGCCAGGTTTTGCAGCTGCAGTGGATTCATACCTGAAGAGGAACAAGTGAACTATTAGACTAAAAAGAACAAATTGAGTAAGCCATTTTGAGACAAAAGGGTCAACAGCCTGTTCCACTGAGGAGCAGAGGGGAGCACCCTCTGCTCTCTACCCCAAACCAACTGAACTTAAATGACGTAGTAAACCAGAGATACCTGGGTATTCAACCAAGATCTACTTTTCCAGCCACCAGTGAACAGCGATCTGTTACTTACAAGGAGACATTATGGAGTTTTTACCTATGTTACAACATTGTATCAAAAAACCTTGAGTTGCTTTTGCTTCATCAACCCCAATATCAGGATCACGAGCAATCATGGCGTACCAGAGCAGTTTTCTGCTTTTCACCAAAAGAATTTCCTCCAGACAAATTTTAGCAATTAGATTTCAATACATAATAATGCATCATATGTATTCAATAAATAGGGGGTGTAAATATTGAGAACATCGCAAATTGGATTGGACATTCGGTTCAGAAGGTTTCAAATGTAAAACCAGTAAACTGGTTTAAGATGTATTTCATTATGTGTATGCAGAAGCACACGTCACAGGAGAGGGTAGTAGTGTGCGGTGTGTTGTCGCTGCCACTTGGCTGTGTGTAAAGAGTACTTTTTACGCATACAGAAAATAACACTAGAAAATAACTATTGGGTCACGCAATCCGGATTTTGGGCTCCACAGGAAGATAATTATATTTCTCTCACTGTCGCAGTGTCTCAAAGCCACATCAAAAAGCAAGAGGCAGCCTGTCGCTGCAGTGACCCGAGCCGCTGCTCAAGGAAAGATAATGTGTACAAAGTCAAAGGGGCTCGGTCCAAAATGCACCCATAGCCAGTTTCCCTCGATGGCAAACGAAAACTGGATGCTGGGCGGATGTACATGAGGGAGAGAGATCAGAAGTAACCCCATAGAGACTCGCGAGTCCCGAAATCATGAGTCTCAGACAAGTTTGAGTCTTGAGAGACTAGTCCAAGTCGAGTTGCAAGACGCTGGTCTAAGTGCACAATAAGATGAGTGATTTTATGCATAACCAGCTCTAGGTCACAGCTCTGCCTCAGCGTTTATCGATTGAAAAGCACTTCACACTGCTCCCTATACACATGTTGAAAGGATTGCAGAAGTATTTCTGAATGAAGATGTCGGCAAATTAGTGGTACCTGGAAAGTCATGAGACAGGTTAGGCACAGCCACAATAGCTATATCCTTGTGCGAAAAGTGCATGTTAGATTAAAAATTGGACCCCCATGGGTAGGAAATTACAACCAAATGGTAGCAGGCCACAGCAAACTGAGCTGATCAGGAGTAAGACTAGTCATTTTCCACTCTTGCTATTCACTAGTGAAAAACAGGTACCACTTTGGTTATGTAGGTCTTCAACACGTCGCTGGAGTCCTGCCATGTCCCCACCTGCCTCAAATCCTCCACCATCGTCCCCATTCCCAAGAAGACCCGGATCACAGGTCTCAATGACTACAGACCTGTGGCACTGACGTCTGTAGTTATGAAGACATTTGAGCGCCTCGTTCTCTCCCATCTCAAGTCCTTCACCTCCCCCCTCCTGGACCCCCTGCAGTTTTCCTACAGAGCCAACAGATCTGTAGATGACGCCATTAACCTGGCCCTCCACTCCATCCTACAGCATCTGGATTCCCCGGGGACCTACGCCAGGGTCCTGTTCGTGGACTTCAGCTCTGCCTTCAACACTATTCTGCCATCCCTGCTCCAGGACAAGCTCTCCCAGCTCAACGTGCCCGATTCCACCTGCAGGTGGATCACTGACTTCCTGACGGACAGGAAGCAGCGAGTGTGTCTGGTGAAGAATGTCTCGGACCCTTGGATTATAAATACAGGAGCCCCACAGGGCTGTATTCTTTCTCCCCTGCTCTTCTCCCTGTACACCAACCACTGCACCTCCAGCCACGACTCCGTGAAGCTCTTCAAGTTCGCGGACGACACCACCCTCATCGGACTCAACAACGATGAGTCCGCCTACAGGAGGGAGGTGGACCGGCTGGTGTCCTGGTGCAGTGGTAACAACCTGGAGCTGAATGCCCAGAAGACAGTGGAGATGATTGTGGACTTCAGGAAGAGCACAGCCCCCCGCCCCCACCCTCCGTGATGGACTCCCCCATCACCTCTGTGGAGTCCTTCCGTTTCCTTGGCACCACCATCACCCAGGACCTCAAGTGGGAGCCGACCATCAGCTCCCTCATCAAGAAGGCCCAGCAGAGGATGTACTTCCTGCGGCAGCTCAGGAAAGCCAAGCTGCCTGCACAGATGTTGGTGCAGTTCTACACGGCCATCATCGAGTCCATCCTCACCTCCTCCTTCACCGTGTGGTTCGCTGGAGCCACAGTCAGGGACAAACAGAGACTACAGCGCATCGTGCGCTCTGCAGAGAAGGTGATTGGCCGCAGCCTTCCATTGCAGGACCTGTGCGTCGCCCGAGCTCGAGGCCGGGCTGGTCGTATCACAGCCGACCCGTCCCACCCTGGACATTGACTATTCCAACAACTCCGCTCAGGCAGGAGGCTACGTTCCATCAGAACCAAAACCTCCCGCCATAAGAACAGTTTCTTCCCCTCTGCCGTTGGACTCTTGAACTCTTCATAACCTGTCCCCCTGCTCCTTTAAGTCACCTTACTGTCCCCTATTAAGTCACTTTTACTGCCCATTATAAAGTCACTTTACTGCTGTCGCCTTATTGCTTGCCTACTTACATTGTGTGCACCATGTGCACTTGTATTTTAAATAGTAACTGTAATTATCCTATTATAATTTTATTCCTTAGAAGTGTATGCTGATTTTATTATGCCTTACTCTTATCTCTTTTTTCTTACTGTTGCACGAGCCAAAAGCAATTTCCAAGTCTGACTTCCTGTTACTTACGTGGCAATAAAAATCCTTCTGATTCTGATTTAAAAAAAATAAAAAAATAAGAAACATCTACCCATCCATCATCTTCCCCTTAATCCATTTCTGGGTCGGGGGGTGGGAGTCAGAGCTGCACTCAGCACTGTCTATGACAGTACAGCCTTGATCTTTCAGCAGGGCCTTCAGGCAAAGTGGGGTTAAGTGTCTTGCCAAAGGACACAACAGAAGACAGTGGGAATTGTTGGAGAAGGTCTCGCGGTGGGCTCAAACCTTCAGGCGCTAAGGCCAATGCTCTGCCAACTAGCCACCGTCGCCAAGTAAAGAAAGACCACCAAAATAAAAACCCATTTTGAGTCCAGAATGGAAAGTCAGGACTTTTCAATTAACTTTTTCAGCTCAGAGCACTTCCCCATTGGCTTCACCTTGCTAGTGGGCATTGGGAATGCATCAGAATTTCATGCAGAAAAAGCTTAAGTGGGGGCCTATCAAACTTTCTTTCCACTTTCAAGGCTAAAAAATTACATGGTTCATATCCTTGTGCAGTTCAGGCTCTTTTTAAAGTCTTACATTTGAATTTTTAAGAGGATTTGCCGAATAAAGAGCAATTTTTTGGGTGACTAATTTTAAATTGTTGCAATGAGTCAAATTCCTTGTTACGTTCCTTTTATATTTCCTTGAATATACAATCAGTGGAGTAGTAACTTACTGAAGACTTCAGCAGGTTGTTTCTTTGTAATTCTAGCTACTACAATGCTCTTTTAAAAGGAATAGAAAGAAATCTAGTTACCACCCACCTCCTAGCCTCTGAATGCCATTGAAAGTGCTCTGGTTACTGGTAGATGTGGCTTGTTGCAGCAGCTAAGAAGAAGAACAGCATTTAAACATGTACTTACGTGAATTTGTAAATTATTTACAGATCAACAAAAACGACTTACAGCCAGATATTGAGGTGTGAGAGCTCCCAGTGCAGCCAAGTTTCCCCAGGGGGCGCTATTGAGCTGCTGAATTTGCTGTACCAACTGCTGCTGCAGGCGCCTCTGCTCCTTATCCCTCTGTGTGTCAGCAAACTTCACCACCAAAGGTGAGGAGCAGCCCTGCAGCACAAGATAGTTTAAGAGAAAATCATCCACTATATTTTGGAAAAGCAACAGCAAGGATGGTTTAAAAAGGGGAAGTATTGTCTGAGCCTTGAACAGTCTTTACGCCTGTAGCATTGGTAATAGAGCTAACACAGAGGACATCTGCCATGCACAGCTGAGCCGGGCCTCATTCCATGAAGAGCACACACCAATGCTGCAGTTACTTTTTTAGCACTTGGGAGGAGCTTTATCAAGCCCACAGACAAGCAGACAACTGATGGAGACAACACTTAGAAAATAAAAGACATTGAACAAGGGGCTCGTCAGCAGACATTTAGGTCAATGCATTACAATACAGACAGTCTCACAGACATATTCATTTAGACAGACATGTGGACATGAGGCATGCGGTGCAAGTATTCTCAGAGTTGAGCCAGACAGGGACCAGGCTGGACAGGGAAAATGGCTACTACAGCAACAGCAACCCCACAGCAGCTAAAAACTGGGGAGTAATAATGGAGGAATGGGGCTGCCGTGTTCTGCTACAACCACAACCAGAGTTATGTTTGGTAGGACCGTAATTAGCTTTGGTCCAATGCTTCACTAGGGAGCCCCTGACCTGCACACTGTCAAATTACTGCTGCTCCACTTCCGCAAAGACTTTATGAGGACAAGGACCCAGTTTGAGAGAAAATCTCTTTGGATGTGCGCTACTCTCCTGGCTCCTCTAGAGGTTAGAAATAATCCAAGCAGTGCAGTCTTTTGACACAGAAATAATAGTTTGCAACATGTGAGATGACTTGTTATCTTGTCATCAGATCACCTCTTACGCCTAGTATTGTAATTTCCTTAGGCCAATTGTCGCAGGATAAAATTTAGTAATAAGTAAAAGTTGCTTTGGAAATGACTCATGCTTTGTGACGATGGACACCATCTGTTTGAACAAGTCCTTCCAGCTTCCCAACACAAGGGGGCAGCAGAATGTATGAAGGGGAAGGGTAAAAATGAGAAATAGGTGCTCAGGGGTACAGTACCTCCATAGTCTGAGAGTGATGCATGGTTTTGATTGCATTCTGTGCCATTGCCCTGGTAGCAAATGTGACAAACGCACAGCCTGTAGGGGGGAACAATAGGAGAAGGGGGAGGAGGGAGGGAGGGACAAGAAGAAACAAAAACAAGACAAAAGGTTTGGACAACTCGTTATGAACCCCAAATAACACATTGTACAGAGAATGGCAACTCCCAAGCACACAAAATCACCCTCACTGGTTAGCACATGGAGAAAGAACAAAACAAGGAGAACACATGAGCACAGTGATTGACAATTTAGATAATCGCCTGAGAGGCTGGTCTATGTTGTGAAACAGTTAAACACATAGAATGCACATAAATACACGCTGTAGACTCATCTTCAGTAGACACATATAAAGATACCTTGTGCTCCATTTCAACCTCTATACCTACCTTTTATATTAAATTCATTGTAATTACTGGGGTCTATTTAATAGCCGTCAGTGTGTCTAATGTCTAATCAGCCCAAGAGCCCCGCTTCAACCCGCCAGCTCTTGGCCTTTATGCGGCACAGAGCTAAGTGGGAGATGCGGCGACAGGCTAATTCTAGTCTTTGTGGAGTGTGATGGAGGAGGTGGTGGAGGAGGAGCCGGCTGCCAGCTGAGCCCATAGGCACCACCGCCAGCTGTTGCCTAGGCAACGGCCCATTGTGTCGACTCTGCTCTCACCGGCCCTTCACAGCACAATGCACCGGCAAATGAGGAGAGGCTGCGGGCACTGAGATGGGTGCTACTGGGTGAATAGCTCTTGATTTGGGAAAAAAATATTGCTGGAAGGGAGGGGTTGTTTTCTAGCATTTCCCCGTAGGTGGCAGTCAGGAGGCCAGCTGTGCTGCACCTATAAAGTCTCAGACCAACCTCTGCTCTGCCCATCAGGACCCCGCAGAATTCGGCATTCCTCGATTGAACCAAATGAGGAGAACATCATCCGGACCTCATTTTCACCATACTTCTTTGAGACCATTCCAATGAACAGTTTTCTGTCTTCTACCGCTGCAACAGGAAAAGAGAGATCTAGAGATATAAAAATAAGCACATCTGAGTACAGCATTTACCACAGACTTATTGCAATATTGAAACAATTAAAGCAGCTGATAATGATCACTTCGTTTGCTGCACTGATCACACACACAATTTAGGTCCGGTTTAATGCAGCAATATAAATATAATTAAATTAGATTCTTAAATGCTATGACACACCCCTTGGGGCAAAATGTAACTTCCAAATTAATTCAACTAAGCATTAGAAAACACAGGAAAGCTTATATGAGGGCTCAAGCAGACATATTTTCTTTTATGGCTCTGCTCTCATGTAGCCACTTTCTGTGCCTCACACCCAAGGTGGCAGCCTTTTGTACAAGTCCTGGCAACTCTTAGCTCACCCACCCCCTCAGCGTCTAGGTCTTGAGACAGACTAGTGTATATCAGCCATTTCTGCCGTGCTCCTGATCCACTTCTCCCTTTGGTGCCTTTTAAAGCCCTTAATCCCCCTAACCCTTGACATTGTATAGAAATTGTCCATAGCTGCACATTCGCAGAACCGTACTGTTCAGCCCTTCAGTTTTGATGTATAAAAATGACACTTTTAGCGTAGCGCTTTGCCTTGTAGCTGTTGTGTCCTGCTTAATCCTTTTCTCTGTACAGGTCACAGGCAGGAATCAACTGTTTAAAATCAGAAGATTTCTCCAAATCTACTCACCGGTTGTTTTCTCGCTATCTGCGGGTTTCATCTGAATAGGATGATGCATCTAAAACATGAAAAACAAAAAAGGTTAGTGTTGCACCTGGCTGTGTAATAACTACGTAGGAGGCTGGCAGTTTTATTGTATCATTATCACAAGTGCTTGTCCACTTTTCTCAGAGCTCATTATCCACTCTCACTCCGAGACCATCGCAGCTTTAAAACAGATTGAGGAGGAAGTGTGTCCGCGCTCATGTCAGGATCAGATTCTCCAGTATCTAGTTTCATTCTATGCTCTGGTGTAGCCTTGTGATCAACTTTCCTGTCAGTATCAACCTTCTTCAAAAGCCTGCTTGAAAAAAATAGAACCGTTGTGCGTCGGTTTGAGGAAGTAAAAAAAGACTGCTAAAAATATGCCAACATTCCCATGAGCCAATCACCTGCTTTGTGAGGTGAATGTACTATTTATCTGTGAGATGCCTGAGCTGCCTGTGTTAATAAAGCGGTGGGTTTGTTTTTGATGAGGACTAAAAAGAAGAAGACAGATGGCCAGCTCAGTGTGGGAACTGGCAACGTCGCAGACCAAGAAGAGCAAGGCACACGAGGGACGCAACAAAAAATAAAAAGCTTGCCTTTGGATTTGTTGTGTTCTCATCTTGTAATGAGATATTTTACTTTAATAAATCCCTTTCCAAAATGTCCTTAGTTATAGATGATATAATATGGTTCCAAAAATATTCTAAAAAAGAATAATTGCAATTAATTATACATAAAGATAAGACATTCTCATTAAAAAGCATGAGTGAGGGGTTCACTACTATGTTCGTATGTTGGATTCCCCCCAAAAGGTTTTAGAACCCTTGATAGAGAGATTTGAAGAGATGCTTACTTTAAAATCATGACAAGATAAAAGGAGGCACAGAAGCACCTCTTGTGTTAGACCCCTCTGTTTGAAAGAGCTGATTGATAGTCCTGCTGCTGTGCTTGAATGTCCTCATTCATCAATGTGGTTCAATATTTACCTGTAACCTCACTGACAGCTGCTCCTTCTCCAATGGACTGCTCAATTGATTTAATTGATGACGAGAGTAGTTTAGTAAAGAGTACATTGATGGGACAGGAGGTAATACAATAGGGCAGAAGAGATTGGTTTTACAAACAATTGAATAGGATTAGATTAGGAGTTATCAGAAGACTGCGTCTGATGCTAATAGAGCGGCTCAAACTTCTGTTAGGAGTAAAAGTACTAACTGATTACACGGGAGGAGAATATGGACTATACTACAAAACTCGACCTAAATCGGCTTTGCCCCGAAACCAGTCAGACCGGTGCAGGAGTGTCAAAGAACTAAGGGCGCACTAGTAAAATTTTAGAAGATTGATATCTGATCTGGATTTTAAAAAAAATCCTTATCGACGAGACCAATCACATTGACTTTGTGACGCAAATATTTAAGATTCCTTGTTAAACATTCAAACCATTAATTTTTATTTTCATTCAGCCAAATGAGCTCATCAACTTTCACTGTTCACTTGGATTTCACTCTGAAATCCAAACAATTCAATTTGGATTTCACTCTCCATTTTCTACACTTCATGGATTCCTTTTTTTAAAAAGGCAGAAGAGTTGTTCCTGTAGATGACAGCGTGACTATGGAAATAGGGCAACATGGCCAGGGGTGGATTGCTTTTTTACGGAAAAGGGTAGGAGCGTGGATGTAAGTGAAAATATCATCGGCCCATTTGATTGGCTTTTTTGCGAGTCACAGTTAACTTTTTTTTTCACCAGCAAACGGCCCGATTAGTAGTGGTGCACCGTGGACACTGGTGATCAAGGACATTTGGAGACAATTGTCACCCCACTACCCTATGGACCAATTTTATGTTTCTTATCATTGCAATTCCTTTGATTCTAATCTGTTATCGGCTAATCAACAATTATGTTAAGTCTGCTGAGTTTAAGCACAATTTTAGCAAATATATGTGCATGTCTTTACATGCACATTTAAACAACACATTTTCTTTTAAGTTTTGTTTTTATGAAAGTATAAAAAGAATGTCACTTGAGAGTAGTCTGTATAGGCCCAAATAAATACATTTCTAATACAAGGTTTTTCCATGTGCACCTAAATGCATAGCCTTGTCTCCAAAGTATCCTTTTTAGTTATATATTGGATTAGTCTGAATGATAAAAGGTTCCACCTATCCCAAATGGACTGGATTTTCACACTGGGTTTACACGAGCCTTGCGGTTTAAAATGGTTATCCGGTTCCCTCTCCTCCCATGTAAACCAGCTCAGTGCGTGTTGCACATGTGGGACTTGGGGTCCTATATGATTCCACTACAGTGAATTAGTCCTCCTCCTCGGCCCTGGGCTTGTGTTGGGGCCATGATCATATCTCAACAGTTGGTGGCTGCAGATTTTAGGTCAATGGTTGAGCTGTCAGGATGTAGTGGGATATAAAGGGGTTCAAACTACTTAAGACTGTCCACTCTTACTCACCCCAGTTAAGGTCTTTATGTTGTGCAAAGCATTCTGGGCATCCAGTGCAGCTTTTTTTGTATAAAACGTTACAAAACAGCATCCTGCAGAGAAAGAGGGATCATAGTCAAAAAATAACATTAAAAGACCAGGCAGGCAGACAAATATAAGACATGCAAAAGACGTTCTAAGCATATCACATGTAAGAAACATGTGACAGGCTATTCTTAGCAGCAACTCTGAGATGGAGCTAAAGCTCATGTATGAGCTTGCAGCGAGGGCACTGGGATAAATCACAGAATTGACATGTCCACAGAGAAGTCCACGGTAGAGATTACTGTGAAGAGGCAGCGAGGCAGGAGACGGGTCAGCCTCATCTAGGCAATGCAGGGCACAGGACCACCCTCCACTGCTCAGCTATACACCAGAACCCATTCCTCTGACTGAATATGAAAATGGCACAGAAACTGAGTTTAGAGTGGGCGCTGATGTGGGGGAAGGGGTAAAGACAGTGAGGGGGAGGAGAGCCTCATCCTCCTGTCCCAGCAGAGCGCCGATGGCGTGGAGCCTGTCAGTTTGACTGGGCTGTGGAAGTGGAGCACTGCAGCGTCTCTGACCTACATACTGTGTATTTTTTTGTTACTGGAGCTCAAGCTGAGGGAAGGGAATTGAGCTGCTCTCTTCTCAGACCAGCTGATCTATCTCTGCCGCTTAGCTCCAGTGAAGGAAGGCAGGGCAAAATAAACAATCCAGGGAGCTGTTTTTGTTTTCATGACCTGAAGAAGAGATGCCATCTTCCGTTAAATTGTGGCATAGTGCAAGATGAAGTGACTGACATGTCTAACAAAACCTATAGCAAGACAGCACTGGGACTTGCATCAGCTCTGAATATAAACATTTAGTGATTATGTCACCAGCTTCCCTGTGCTAAAAGTGCCTACACCCCGAGATGGCTTTCACACATTGAGAAAACGAAAGCTGCAAGATTGATAGGTCTGAGACTCCAGCTAAAAACCACTGTGATAATGTATTCTAATAGAATATGTAGCCTTAACATTGAATTAACATGTCAATAGCACATCACAGCTGACAGAACAGAGGACCCTTTAAAAAAAAAAAAAAAGGAGGTCTTTGAACTCCTCATCCTCACCATAAACTACACATTTGTGCGTTGTATTGACATGCACTGCATAAGAATTACCCAGGGGCTTCCTCAACCACCACTGAACTCAAGAGGAACAGTAACCTACATTATTTGACCTCATCAATTTAACCAACCCCAAAGCTGGAACGGGAACTTTTTTCTGAATCGGGGAGGATTGATTTAATACTGGTACATTTATGTAGCAATATGATGATTAATTGCTTTTACATGTTACATCCGTTCTGATCACGTCATGGGATTATAGTATGGAACTACACATATTCAAACCAAAAAACAAATATCCTCAGAGTAAAGCCCTGTTCAGAAACTTCAGATCAGCAGAAAAGAGCTTGAGATGCAGAGTGTTCTTTCATGTTAAATCCTAAAGGGGCTTATGGCTTTGAAGAGAAGTCAAAAGTGAGGGAGACACAAGAGCAGCTCAGATAGTTGCATCAGTGCAGTGCATTGACTTTATTCACCTGCAGTTAGTTACAGAAGACTGAGTGACGCACTTTCTAGCTTAGAGTGCACTTCACTTCAGGTCTGCCGTTAAATTGCCATTTAAAATCTAAACTAAGCTGAATAACTCCAGGCGAGAGTAATTCACTTAGTTTAAGGTGAAGACAACAGACATCAAATGGACATTTTCTGATTTTCAAGCAAGAACAATTCAGTTGGACAAAAGGCAATGAATCAGTTCTTCTATGATCACAAACACTTCAGTGCGAGCTAAGACAAGCCGGACAGAGCACTGTCTGAGGACAGCAAAAGAGTATATCACCACATGTTTTGAGAAGTGACTAGTTATAATTCACAAAAAATATATCTAATTTTTCTACAGCTCAATGTACATCTAATGTCTCTTAATATATTTCCAACCAAAAACAAATCCAACGGAAAGGCAAACATACAAATTTATGTAACTTGTGGAACAAAGCATCCATCCATTTTCTTCTACTGCAAAAAAGCTCGGCCATGGGAGGAGCAGTCTAAGCAGAGCATACTTCTCTGAATGAGTTGGAGGAACTGTGTGGAGATGAGTCCTGAGGTGTTCCCAGGCGAGCTGAGTGACATAGCCCCACTTCCCCCCAGCCGCCCTCTCTATAATGTACAATCACAAGAGTTCTTGTATTGCAGAGGAATACAGACTCGTTAAACTCTATGAGATCAAGTGTTTTTAGCATGCATATAACTATTTAATGGTGCCATATCCACAGCTATGTGAAATGCTATACCACCTTGAACTTCTTCCATATTCTATACTCCGCGTTTATAGACCACCAAACTAAGTGCTATACCATACATTAATGGCTAAGTGGGTGCCGCCATGTTGAATGAGAAAACACGCAAAGGGAGGGAAAACAAAAGCAAGGAGGCGGGGGGAGCAGGTTAGCAAAGCTCAGCGAAGGCCAACAAGCAAAGTGGTGAAGGTTAAATATAAATGTATTATTGATATATACAATATATCATATCGAGTTTTAAAAATATCTCGATATCCTTAATAGAGATATTGCGCACCCCTAATTGTCAGATGCAAACACTGCCGAGGGATGTCCGGTCCCTGTACATCCGGACACCTCCACAAAGAACACTCAAGGGAACATGGTCAAACGCCTTCTCCAGATCCACTATGAATATTTGGAGAGGTCGGGCGAACTCCCATGATCCCTTGAGTAAGTCTAGGTAGGACATAGGGCTGGGCAATTAATCGATTTTAATTATTAACTCAAATTTGACGTTTAGGGAGATTTCTTTTTAATGAAGAAATCTCCCTAAATCTCCCTCCCGCTGTAGCTCTCCAGCGCAGAGCTACAGTGCTAACATGCTAACCACGGGTGTTGAGTCATTTTGGAAACTCCCTAATGCTAACAGTCTCCCTCTGCTCTGACCCTCTCTCTCACAGTGTGGTGCTGTGGCAATAACACTTCAGACGTTCAAGAATCAGACTTTATTTAATAGCGGCCGGGCACACGCGTGTCCCACTGAGCTGCTGCACTTTGGGGAAAGACGTCTCAAACATTGGTCTCATTGCTCTGATACAAACAACGCGTTCCGTGCTCGGGCTGTTAGCTACAGTGGCAGAACTTAAACAGGAAGAGAAACAGAAACTTAATTCGCACAACGCAGTAGTCACTGAAGTTAGTATTAGCGCCACCAGCTGGACCGAGCATTGTACTACAGCACAGTTGCTCTGGCACGGTTGAAAGAACAAGCATGAAAACCCAAGGAGGATTTAGATTAAACTGCAGTGTTTCCCATACATAGGCGCACCGCCACAGATTCGAGACCGACCGCCACACATTGCGTTTCGTTATTAACCCTCTAGGCGCCACGGTCGACTTAAGTCGGTATTGCTTAAAACGGCAGTGTGTGTCAAACAGAGTGTCAAAATTCATTCATACTCCTTGCCACTTGTTGGCAGACATGTCAGACTACCTCCCTGGCCCCAAAAAACGTCATGCTCACATTCAAAATATTCGAGCAAGGCCGCGTTGAATCATAGCGAAGCGAATGCAGCTGCGAGGCTGCGTGCGAGTGTTATACCAAACACTAACTTAAGACACTTTGCACAGAGTCTGCAGTGGAAACACTGTTTCTCAGGGTCAGGGCTGTCATTGGGAGGTTTGGAGACTGGAAGTGGCGACGGGGCACCGCGCCGTGACTCCAGCCTCTGCTACAGTCTCTGCTAAAATCTCCGCAAATAGTGCTTCCCACAGATGTTTTTATCGTGCCTCCCGCCATCACCGGGACAGTAACGTGTTGGAGAAGCCTTTGTCTGGTGTTTGTTAGACGAGAGCGAGAGTAGGGGAGACGAGAGCGGGGGAGACAAGAGAGAGAGCGGGGGAGACACAGCAGGAGAGTCGCGGTGACACTCAAGCGCGCGCTTCACCTGGAGGCGCGTGCCTGGGCAGAGTGCTCACAGCAGTCTGGGGCAGTCATGATTTGCATTTTTCTACTATTTCCCCGAACATTTAGCATGTTACAGTGCGAGTTCTCTTTGTGTTCATGTCCAAGTGATTTATATGTCTGTCAGTTAAAAGAAAACAAACATTTTATGAGAATTCTAAAATCCACAATTTCCAACGCCATTTGACGTCATAATATGCTAATTAGATGGGTACACTTATTCCCTACATAAACTTTTGGCCATCCTTAATATTATTCTAACTTACAGAAAGTCTTCCCCCCCCCATTTTTTTTTGCCATATCGCCCAGCCCTAGTAGGACACAAAGCAAGAATTATGATATTTAAGAATACATCTAAAAAAAATGGTCACAGAAAAGACATACCGGTACATTGCTAATAAAATTATAATGAAATTAAAGACGGCTTATAACTAAAAAAAACATATCTAGATGCCTAAAACAGGTAGTACCTTTGCTTTGTGGGGGGTTCTGGGTGCGATCTCTGAGGATGTTGATTTGGTGAACAGGTCCGAAGGGTTCGAACAGCTCTCGTAGCTCCGTTTCAGACCAGGTACGTGGGATCTGCCCCACAAACATTTTGATTGAATCCGGATCAGGCTGATCCAGGTGTTCCAGTGACCCGTTCATCTTTGTGCCGTTGCCATTGCTGAGGGAAAACATAAATATTGTATCATCATTTTTATTTAGTCTTTGGACAAAATAAGGAATTGTCTCTGTATTTTGGCACAAACAATCAAGAAATATATCAGTGAAAATGTTTACTTATACGCAAGGCATGATAAATAATTCTTGAAAAATATACACACCAAACAGGTCATAAGTGCAAGACTAGTAGTGCAATTTCTCAAAATATCTTGAGAACAATCCTTAGGTCAAAATTGGATGAGGGAGATATTAACAAAAGTGAATCCCATCTCCAACCATAAGAGTAAAGTAAACCCTGATTATAGAATCATTAAACAGAGTAAGGCTGTAGCCATCAATCAATGCTTTTGATTATGTAGTCTCTAAATGTTGTACATTCCACAAAACTTCCAAATATGCTTTAGTAAAGGATATGTATATAACATTAAATGAGTGATTTTTTTTTCCAATTAATATTCAAAATTACCATAATTCATAATTCAATTAAGTGAAGTTGCTTCACTTAAATTATTTTTAAATATGGGAGAAAACTGTTTTCAATACAATTTTAACACATTATAGAACAGTGGAAGCAGCAATAGGCTTTCACACACAAAAAGTAGTGTAAACGTTTTGCGGTAATGGGCTGAATGATAAACTTAACTGCCATTTCCTTGCAGGCGTGTCTCTAGAGACAATGAATCAATATCACTTCCATGCATCTGACTACAGCACTCATGACTCCAACTCATAAAAATGACATCACAAATGTTTACTGACACAGGGACAGAGACCACCTCACTTTATCAAAGACCATATAAAATGCAGAATGTTTTTATGCTGAAAGTGCAAATACGGTGAGCACAAAACGGTCCCTGTTCGATAGAAGACATGATAACTACGGCACACACAGACCTTTGGACACGAGTCATCCATCTTTTACAAATCGAACTTAGGCGTTCAGCAGAAACCCCAAACTCCTTTAAGGTTTTAAAGGACATGTTCAGAGCGACACTGACGTTAATTAGATTACAAATCTTACAAAAAGTCAACTTCAGCCGACACTAGTCGAATGCTGACACTCATTACAGAGTGTATGTGAACGGTAAAAAAATATCCAAATGAGAATGTGGGCTCCCCTCCTACAGCAACAGAAAACCAAAACGAACAGATCCCCACAAATAGCTCTGGTTCAGCACAAGTACATTTCCAGCAAAGCTTGCCGTTGGGCGCGTGCGATGGCACAGCCGGTAACCTCCAGCTCCTCAGCCCAGTGTGGGAACAATCACATATTGTTCACTGCAACTCCATGCACAATGGCAGACTCACTGTGAGCGTCCGAGGCTTAGTCTGAGGGGCCTCGGCATTGAAGTGTGACACCATTTATACAATTTTTCTTGTAGCAATTTTGTTTTGGGTCCTTACACTTTGTTTAAGGTCCATCCTCAGCAGGGAGGATTTTAGATTGGCCACACTGGCCTTCCAACTGAAAACATTCTTCTGAGCTATACGGAAAGGGGCAATTAACATTTTATTTTACATCTCAAAACAATCTTCAAAGCTGACAACATTACGGCAATACATTCTAGTGGATTTTATGTGCAAAAATTAGGGATGTCCTGATCTGATTTTAGCATCTGTATGGGCAGCCAGTTTGGCCGTTCGAGAGTATCGTCAAGTGTGGCTGGGGTGGTTCAAAAAATATTAGAAAAAAACACTATATGGAGTCAAAATATATGCATTCCACTCAGCGTAACATTTCTTATAGGGTTTCCTTAATATATAAACCACAATTGAAACGTATGTGCAGAAGCTTTTGCTAAATTTTGGGACATGTGCAAAATCATAATCTATTCAAAAGTTATCCAGCAGCCCACTTAGCCATGTTCACGTTAGAGTTTCCATGGTCACTATAGTTGCACCCATCACCGATGGCCTACACACATCTTAAAAGATCAGTGATACTCTGCATAACACATTGCCTTTGTGACACAAACTAATCATGAATCAAAATCTACATGTTCAACCTTAAAAACAGCAAAAGAATCCTCCCATTGAAATAAATACAATACAATACAAGTTATTCTTGTATAGCCCTAGGTCACAACAGAAGTCATCTCAGAGGACTTAACAAAACCATTGAAATCACCAACACAGGTTAGAGAATCAACAGTTAAAACACATGAAAAATATAAAGCACACACAGAAGAAAATGTCTATACATGTTGTAGAATGCTAAAGTGTCCTGATCATCACCAATCCTTTCTGTTGGACACTAACTGTCCTGCATCGACAAGGAAAAACTCTAGAGAACTAGGGAAACCCACAGGGAGGGAGACCCATTTGAGAAAGGAATCCGCTCCTCCGGACGGACAGGCTAATGATCTAGGACCTAAGCTAGCTACAGAACGTGGACCAGTGGCCACGTTCCAATCCATATTATACAGCATAATACACAACATAACATACAGCATAATACACAACATAACATACAGCATATATAAAATATATATATATATATATATATATATATATATATATGCTAAATTAAAGAAGAGTGCTTTAAGCCTGGCCTTGAATGTGGAGACCGTATCTGCTTCCTTAACATAAATGGGAAGCTGATTCCACAGTAAAGGAGCTTGGTAGCTAAATGCTCTGCCACCAACAGTGATTTTTGAGACCTTAGGAACCACCAGACGTCTGGCGTTTGGTGAGCGCAACGCTCGACTTGGTTGATATGACACTAACGTGTCTTGGAGATAGGAAGGAGCCAAGCCATTAATGGCTTTATATGTTAAGAGAAGGATTTTAAGCTTTATTCTGTACTCCACAGGGAGCATGGGGTGATTTTAACAAAGGAGTTATGTGCTCCCTCCTTTTGGTACCTGTTAAGATCCTAGCTGCCGTAATTTGAACGAGCTGGAAGCTCTTCAAAGAGGTTTTAGGGCATGCTGCCAATAAAGCGTTACAGTAGTCAAGTCTTGAGGTGACAAAAGCGTGAATTCGTTTTTCCGCGTCACTTTTAGGAAGGAAATTCCTAATTTTAGCGATGTTCCGTAACGTAAATTCCGTAAATTGCAAATAAAATCACAATCTCAATGTTTGTCACACACACAACATTTTTTTTACAATTTAAAATAGTTCAAACAAGAGCTCATCTAGGTAAACCAGTCCTTGAAAAGTCTTATGCTGAGCTTTCACAAACAGCATGTGATGTGGCAGCCCGACAACTGAAGACGCCCTGCAGCAGCTGACGAGTCACTCAGAGTCAGGCACCTCCATAAAAACAGGTGATTTATCTCAACCATGTGTTTGTGGGCTGAGGAGACTAGGCATGCAGACACCACCTTGTCCTGGGACAATAATAGCAAACCTGTTAATTAGGCTAATAAAACTAGCTATTTTGAAAGATATATATATTCCATTGATAATAAGAAAAATAAAAAATAGTCACCAACAATTGGGTTAGCATTATGTGTTGTGAAAGAAATCAGTGTACGCGGAAATGTGCTCCTCCATGCAATGAACTAGACAACGACTTCATCCGTGACCCATTGTTTGGACACAGCTATAAATGCTGCATGGCTCTTGCTCCATTCCTGTGCAAGAGTAAACAATATCTGCATGCGAGCGAGCTGCGTCTTTATGCTCGATAAAAGCTGTGGTGCCAATCATTTCTACTGCAGAAATATCAGCGCTGTCCTTACAGGCAGAGCAGGTATGTGTGTCTATATGTCCAGAAAACCACACACGTGTCTGATTGTGCATACGTGCAGTGTTGCCCTCTTGGTTGAAACCTGGTTTAGACAAAGTCCAGTTCAGACTGGGTCCAGTCCTGGACCCAGAGGCCGCACCCACCAAACAGATTAAAACTTGGATGGATTGTTTGATTTTCTACTTCTTCCAGATGGATCAAAGACTATTGGTCCTCCCAATTATCAATCATTCTGGTGATAAGTGCTCATCAAATAAGACCAGAGAGTTGTGTTCAAAAAGTGGAGAGGGTGATTCTTTTCTAAAATTTGGGAAAATCCTCCTATATACCTTTAAGTGTTTTATTTTGATCTTAGGATGGATCTAAATCACTACATATAGTGGTATAATATTTTCATTGTCTTTTAATGTAATCTGTCTCAATTAATTGTTGCCTATTCCTGATGAAGACAGACATGTTCAATCAGGCTTTGAATGGACTGCATGTTAACAGACTGCCTGGATCTGATGACATGGCCCGCCCCATTAGCTCCATAATCACAGTGAGGGCCCATGGTGGTTGGAGATGGTGATGAGGTTTGTATGATGGTGTAACTATAAACATGCCTCTTCGCCACATTAAGGATGAAAAGAACTCTGAGAACAATGACGGAGCCTTCACCAAGCTAAATGAGACGACAAACATCTAGCTCAATGCACTGATTCCTTTTGATTACTGTGACAGGCTTGCAAGTGAAGGGGACTGAGGCATTCAATTGTTTTGACCTGAAATAAAGCAGTGGACCATCGCAGGGTGTAATAATAAATTACTTGTGTTGTGATTATGAGATCTAAAGTTAAGCAACATTTATACATTTACTTTAACATACTCCTCATTGTATGAGAAAAAGCAGTCAAATGTTTTTTCTTGTGACCAATCAGTGAAAGTAGAACAGACACACATAACAGTAATAATTTTAGTGTCCCATCTTTTGGTTCAATGCTCTGCACACAAAGCCAAACTTTTCAGACCAGGGCCATCAATTTAAACCAACTTGTGACCCCCACTGCAAGAGACAGACTATAGAGATGAGAAAAGAAATGAGAAAATGAGAGCAGCAACAACACGTTCTAAAACATTGCAGTAGAAAGTGTATTAAAGAAGCAAGAACTATGCAATATTTGTTTTTGGTTTATTTGGGGAAAGAAATATAACCCCTCACCACACACTTTCTACACCGGGGCGAGAGTGCCATCAAGTCCTGGGCTCAGCGTGATCCCAAACTTCCGCTGCCCTGCAGTCTGTGGCATGGTGCGCGCCTTCCCTGAAGTCTGGCCGCAGACAGAAGAACAATCTAACAGTTAAGTGCATGTGGTCTCTGACACCTCAGAAACCCTGAACCAGTATAGGCCCGGGTTCAATTGGTGATATTTCAAGTTAATACTTTTCTTAAAACAAAAACGGTCAAATAAAAAGGCTCCTTTTCTGCTGCTCTGCTTGTGATTTTATATGGACTGAAAGTCGGATCACTGCACGAAAAGTGCTCCATGCAGAAACCGGGCTGCAACAGAAATCCTTTCTACTATAGAAACCTCTGCTGTGATTGAGTGTCCACAGATGTGTGTCGGAGTGTGACCACGCGTGCATGTCTCAGTGTGCAGCAAAGCCCTGTTGGTTCGGACCTGGTTAAGACCGGGTCTGGTCATGTCTCTGGATATGCGGGGGGCAGAGACCATGAACAATCCATCTGCTAACCTATGGTGGTGTTTACACGGAGATGCTACGGAGTTGGGTATCTGTTTGGCCTTTTATTTAAATGAAGACAGTGTTTCGATGCTAATGCACTACACAGGAGAATTCTGCTTCGTCCATCCAAATGAAACCATGCAAAGCTGTAGTTCGTTTCCATTTTCGCTGCTACAGTTAAATACAGAATTATGTTGGTGATTTTCTTTTACGTCTTTGCCGTGGCCTGAGGAGGATGTTGAGTTGGTTATACTCCTACTCTGGCTCCTAGTGATTGGGATCGTTTGTTTTTCAGTAAGTAAAGAAAGGAAGGAAAATTCCCAGAATACTTTTGATTTTATGGTCAATCTTTTTAAGTGCATGATTTAATTAAGCCAATTTGCGTATGTGTCCTGTGCAGCAGAATTTAGTGGTTGCCATTAGCGCAAATTATAGTACATCCGTGGTTATAACAGATTAGCTATTAGCATTGGCACTGCCCAAAGTGTATACATAGTAAGTAAGTAAGTAAGTTTTTATTTATATACCGCCTTTTCACTGCAGATCTGAGTCTCAAAGCGGTTTACAATTGTTAATTTTGGGCATTTGTCTCTCACTCCACACAGAGATGGGAGCGGGGTCGCCAGTACAGGAAGCGCATGCCAGAACTATTGGACATATTTTTAGTGGTTGGGGAAACCGGAGTACCCGGAGGAAACCTACGCAGACACGGGGAGAACATGCAAACTCCACTCAGAAAGGCCCTGGTCCGACCGGGATTCGAACCCAGGACCTTCTTGCTGAGAGGCGAGAGTGCTATCCACTCAGCCACCGTGCCGCCCACATGCAGCACAATTTGCGCCACACAAGATGGCAGCTTATGTTCTTTTGTTCAGACTTTTCACATATTAAGCGGTCCGAATGGGCTATCAAGTCATGTTTGTCATTTTTGTTTAATTCCATCTATTTAAACTGTTCAAAGCACAATTCATAAATCGAGAAACATTAAGAAATAAACAAGTATTACAATTCTTATATTAAGTAGCCATGTTTTAATACAAAACCACCTGGTGCCTCTTCGGGAAGTATGGACCATTCTCTGCAGTTCATAGGTGTGGCACTGAAAATTCAGGTGTGGCGATCGTAAAGCTGAAGCACTGGCTCAGTTGCAGAGGGGTAAAGGGTGCATGATAACGTGAGCCCCTTTTCCACTGCATGTTTTTGGGTCGTCTCTACTCAACGCAACTTGGCCCCAGTTCTGAAAGTTTCCATTGTGTGTCAACCCCTGGGAGCACATAATTTATTAGTTTGTGCATTTAGTCTATACTAGACTTGACATGATCTGATTGGGTGAAAGAGGTAACAGAGCAGGAGATGATAATAGACACTACTGGCTATTATCACCGGATTTACAACAGCAAGTTTTGGGAAACTTGCTGATTTGGGAATCTGGAGTAATTCCAGATTGACTGCACAATGTTTGAGTATTGAATAATTTGAATACCATTTGTGTAACTCCAACATACTTTATGTTGGCATTAAAATGAGAAACATTAAAAATAAAAGGATATGTCCCGCATGGCTCCTGCATCGTGGGGGGAGCTTATAAGTAAACTTCTCCAATAAAATTACCAGAATGATTTAAAAATGATTTATATATGTATATACACATATATACGTGATTATAAAAATATTGAAACAGATCCGCTTTCTGGTGAGAAAGCACAAGACCTACATTAATAGTTCATCAAAAAGCCCCGGTCTAAACTGCCTTCCAGCTGCGACCTGGAAGGCCCTGTAAAAGACGCCTAAATACCTTCCTTTTTAAATCAGGCCTATTAGGGATTTTCCGTCCATCCATTTTCTTCCGCTTCATCCATTGCCGGGTCGTGGGGGCAGCAGTCTAAGCAGAGACGCCCAGACTTCCCTATCCACACACACTTCCTCCAGCTTGTCCGGGGTGACCCCAAGGCGTTCCCAGGCCAGCTGAGAGACATAGTCCCTCCAGCGTGTCCTGGGTCTTCCCCGGGGTCTCCTCCCGGTGGGACGTGCCCAGAACACCTCCCCAGGGAGACGCCCAGGAGGCATCATCTTGACGTGACTGAGCTCCTCACCCTATATCTAAGGGAGCGCCCAGCCACTCTGCGGAGAAAGCTCATTTCGACCGCTTGTATACGCAATCTCGTTCTTTCGGTCATTACCCAAAACTCATGACCATAGGTGAGGGAGGGAACAAAGATTGACCGGTAAATCGAGAGCTTTGTCTTTCGGCTCAGCTCAGGCTCCATCCTTCCCTCACTTGTGAACAAGACCCCGAGATACTTGAACTCCTCCACTTGAAGGACTGGCTTAGGGATTTTATGAGCTTTGAACCCCTTCATGTTTCTTTTTGATGTAGTTATGTACTTCTGATGCTTTTGTTTGGTTTGTTTGTGGTATTGCATTCTGTAGCACTGAGGTTTCCTTAAAATGGAAGGTGCAATATAAATAAATTATCATCAAAACAGCAATGTAAAAAAATAAATTAGTTTTAAGGGACCGTATTTAACAGGTTGCTAGTTATCCTTTGCTGTGTCTTCAAACTGATATTGGGGGAAACTCCGTTGAGGGTTTTGAATAGACTTTTGAATAGAGAAATTAACTTCCGGAAACATAAGCTCCGCCCACTTCGCAGCTCTATCGCAGTGGTTGAGCTCAAATATGTACCACACCACACAGTATCTCCTCCATTAGAGAAATCTGTTGACACCACACGAGCTGTATGCATCCAACCCTTCAAACACATGCTCATTTGATAATAATTGAAAACCACTTGAGCTCCCACGTAGGAGTTACATATTTCTAGCACTGCTTTAACGTTAAATAAATATCAAGATCCAGAAAACACAGCCTGTAATTTCTTAAGAGGGAATACAACGAGACAAGAGCGGTTAAATGAGCTCAAGCCAATGTCTCAGCTTGTTTACATGTTCTCTGTCACAAGGTTTCCATTAATGGCTCAATAATGTTGCAAACCACGTGTTTCTGCCCTGAAGTCTCCCAACACTCCCAACATGGACGGACAGGCTGAGTTAGCGTGAATGCTAACAGGAAAAGAGCAGAAACCCTGTGGACTGCCTACAAACTAGATCAGAAAGGCAGCTGCATATCTTGCGAAAACAAATCACCCATGGGCAACGACCAATTGAATTACGATCTTATCATTATTGTTTATCACTCAACATAACACGTCTACATTTACTCAACCGAACATCAAAGTAGTGTTTGTCCTGTCCTTTGGGAAAGCTGGCTCAACTTCACATTAAACGCTGTGTATCAAAGTAGTTCATGGAAATCGGCGAGGTTTAACCATGCTCATTAAAAAGTGCTAATGTTATCTCCGGGAACACATGTCTCTTTGGCGAATGTAGGGCGTCCAGTTCGCGGTAGCTAGCATTTCGTCATTCGTTTTATTACATTCGTGCAAAAGTCCTTTTTTCGACGTACATTTGAATACGGCGTGTTCTGGCTAAAACTGTAACAATGGTAGATGGAGTTTGTAGAAGTTCCACAACTTGCGAGCCATCTCCGTCAAATGTACTTCGTGCTATCAGTGTTAGCATTACAGTTCTCGGTGAGGCTAACGCTAGCCCACTCCCACGATCTCTTTGAACTGGTTTGTTTCGCCTTTAAACACGCAATAAGGTGCGGCTCACCGTCCATGTGCAGATATATTACTTACATTGTGTCGCCAGAAGACATCAGTCGACTTTCGTTCAGAGGGAGAAAATCCAAGTTATACGCCGAAGTCATGCTCAAAGCAGCGTCTATCTAACAATGAGAAGCGACGCCCGCTCTCCACATCCACAGACACAGCGGAGACGAGGCTGAGCAGGTGGGGAGAGGAGGGGGAAGTACAGGGGCGTCTTCAAAACTGCACTTGCCTTGTTTCTTCTTGCTAATTTCACTCTTGTTTCCAGCACAAATAATAGTATTTAACCACAGTGCACAGCAAACTGCAGTAAGCCAGAGGCGTGGTGTTTCACTAATGTCTAAAAAGCTATTGCGATGTGCGGATTCACCAATCATCATGTGCATGCAATTTGCCCATGACAGAGTAAGCTATGGTTATTGTTTTGACGATGTAATTATCTGGACTAGTCCCATCCAAACAATGTATTTTCAAACATCTATCATCCTCATTCCTACAGTTTTGAAACCTCTGATGCAACACTGAAATTTCCCCACTATGAGACACATAAAGGATCTCTTGTCTTTTAGTAGAAGATGGTGTAATTGGAGTTAAATGTTGTCGGAACACGGGTATTGTGTTGTTCAACATGTATTTACTCTTTTTAAGGATTATAAATTCTCTGAAAACTCAATGTGCAGTTTATGTTGGCTGTTTCCGTGGGGTCACAGGTCAGCTCTCCTTTGTGATGGACCCTTGTTTCATGGGGGAGGGGCCTAACCTCTTTTGTTGTTCTGGACTTGCTGGGTGAGGTCTCTACACTTGGGATAGAAAGGTAGGGGGCTGCTGTTGTCATGTTCAGCCATGGCAGAGAGGCTTGACGAGAGCGAGGCTAATCATCAAAGCAACCGTTATTGCTTCAGCAGCTGCACAATCCTAAATAATATTAATCAGTAATAAGAAAAATCTAATTTGTGAAATCCAACATAGTCTTTGTATCCATGGAGTTTGTAGACAACATGGCAACTAAAACAGAATAAGCTATTAAACAGTGTCTAAATAGGTTGGTGCATAATGTGATATTGCCTACATGCAGACAAGCCCACTATGCAACATGCATTACCATTAAAGCTCGAGGGGCTGCTATAAAAAGGCAATCTAAACCTCTCCTAAGAGTCGAGTTTCATTAAGATGGAGGAAAAATACAATAATGTTGTTTCGTCTGCAGCATACACACATTTCCTTTGACTCAATTGCATCTCAGGGGATCACCCTGACAAGATTTGTTTTAAAGGGAAGACAATCCCCCTAAAGTGCCACTCCCGTTTCCTTAATACTGCCCAGGCCAATATCTACATTTCTGAGAACACGTTGAATCCCCTTACACTGACCCATTCCTAATCAAAGATTATTACTACTGTAATCCCAATATAATCAATGACATGCCCCATGCTTTTGTTGTTTACATCAAGTTGTTTTGGCACATTCAGTTGTTGAATAATTTTGATTTTTCCAATTTTGCAAAAACAAAACATGGAAGAGATAAATCCAATAATTTAACCTACTTCTTTCAGATGTGGAATGCTTTATTTCTAAGGCAAGTGCAGAGTGGTAAAATACTGATATCTCTTAAAATGGAAGATAAATTTGATATTGTTTTGTAGAAAGGGCTAGCCACATCTGTACACATGTGATGAATTCTAAAATGCTTTTTGCCCCTCAATTTTTTGGGACAATGTATGTTTGCACATTACAACAGACCATTTATTCAGAGAGGTCTGATATTATATTTCAGTCGCTCAGGAAAGGTATAAATGCAGTCCTTTGGATTCCCAGGAAAGACAAACATTTTAACTAAACCGTGATCATATCATGGAAGAATGCCCTAACTGAAAGCAACATAATCTATGACAATATCCAGCCCAGACAAAGAGCAATGCAAATACAGCCTGCTCCACCAAGGCAGGATGTGTATGAAGCACCAAGCCTACCTCAAAGGCAGGTCCTCATTCCTGACAGAGATCCCGGCTGCAGACTGGGGACAGCGCATGCTGTTGGCATACAAACTCTGCACCAGGGCCAGCTCAGAAGAGTGCTCCAACATTGGTGCTTTGGAAAAATCCACCGCTCAGTAAGACACTTTCTCCCGTTTCCTTCTGTTTGAGTCCCCTTTCTATCTATCTCCTCCCACGCTCTCTGGGTTTAGTGCAGCGGAGCGCGCCCACCCCTTCACTGGCTTGCGTGGCTGAAATAATCCTCTCTGACAGCTCACCGTGCGCTAATGCATTGTGCCGCCTGCGGCATCCCCATTTGCAAACAGTAAAACTGTGGACGCAGTAACACGCTTGCACTATAATTGACATCCATATAAGGAAAACGTTGAGAAATTGGACCTTGGTTATTTATTCCCAGAGTCACTGTTGGAAAATTATGTTTACATTCCTCCTGTGTTTACACTGGTACCTGTTCATCAGAGCTCTTGGGTCCTGATAGGGTCCTGTTTAAACTTTGAGGTCAAATAGTTCCCACACTCTACCTGATATATTGAGCCACTGTGGCTCAATGAGGTGAGTCAGTGACATCTATTATGTACATAGACAATGTACAGTTTGCAAGAATTTAAACACCATATAAATTGTATTAATACCGGTCCCAGAAGAGACCAATTTAGATTGAGTTTAAAAGTCCGTCTGCAGTGCTGAAAAGGTTATATTTAACTATCATAGCAGTCCCCTGTGGGTCTACTTAGTGAATTGTACAAACAGCATATTCAAATGCTTTGCTTTTATGTGATTTGACACATTCAGAATAAGAAGCAAAGCCACAGCCGTCAGTGATGGCAGCATTCAGAGCATACTGAAAAGACTTAACAAGAGTGTTTTATCAGAGGCTGTCTTCAGGTTCATTTGCATTGTGGAGGCTTATTTGCCTGTAGCCAGAAATCTATAGTTAGAATGTTTCTGACAGCAAATCATTTTAATAATATTCAAATCATATTGCACAGCACCCATTTGAGCTAAATCTAGGTCTGACTTTCCCAAAGGAGCCCTTCCTCATCAGTGTAAAGGGGAAGTCGACTAAAATAAGGTCACATTGGATGAGCTCCTGTCATAGTTTGGAAGCCCAGCATGGAGGCTGCACTTACTCTGATGTATGCACCAAATCCTCTCCATTTCTGCAGCACTCTTCTGCTGACATGAATATTTTAAACACTGAACCCACTTCCTTATGACGTGCTGGTTCTTAGTTTGACTGTCAGAGCTACAGGCACCAAGTAGAACAACCCAAGCCTTTCTTATTACTCTGATCCTACAACTTGTAACTCCACTAGAAAACGCAACTTCCTATATCATCTGAGTGACAACAAATGTAGGGATTATGATACAAAAACCACATTATAAAGACAAGATGTATTTATAACTCATTGACTCTAGCACAAAGGGGGGCATTAGTCATTCTCAGCCTCATGCCTGCTGTAATAAGCCAAATAACAACACATGTTTACAGCATTTTGCTTGTGCTGAGTGAAATCTAGCATGAACTTCCCCTTTATTTCAAGAGGCTCTGGGAAAGACATCACAGACAAAAGAGCAGTGTTTGTGTGTTTCAAACCACGAACGCACAACTGCATTTTTACTGATATCTAGACAACAATAACCTTGAGAGCCATCCTATCTATTCTTGGGCCATAATTGTTTTGTTCCATAACAGTAAGAATTGGGCTTTCCTTTAAGCAATATTTAAGGTCAAACATATGCGATAAAGCTGCAGCACTGAGCTTTAACTGAAGGAGACCTGACACCAGCATGTGTGATTTAAGTGTGACACATCACCTGTTAGAAAAGTTAAACTATTGCATATGACAAATATTTGAGACAGTAAGACATTTATGCTGAGTGCACTGTGCAAGGCAAGGGTAACTTCTCATGTCCGGTGTAGATCACTTTTTCCACTTCCTCCTTGACAGAAGACAGTCATTTGTGCCTGTCAAGAGACTCATACAGACACACACACAGACACACGCACACACACACACACACAATAAGCAATTCACTTTTACTCAGCTTTCCACAGCTCGAATATCATCCATTTGTGTATTCAAAATGCACATGGATTAACTCCAGCTAGCTGAATTAATCATTTTATCACAGGAACAAATCTACAGAAAAAACTAAATGCTGAATACATAATAAGAAACATTGATGATTGTAGAAAAGACTGATCAAGTGTTTCTGAATGTCATTTTTATACATTACAGTCAGACCTTTCCTTATCATAAACTCACCGTAAACAGGGAAATTACAATCCAATTTACCACGCACTACACTTCTATTGTTAAAAATCTGCTGACAGTATACACTTTAAGGTGCAGTTTGCCATGTGTAGAAGTCAGCCGTGACAAAGGTTAAGCTCTTGGACATAATTGGTCTTTTACGTGCCCGTGATCTCGTGTGAGAGTCATTTGAAGCGCGTGATCGTGAAGCTGCAGTTTCATAATTGAAAGAGTGACATCATGTGGCCACATTGGGAAACTACAATGTCTGTGGAAATTTACTCATGATTGTGTTTTGTGTCATGTGTATTTGAACAGCCAAAGGGTGTAACATCAGCCAAGGGGTCATAAGTTAACAATGTATAGATTGTTCGGTCATGTGTTTGGCTGAATCAGGAATATTAAAGCACAGCGTTTTTTTAACGCAGGAAAGAAACTACCAATATTATTTAGTGGCCGAAATTATTTTCCCTTTTAAAATCAATGTTTTATTCAAAAACAAATACACTCACACAGGTCCAAGGCTTTAAGATCACAAAATGAAACACACTGTACAACACGAAATCAGACTTCATCCACACCACTGTCGTTGAGACTGCGAGCAAAAAGGATCCCACGGCATGATACCTAGATCCATTTAAATCAAATGTATTGTTTTGTATTGAAATGGTTTTTCTTCTAACCATATTAAATAAGACCTATCAGTCTTCAACAACTTTTGAGCTCTGCCCAAGGCCAATAAAAAGAAAGGACAAGGAAATATGTATTTTTATGAATTCAGGTCACATGTGTTTGTATACAACATGAAACATTGTTTAAACATTATCCATTTTGAGGCACAGATCAAAGTTTGTAAACAAGGCTATTGAATAATTAGTCATTGTATGTGGAGAAGATAGCGTGCAGGTTGAAAAATAAAACATGTACATGTAATAAAGATAAGTGTGTTTAAGTCTGCAAGTATACAGACTGTTTGTCTTTAATATTGAAATATCAGAAGGGATTTACATTACAGCCACAGTATAACTCCAGGACAAATCCATGTGTGGAAAATTAAAAAATACACACTTTAAATTTAAAAATGAAAATGTACAGAAATTACAAGAAAATAATTTGAGTTAAAAACAGATATTTTTGAAATGAATTTAACAAGTGAGAATCTCTAAGAACAAAATGCAGTTGGTCTGGTAAAGTTATTTACACATTTTACATACCCAGTGCCATCTGTCTGTACAGTACAATTAAACTGCAGAGAAAAAAAATAATATATAAATGTCTCCAAAAGGAACAAACAAGGCTCTCTGAACAGAAATAATGACATTAGAAAAACCTGCTGGCACACATACATTTTGTTGTAAGCTGATTTCATCAAACACAATCATGATCTTTACAACTAGATGTTGCAAACAGGAAACCCATACTGATTGAAGGACCATATAGACTGTCTACAGCCTATAGAACTGATAAAAGATGTGCAAAGTAAAACCACCCTTTCTCAGCAATTATGTCATTGGTTGTAATTAGAACAAATGATAAATTTAAGATTTTTTTTTTTTTTTTTACAGTAGTGCAGCAAAGATTAAATGATGGTTCCATAAGTCCAAGAATTTGCTTTTGCATAGTCTCAGTGTGGTTTGTGTTTCCTCTTCTTATGCTTTTTGTCTTTCTTTTTTCCAGAACACTTTATACAAAACCATGGCTGGTCCTCTGGTGGAGCTGCCATGAGCCCAACACAAAGCCTGAAACAGAAATGTAAAAGGTTTAACTATGACGACCAAAGCACAAAACCATATAACCTTTGTTCCAGGTTGATAAAACAACCTGGAAGATAAAACAGGCTTCAGCTTTACTTCAGTCTGTGTCTGTGTTTGTGTGCACTTTTCATGTGGGGTAGTTGAAGGTGAGAGTGAGGAAATGATGTTTATGTGCAGCAAAACATGGTTAGTGGTAGGTGGGAATATGGAATGTTTGTCTATTATGGAAAGCAATTTGCGCTACATGTTTTGTAGGAATAGATTCATTGTTGATATGACCTCACCATAATATACACATTTATATTTATGATTTACGTAAAACTAAATATATCCATATTAGTGTCCTATCATGCTTGATACACACAGCTCAGTGTATCAGGTATGTGGGGTCTGTGTTGCCGGAGTTGCTGGTACATTACACCCCTCTCCAGAACAATGGGCTCGGGCGTAAATTATATTCACTCCCACGTTCATCAACGGGAGTTTGCCGTCAACTAGTAAGACCTATCAGTACTACTACTACTTATTAAAGGTCTCCTCACAGCAGCAGTAGAACGCTCCATTGATTTGAATGTAATTTCAAAATGTTCTACCGGTCAATATTTCTAGAAAACCGACCTCTCAAAATAATGACCGCTGCCCATGGCAACGTTTTGTTTAGATTACACCGCAAGTAGTTCCGGCCACTTCGTCGCTAGCCACTCTCAATAAACGCAAATGCCAATCAATCAACACAATTTAATGTTAATCAGAGAACACATTATAAATATAAATTCTTAACACACATGCATAGAAGTTTTCATAATTATTTGTTAACTTTTTCATGAAAAAAATTGTGTTTTAATGCGATAAAAAGCCGCCCCTGTAAAACTATTAACATTGGTAAAATATTTAGAACACATTTTCAGAGGATCGAATTATGGATTTAGGGTTAGTTTATGTTTGGGTCACTCACCGCTGCTGTTCAGAATTCTATGTTCAGTTTTCATGTAGTTCCAGAGAGTTCTAGTTTGGAAGTTGCTAGCCTAACTGTTACTCGCCTGCCACGGGAAAACCTTTGGGAACTACTTTATTTTCAGTAATCAAATAAACCTTTCGGCATTCATAAAAGTGGACAGAAGTTAATGTTGTGTGTTCAGTTGGTACAAAGCCGTATAATAAGTAGGACAATGTATAGTAGGCAGGTCATTATCGGAAAATAAGTACCTTCAGGGGCAGAAGCAGACCGCTTCGCCCTGTCGGTTGCTGCTGTGACCTGAAAGCCTGTGGCTGATAAATACTATTATTATTTTTTAGAATGATCAATTTTATTTTTGCTGCTACTGGACAACTGAATTTCTCCAACGGGGATCAATAAAGTATCTATCTATTATCCCTTACTTAACCAGTACTACTACTTACCAATGGTACCAATCATCGCAGTCATCACAGCCAATCATTGGACTTCCATCGTCTGGTTTGTTACAGCCAGGACAAATCCAGATTTGGTTTCCCCATTCATCTCGAATCTAAGCAAATCCAGTAAACACATTAATACATGATGTGATTAGTAGTGTGTGAGTGCTTTGTGTACACTACACTCGTAGAGTGCAAACTTGCACCAAGAAGCACAGTTATATTCCTTAAAAAAAAAAAATCCGTTTTCTGAACATTTTCAACAGATGCATAAAAAATTGGAAATAAATATTCCAACATCTATACATCTACTGTATAACACAGAATCAGTAATGCAATAAATCCTGCAAGTCATGATGTCTAAATGGCCTTTTACAGTGCATTTATACTTTCACACACAGTGCTTTTAAAAAAAAAAAAAATTGGGATAGAAAAAATATGCAATAGCAGAATATAAAGACCATCTACCAAGCAACAATTTCAATGCTCTTACCACATAAGTGCTGACCGTCTCTGTAACGACACTGCGGACTGGCGTCTTGTGGGAAGCTGCTGGCGAAAGCATAGGCAAGGGTAGGAGGAGTGAGGGAGGCACAGGGGCAGGGGGCAGCGGTGAGGCAGGAGGAAGCAGGACAGGGATGATCGGGGGCAGAATAGGAGGCAGGGGAGGAGACCTGGGACGGTTGCCTGGTCCAGACCTGGCAACAGGAGTTTTGGGTGCAGGAGTTTTGGGCTCTGAATTAGGAACCACCTTACTGATGACACTGTAAAAAAGCAAATGTTTGTGTCAAATGTTGGATGGGAAGGAGGAGGCATTCCTGATGAGATGGACCTTGATAAGTATCGTAAAACAATGGAATAGGATGTCTAGAATATAAAGTAGTATACAAATGTTTCCATGTTTGCCATGTTTGTAAGTAAGTCATTTTAATTTATCTATTTACAATTGTACACTGCTGCTCAGAGACGACCCGCTTCATTCAGCTGGAAGATGAAGAAAGTTTTTGTGCAGAAACACGTTTTTGACATATGCACGTGGTGTTGAGGCAGTTGGACACAAATATACATAAATATCAATATTTTGTTCAACCGATAGATGTTATTTTCTTTGATGATTACAGAATCAACTGTTGTCCCTCCCATAAATTATCATGTTGGTCATATACCTGCTACATTTGAACAAAGATCATTAGCCAAAGATGCTAAAAACAATGCTAAAAACTTTGCAATAAATGCCGTAAAAGCCAAAGTATGTATTGTTAAACAGACATGAAGCAATAATAAATAAAAGGCTTAAACAACAGCCACCGGTAAACCAAATGAAACCATGAAACCAAATGAAATGATTCAAAAAAGGCCACACCAACATGCTCATTATTATATAGTTTGTGGTTGTGCTTTTGAAAACTTACATTTTGTCCTGGCCAGCTCCTACTCTCAGGGTCAACCGGGGAATGACAGGAGACGGAATGACAGGAGATGGAAGGACAGGAGCTTCAGCCTTAATCTGTTGGGGCAAAAAACAATTCAATACAGTACTTTTAAGATTGGAATCTTGTGTTTTTTTCTGAAATTTTGCAATCGTGAATGTTATTGTATTGGACCATGTATTGGATAAAAAGATGTATATATTTGAAAAAACTATACAAGAAAAAATGTACAAGGTAAGTGTACATTTTCTCAGTTTACAACTATAGAAAAAAGGATGGCTAAATAGAAATATTGTTTTGAAAGTTTTGAAAGTTTAAAAAACATACTACATATGTATCTAGGTCTTGTATTTAGTATCACAGCCCCAAACAAGCGTTCAATATTTTCCAATATTGTTTTTTTCCTTTTCCTGAGATTAAACATTTGGAACCTGGAGGAGAGCGGGCTCTTTCCAATTCCATATAATTCCATAAAAAGTCCAAGACATGAAGTTTAAGACTAACAATATCATGTGGGCATAAACTCACAGGTGTAAATAAAGTGTTTCTATCACCAGTGTTAAGTTTGGTCACCTTCTCCAGTCGTATCCTCTCCTTTTCCTTCTCCCGTTTCTCCTTCTCACGCTCCTTCTCCTTCCTCTTCTCCTCTTTTTCCCGCTCCTTCTCTTTGGCCTTTTCCCGTTCCTTATCCTTGTCTTTCTTTTTCTTTTTCTCCTTCTTTTCCTTTTTCTTGTCCTTGCTCTTTACCTCCTTTTCTTGCAGAAGCAGGGGCAGAGAGGGGAGCATTGAGGGAATCCGGATACAGGTGGCAGGACTAAACAGTGGCGGGACATCGCTCAGACTAAAGGGTGACAAGCCGGACTGTTTTTGTCTGTCATCCTTACTCCGATCTTTGTTCTTCTCCTTTTTATCTTTATCCTTCTTACTTTTCTCCTTGTCTTTTTTCTTGTCCTTGTGCTTTTCCTTTTTCGAGCCATCGCCATCTCTGGACTTTATTTTGATTGAAGCTTCAGGTAACTCATGCAAACCAAAGTCCTCCTCGTCCTTCAAACCAAACTCCTTCCACAGCAGTTTGCCATCTTTGGAAAAGTCTTTGCTCTTGTCTTTATTTTTGTCCTTGTTCTTTTCCTTCAGCTTGCTCTTGTCCTTTTCTTTGTCTTTATCTTTTGGTTTATCCTTTTTCTTAAATTTAGTTTTGAGCTCCTTCTTCAGCTTCTTCTTGACATCCACAGCAGAAACACCTTTACTCTTGTCCTCAAATGACTTCATTAGTGGTTCAGGTGTTGGCGGAGACGCAGATCCAGATGATCCATAATCTTCAAGTTTAACAAGTGGAACAGAGGGTCCTCCCTGGTTTACCTTTCTGAGCACCTCATCGATAGAAGCATCCAGACTCAGGTTTGCCCCAATTGGATGGGGAGGCAAATGCAGGGGGGTTGATGTATCCTTTAGTCCATGACCCATTCCTATCAAGTGTTTAGGTGTAGAGGGCTCCATGATGGTCAGCCTCCTTGGGCTGGAAAAACCGTTGCTATCAGAATCAGAACCAGATGAAAAAGCAAATGGATCCGGCTCCCGCTCAGCACAAGCACGAGCTATTACTGCATCAATAGAGGCATCGATTGCAGTATTATCAGGTTCTAGCTTTAAAAAGGATCCTTCTGCCAGCTCATCTATATTTTGTCGCATTTGAATATTTTCTTTGCCCATCCTTTCACTTAGCGCTGACAAAGGCAGTTTCTGCACTATGTCCATCTTGCTCTGTGGTACTGAGGCCTTTGCAGAACCAAGCTTTGGACTCTTGGGACTTTTAGTTCGACCTGGGGATTTTTTTCTCTCTTTAAACAGTTTTGGAGAACGTATTGGACTGCCGCCTGCAGAAACAGGAGTTAGGCCTTTGGGCGATTTAGTCCGTTGTCTACCTGGTGATGATGCCTTATTCTTTCTTCCTGGCGTGGTGAGGGCCTTAGAATCAGGCTTTGGCACCAATGGAACCAAGGGTCTAAATGAGGGCAAAACTCCTGAAGGCGTTTCGGGGGATAGGGGTTCGATACTGTCATGAGAAGGCAGTATTCCTGGTGGGACACGCTGTGGGTTCAGAGATGTCAAAGGCTCCCTGGGTTCACCCCACTCAGGGCTGAGACCAGGGTGAACACGTGGTCTCTTTGAAGTAGGCATCATTCCCAAAGCTTCATCAGGACTGTCCAAGTGTCGCTTGAGTGGATGGTTCTCGTCATTAATGGCCTCGTCCTCCTCCATTTCCTCCTCATCCTCCTCCAGTGCTACCTGCATTGCCTCGGCCGAGGTGCCCATGTCAGGTAAAGCTTCTTCTTCCTCTTCATCTGTGGACATAGAGAATGCAACAGTCATAACCAATACATTTACAGAAAACAGTACAAAAGTGTAAATTATGATAACTCGCCTTCTTGTAGGGAGACCAGGGGTGGCAAGTAATCTGGAATGTATTCCTTTCGTTCCTCTGCATCTCGAACTCCTGGCTGGGGAAACTGCAGCACATTATTTTTACTGACAGGGAAGAGCGGAATTTGATGGGTGAAGCCCACAGCTTCCATGTTGTTGACATAGTCCTCCAGTTCACCAAGACTGACCCCCATAAGTCTGAATGCCTGACCTAGATCATCCAACATTGGGTCAGTCCTGCCATCTGTAACAGAAGATATACATATAAAAAATGTGGCTTCTGCAAAGATATTTTTTTTAAAGCAAAGTATTTCTGACAACTCGAGTTACACACAGGAAATACTCTAGGCTACTGTACTTTTGACATATAAGGACATAGTAGGGGGCGCCAGTCAGTTGGCTCGAGATCGTGTATTTTGGGCTCAAAAAGTAATGGCTGAAGTAAATGAGGCACTTACAGAGTTCAGAGTAGCGGTGACAGACTTTGGCTAACTGTTGGATGTATCTGTGCAGCACATCTGACAGCAGATCGCATGCAGTAAGTTGAACTGCATCCCAGCCCAGAGCCTGGCAGATCTGCGCCACCGAAACACGCAGCAGCGAGCGGGCATAGCTCTCACACATCTCGCTGACTTTGTTACGGGCTGAATCTCGATCAATTCCACTTCCAAAACATCCTCTGGGTCTTCATGTTCACAAAACCCCAGTGGGGCTTGCAAAAAACCGACGAATGCGGTTAATTTAGAACATCTATTTCAGTAAATAGATTGGCGCTTTTGCCAGAGTCGCCATCTTGATTTCTTCAATAAACCCATCCCAGAAATGCTAACCACGCATGCGCATGTGTGAAGTCACTGCGTCCTGTTTCCTATTTCCTGTTGTGTTCACGTGGTTCTGATAATATAATACTTAATATTTACACTCTACGTATATTATATCTATGGGTTCTGTCTGTAATATAATTTACTTCTTCTTTGATAAAAATCTATATTATGAATCTAATTCAAAAATACTACATTAATGAAATGAAAATCTGGGAAAAAATCCCTTCCTTTTATGGATTTAAAGCATCGGATCTTAAAGTGATAGCTACCATAGAAAATTAGCTAACTATACATAGTTCCCACAGACCAATGAATGTCACATGACCTCCTCGGAGACGCCATCTTTGATGGCACGCTGCTGTGTTTGTGCATTCCATTAAACAGAAGAATGAGAATAAATGTAGATATTCAAACGCAAATTGGAAAAAAAGGGCAACTTTTGAGCAAATAATTGTATATTAATACAATGGCACCACAGTTTAACGTGCTACGGACATGTTTTACATATTTGATCAAATTATGCAGCAAAAATTAACAAGCAATGCAAACATTTCTCAAAAACTTTAGATTTAATACCAGTTGGAGCTCCATTTAATTATTTTAATTATATTAACAATTAATTTAATTAATGCTAATGCCACACGGACACTCTGGATTGCTGTTATTGTTTATTTCCGCGTTTTTGACCGTATGTTTTGGTGAATGGTGGGCAACTGATTTTTCCAGGCGTAAAGAGCAGTTTATTTTATGACACAGATCTTTTTACAGAAGCAATGCTGTTTGTGAACATTGTTTTAGCCCACCATAGAACTATTATTATCTATTTAATACATTTACGTTGCCCTCGAGAGCCTCGGACGCGACACCGATCCTCCTCATAATAAAGTAATCTAACGCTAAATAATGAAACTCTCAAGTTACCAGATATCAGCATACACAAGTTAGTGCTGAGTAAATTACGTCTGTCAACACATTATAAGATACGATACGCACCTGACACAAAGTGCTCCGAGCATATTCTTGCGTGTTTTGAGGGAGTTTCTTGCCTGTTTATCTTCGCAAACCATAACCTCCGTGGTTGTTCTGACAAAAGCTTAGTCTTCTCACATTCATGAAGTCTAATGATGGGTATACTGTAAAATCCAAGTTTAACGGAACCTCCGGCACGATTAGAACATCCATTGACCCAGCAGGAGATGACCATTTTCAACTTTATCACGACATTAACACGTTTCAGCTTCTTTTTCTATTGTTTTGCCCACAGAATGCCAACACAAATGGCACCGGGTCGGCAAATCCCCGTATGTAGTGACGTCATGTGGGAACTATGTATACACAATGTAAAAAAATAAACAAAAACTTTATTTAAGTAACAATGAGTTACACTACTGACATTTAAAATTAGAACTGGTAATATATTACTAATAACTGTAAGAGTAACTGAAGTTAGGAGGTGTTCCGACTATTTACCATTAATATAATGCATTAATAGAAGTAAAACGACTCAAAGTATAACTCAAAGAATGGAAACAGTTTATTTATTTATTCTTAAGGATAGCCCCTTTTGATGAACCATCTCTTTGCAAGGGGGTCTTGCATTTTAAAAACAGCTGTGATATAACATTCCCTGTGATTTAAATTTCAGAATAACTTGCCCAAAGCTGCACATAATTTATAAATACACTTTTAAAAAGTTGTCTTTAAGTTCATCAGTGTAAATAGAGATTAACCGATTCGTTTCTACGACCCGTTACTGTCATGGGTTTTGGTATTAGTTTTTCAAGGTATTTGTATAGGCGAGCTTGGGTGGTAGCAAAAATATTTAGTCAAATGCCTTCAATTTTTTCTGAATTTCCTAAAATGAGAAGTATCTCTGATTTTTTTTTTCTAAATTGTTAACCCAATTCCAAGTTTAATGCCTAGTAAGGTATGTGGAATCACACATGTGGTAATTAACTGGCATTGGCCCCATTTTTCTGTTTCTGTTGTGCACAAACCTGCCTGTTTCCATTACAATGACTTTTTAGGACATTTAATTGTCTGAAAGATAATCCTCTATAGATGAATCATCTCGTTTTGAGGGGGTCCTCAAAAAACTGATTGCATGGTTTACCTAAAGGAGAAATATATAGTTTCTGCTTGTACTGATTTGATAAAGCCTTTTCAATTACGATTAAACACATATTTGAATTAGATGTGTAAACTACCAGAGCATGAATTGTAGACAAGAGTAAACAGTTAGATGAGGCTGGGGATAAACTCCAGAAATCAACAAAAGTCGTTCAAGAACAGAGATGCTTCAGACCCCAGATATAAGATGACCACTTGTGGTGCAGGAGGTACAGTAAGAGCAAGGTTAAGAAGCAGCAGGTTGCATATATTTAGGCACTCAGAATTTTATTCGAAGTCCAACATAGGACCAGTGCAAGCACCCTGTTTGTTCACGGTCCCCATGAAAAGAACTGAGGACTCTGAAATAATGAATGCTTCAACAGCTCCTGGGCAGAACCGCGGTAAAGTGGCCCGCATCTTTCAGCTCTATGAACAAGCGGCCCGCATCGGGGAAAATACGGTGCGCGTTTCTTTGAGAACTTACGGTAACAGCGGAACATCCTTTCGGAGTCATCCATTTTTATCGAACAGAAAGCGCGCTGGGGTCTGGGAGACACGTTTTTGTGATTAAACCCTTATAGAGATGCCACCCGGTACACATAGCACCAGCCCCCTACGATTCCTCCGGCAGATTGTGAGTCCTCAGGAGGATAGCCACTCTATTGTTTACATATATAAAGTACACAATTTGGTCCGCTAGTGCAATTTACAAGTATTGTAACTATTTACTGGAATAAGGTGTGCGACTAATTTCACTGGATTCATGACGTCATGATTGCCCTCTACCACTGTACCAAAGACCAGGAACTTTTACTGTAGAAATATTTATTTAAAGTAGCCATTTTGGTCCAAAATAGCCTAAAAATGGTCAAAACATGTCACTTTTGATCTACTGTAACTTTTTACTGTAAAAAGGTGTGCGACTAATTTCACTGGATTCATGACCTCATGATTGCCCTCTAACACTGTACCAAAGACAAGAAACATTTACTGTAGAAATATTGAGAAATATTAATTTAAAGCAGCCATTTTGGTCCAAAATAGGCTAAAAATGGTCAAAACATGTCACTTTTGGTCTACTGTAACTTTTATCATGGAAATTTTGAGAAATAATTAGTCAAAGTACCCCCCTTGGTAAAAAATGCACAAAAGGGGCTACGGCCCCTTTTGTCGACAAGCGGAGGCTCGACAAGTCGACAAGCGGAGGCTCGACAAGTCGACAAGCGGAGGCTCTGCTCCGAGCTCCTTCCGTGTGACTGAGCTCCTCAACCTATCTCTAAAGGTGCTTTCAGACCAATAGCTTCAAAACACTTTTGACGCGCAATATTTGACGCTGGGTCCGGTGTGAACGCCCCTTGGTGCTTGAAGCTCCTGACGCCGGGTGGGAGGAGCTTCTCTCGCTCCCGCCTGGAGCTCGCACTGATTCCCGCGGAGGAGCACCTGTCTTTCAGTCTGCTGTGTCTGAGCCAGCTTTAGCTTGTTCTTATACTAAATAAATTACTTTAACTTCACAGCATATGTACATTGATTGTGTTACTTACTTTTTAAGAACGTTACTATTCATACAAATAATATTACAAATAACAATAATGACAATGAAAAAGCAGTAGCAGCTACATGACAGCCCTGCTGCTGCTGCTGCTCCTCGTCTCCAGATTGGTTGAAGCCTGGCGTCAAGCTCCAAAAGCTTTTCTCAACTTCGGCGTTAAGGGACTTTTTTACGACAAAAGAGACGCAAGCATTACGCGTGTCAAAAGCTTCAAGTGACGCGCATAATTCTCTCGTCTTTTGAAGCGCTTCAAGTGAAGCCGGGCCTCTCAGCGTCACCTGACGCGCTTCACTGTTCATTTTCAGTGCAAAACTGACGCTTTTCAAGTCTAAGTTGAGTCCGGGGTGAAAACACCTTAAGGGAGTGCCCAACCAGTCTTTCCCACCGCTTGTATCTACAATCTCGTTCTTTCGGTCATTATCCAAAGCTCATGACCAGAGGTGATGGAGGGAACAAGAATTGACCGGTAAATCGAAAGTGGCCGCATCACTGCGCACGCTGCACCAATCCACCTGTCAATCTCACGCTCCATCCTTCCGTCACTCGTGAACAAGACCCCGAGATACTTGAACTCCTCCATGTCAGGAAGGACCTCTCCACTTTGGCGGCACGGTGGCTGAGTGGATAGCACTCTCGCTTCTCAGCAAGAAGGTCCTGGGTTCGAATCCCAGTCGGAACAGTGCCTTACTGAGTGGAGTTTGCATGTTCCCCGTGTCTGCATAGGTTTCCTCCGGGTGCTCCGGTTTCCCCTACCACTAAAAACATGCTCAATAGGTATTAATGGATAATGAAGATTGGGGGCTGATCAGTGGGGGCGGGTCCCGGCTCGAAAGTGGCCAAAATGATGTGCTGACATGCTTGCAATACCACCCCGGGCCGATGGGGGTGGACCCGGAATAAGAATTAGCCAATGCTAACGTATAGCATTGGCAGACCTCTCGAAAAGGATGGTCCAAAAGTTGGCTCTTGGCCCAAAGCTCCGTTCCACATGTGTGTCAATGCTGAGGGGGGTGAATTTTTTTGGACCACTCTACTTTACTCGCTGTGAATTTTTTAAGTCTCTCGTTCAAATGAATGGAGCTTGCGCCGGCTGACGCATGCGCAGATGTTTTTTTTTCCGCTATATATATATTTTTTTATATATATAAATGCGCTAAATAATCATTACTCATTAATCATTACTCATTACTCGAGAGGGCAAGGCACCTTTTTCCGGTCAGGCATCATGGCCTCGGATTTGGAGGTGCTGATTCTCATCCCAGCCGCTTCACACTCGTCTGCAACCGTCACAGTGCATGTTGCAGGTCCTGGTTCCTTGGAGCCAACAGGACAACATCGTCGGCAAACAGCAGAGATGAAATCCTGTGGTCTCCGAACCGGACCCCCTCCGGCCCCTGGCTGCACCTACAAATTCTGTCCATTATGACAGTAAACAGAAGCGGTGAAAAAGGGCAGCCTGCACCTGCCGGCAATGCAAATACAGCTCTGGTAGAGGACAATAATGAAGTCATGAATCCAGTGAAATTAGTTGCACACCTTTTTACAGTAAAAAGTTACAGTAGATCAAAAGTGACATATTTTGACCACTTTTAGGCTATTTTGGACCCAAATGGCTACTATAAATCAATATTTCTCAATATTTCTACAGTAAAAGTTTCTGGTCTTTGGTACAGTGGTAGAGGGCAATCATGACGTCATGAATCCAGTGAAATTAGTCGCACACCTTTTTACAGTAAAAAGTTACAGTAGATCAAAAGTTACATGTTTTGACTATTTTTAGGCTATTTTGGACCAAAATAGCTAGTTTAAATCAATATTTCTCAATATTTCTACAGTAAAAGTTTCTTGTCTTTGGTACAGTGGTAGAGGGCAATCATGAGGTCATGAATCCAGTGAAATTAGTCGCACACCTTTTTACAGTAAAAAGTTACAGTAAATCAAAAATGACATTTTTTGACCATTTTTGGCTACTTTGAACCAAAGTGGCGACTTTTACTCCATATTTCTCCAAATGTCCACAGTAAAAGTTTCTGGTCTTTGGTACAGTGGTAGAACATAATAATGAGGACATAAATCCATTGAAATGAGTCACACACCTTTTTACAGTAAATAGTTACAGTAGATCAAAAGCGGGAATGTTTTTACAGTTTTGTGTATTTTGCACTAAAATGTACTTTGTCTCAATTTTACCCAACATTTCCACAGTAAAGGTGTGTGGTTGTAGGCACAGCGTTGAAGGCAGCTATATCGAGGTCATGAACCCAGTGGAATAAGCCACACAAGTCTTTACTGTAAAAATGCAGTTGCTGAAAATTTCACTTTTTGACCAAATTAAATGCTTTCCAAATATGGGTTTATTCACAAAAACGAGTCTCCTCAGCGCGCTTTCTGTTCGAGGAGAAAAGGTGACTCCGAAAGGCTGTTCCGCTATTACCGTAAGTAGTCAACAAAACGCGCACTGTTTTTCTCTCGATGCGGGCCGTTTTACTTCGGAGGTGAAAGATGCGGCCCACTTTACCGCGGTCTGGGCAGAGCAGTGTGAGGCACACTTCTGAACTACGGAGGCATAAGAGGAGTCTATGTGTCTGAATTAAAGATGAATCTAATTGAATAAAACTGTGTGAATGCTGCTGTTACCCCCTGAAATATGATTTGTTAACCTTGTGTACAAGTACATTATAGTTCATTAATGTGTGTGTGTGTGCACCAGTGTTTCAATACTTTATTCAAAGCCTAGATCCGAACATATATTCTATTTCATTCCACAGTGGGGAAATTTCAGTTTTTAAATATTTTGCTTAAGAACCAGAGAGTCAATTTTCAAACAAATAATGCAACACAAAGACATTTAGTTTGGTTAATGTTACATGCTCGTTGACCAGTCAACCCTACCGCCCGATAGACCCAGATAGTAAAGTAAAAGACAGTTGGTACATGTGGAACCCTTTTGCACATTATGAAGTTACTGCATTATTTCTAGGTGAATGACACGTGAGGTCAGTAGTGTTCATTTTCTATGTTTTATCTTCTGTATGAAGTAATGTGCTTCTGTTATTAATCATTAGCTACTTTATCTTTAAAGATCTGCTCAGTTGAATATATTACAGTATACTCTATTATGAAAGATCTTTCTTTTCTGTATCCTTGAACTTCGCATCGCAACCATTGACCACATCATACTGAACATTTCCCATTGTGGTTTTCTTATCTTTGGTACAATTCCCAAAAACACACACACAATAAACTGATAGATATGGCATAGTGAAATATACATCTATTGAAATAGACAACAGAAAACAATAAGGTTAAATAATAAAGACTTTTAAAATTTAAATAAATAAATATTGAAATCATTTTACAACATAACAATTCATAAGACTTACATGTTACGTAACTCAAGTGTTTCCTAAACAAAACATATATGTACAATAAAAAGGAAACATAAGGATATTATAAACAACTGCAAGGTAAATGCGAAAAATATAACATTAAAGTAAACAACATCATTATCATTTAAAAACACATAATACCGCTGTCTACAAAAAATATTTATCAAATAATGATTTATCCCACTATCTGAAAATGATAGGTCTTCTCTTCAACAAATACATTCGTACTTAATAAGTACATTTGAGTCAGACTGAAATCACAATCACGTTTTACACAAAGCGGTTGGTGGTTTTACTGATCAATCCCATCAGGAAAGAGTCAACGGTCATTGTCATTATACCGTTTTTTTCAAACCGGCAGTCCGTTTTTAAATCTGTAAGAAAGTAAAACCAAGAGTTTGAGGATACTTCAATCTAAAAGCAGATTTTTATCGACAGTGACAAAAGACTCACCTGACACAAAAACTGGATACCGGGCTGAGATGTTCTGGACCTGCTGATGGCAAAGGCATTGGAGATAGTTTGGCTCTTGTCTTGTCATGAGATCGCATTCATGGTAAGACAAAATGTCCAAGAGTCCTTCTTCTTTGCATTTGTTCAATAGATATTCTTTTTCTCTTGCTTTGGGACACAGCCTAAACCAAGTGATTAAAAAAAACAAAAGCTAAGAAATCTTACGTCTCATAAATAATCATAATAATGATTTAGGACGATCGTTCTCCACACCGTGCATTTTCTTTGAGGCAACGGCTGTCCCTGTAGTGTAACACCCACTTCCACTTGCCCGTTTTGCAAAGCGTTTTCAATATTCCCCAGACCTTGTTTATATTATCTGCAATTTATGAACTTAGTTATATTATTAGAACAGATAACAACAATCTTAACAAGAAAAACATTTAAAAAGGTACTTGCCTGAGCTTATGGACTCTATTGCTTCCCTATCAAACATAACAAAGCCACCTGTAATGAAGAGTTCCTGATACGTTAAATTGACAACATCTTCTGGTTCATCAATCCCTGCAAATTGGACATGTGGCGACTTTCGAAGCTCAAGCAAGTGTGGCACCTGAAATAGCAGATAACAATGAGAAAGCATTAGGGTAAACATTGAGGAGGGAGCATTGACAGAACACATTATATATTGTATCAAACCTCAAAGATATGCTTTGCAATATCCACATTTCTGACAATTATCAGTAATGGTGAGGAGCGAATCTCTCTTTTGAAAAAGTCTGATGGTTGCACAGAGACATGGCCTTCGCTCTCTAAAAACACCTGCATGAGGGACAAAATGTCATAGGATTAAAGGTATGTACTGGTGTTATAAATTTAGTAATATTTGTGGCTTGAAATACTGACTGTAACCTACATGGGTTTTCTTAAAGAAGGCATCATCTGACGTGGCTAACAAGAAGAACCGATTCTTGCATTTGCAGGATTTCTTCACCACTGAATTTAGAGAACTGTGAAAGATGTCGTCCACTTCCTTCTTCAATTGACTACAAAAGTCAAAATAGTTGCCCGCAGATGAATCATCCGAGTTCTTTTGTGAAACACTCAACAGAGTTTCATTCCTATTTTCCGAACAGATCTTTGTCATGATGTCCCTGTATTGCTGTGCACATTTGGCTGTTACAGTTAACACCCCGGGCTGTTCAAGAGCTCTGTGAGTTTGATGCTTTGAGGAACATTGCTGTTTCACATCCATCATCAGTTCCTTGTCTGACATGTCCACGCTGATTTTTTGATTTAAAAATGAGAACGGTATTTCGATATAATCTATTTCATCATCTTGCTCCTGAAGATGGGAAAACTGTACAGTTATGGGGCAAGACGCTGAAGCTGACTCATGACATTGGGTTTCTTGAGCTTGTTTTGTTTTCAATAGTTGCTTCATTTGATCAAAGAAGATTAGACACTCACAATCCATCGATGCATGAGTTGGATTGTCCTGCAAACATCGCTTCGATACTTTTTCCAGAATGGAAGAACTCTTTTTGTCATCGTTTGAGACTGTACAAGTAAGTGAGCCTTTAATTCCTAGACTGTCATCCGTAATTGTATTAGTTTTGGCATCTACATACGATGTTGGGTTGTTCAAAAGATCTTCATCAGTTTTATTATTCGTTACCAATAGGTAGGGAACAATATTCAACACAGTGCTTGAAAGAGGACCTGGTGATTTATTCATATGCTTACTGGGTGGTAATGATTCTGCATGTTTTACATTTTGTATCTTCTTATCATCAAGATGTTTGCACTCCTTTTGTAAGATCGTATCAGTGGCATTGTTATTTTGATGATGTGCTTCAAAAGATAGCCCATTGCAAACTGGGCTTCCCCACCTTGTCCTTTTTCTAGAAAACCTTAAAAAGTCTTTAGATTGTGCATCACAATTAGGGTCAGTTTTAAGATTATTGAGAGAAACAAACTGTTTTTGTTCTCTAACAGTTTTAGATGGTCTCTCAGGGTTAGGGTTAATGGGTTTGCTTGATTCTTCAACTGGCATGGCGAGGGTTGGGACGATGGGAGAGGATGTTGAGGACTTTTGATTCAGTTGCTGCGTTTTTACAAAACCATAATTCAAGGGTGACACATGTGAATACTGAGATGATTCCGATTTTTCCAATTGTGGAGGACAAGAATCCTTAATACTGAAAGCAGTTTTAAAATCGCTTGGATCATGAATAGGAGGATGAGATGCATCTTCAGACTTCAAGTGTGATTGATATGATTTTTGCTGTAATGTGCTTAAATACTCATTCAAGCATTCCAATGTCCTGACAGTGCGCAGTTCAATGTCAGACTGGGTGACAACATTATTCATTGTGCCATAATCTAAGGCTGTTGCTGCTGGTTCAGTCACAGGGGTGATATTTTTGCAGGATTCCTTCTCATTATTTGTTTGGGCCAGCTTGTCCAAATGATTTGCACCTGAGTTACAGTTGGATTGCCCTGTGTACCCCACTGGAAGTTCATCAATCGTTGGGGTAGGACACCTATCCTCTGGCTCAATGTTTCCAAGATCAGATGAAATACTGACTTTAACACCAGTAAGAACTTGGTCATTGTATTGACTTTGCTCCTCATAACATGCATTTTCTGCAAATGTAGAGGTTGGTGCAGCAACAGTGTCAAAACTGTCCAAGCCGTCAAGCTCCATATCTTCTAAATCACTTTTTCCCGTGTTCTGTATCTTGCCCTCAAAAGGTGCATTCAATCCACTTGCCGGTACATTGCTCCCAGCTTCGTTTGTATGTTTGTATGTGCTGCCAATTTTGTTTATCAAAGGAGATTCACAAGACAAACCATTGCAAACTTTTCTAGGATTTTCTGAAATGTTATCCTGCTTTCTCAGACTCAGCTCCTGACAATCTTTGGGGACAACTTCTTTATTCTCCTGCAAAGAAGAAATGCTGGAAGAGTCATCGCATAAGTAAGAGGGTCTCTTTACAACTCCAATGACAGCGAAGGGGTTTTGTCCACTTGGAGTTTCACTACAAGTTGTCTCATTCACTAAAGTTGTACAATCTTTGGCTAAAGTAGGTCTTGAAAAGCCACTTAGGTGATCCAATCCCTTTTCATTCGAAGCTGGGAATATTTTGGCATTTTGGCATCCAACCGTATTCACTAGGAGTTTGTTTGTCTCTACGATGATTTCTTCCGTCAAGAGTTTCTTTAAAGGAACACATTTTTCATCCACTCTACCATGTAGAGGTAGGGAAAAATCTATGTTCTTGTTAATTTGACAAGAAGCTAATTTGAGTTTTTCCAAATATTTTTTCTTAATATCCAAAAGATGGTTACTCCTCATAGCGTCCACATTTTCCTTTGAGGGATATAGATCAGTGCAAGTGTTAGAGTCGGTTTCTTTTTCTTTTAAATTCACAATTTTCTCTTCAGATTCATTTTCATGTAGTCCAGCTTTATGACGTTTGTGGTCACATTTGCTCATGGGGGATTGTGGTCTTTTGAGGAAGCTCTCAAGAGTATTCTCTGTCTGATGGGTTTCACCTGACACTGCAGGGATATGGGCATTGTTTGTCCAAACTGTTGGATCTGTTATCCTTTTCCAAACCGGAATTGGGAGTTGACTTAATCCATTTAATTGGATGTCAATATCTTTGTGATGTGGGGCAAGCCCTGCAGGATACATCCGATTCAGGAACCACTGTAAAAAATCAAAACAAATATCAAAAACACTGGTTAGTGAAAAGCAATCTATCTCTATATTACACACATACAACCTACTATAATGTAAATATTGAAAATTGAACTACATAACTATTAGGTAATACTGTATATTTGTGTAGAGGTGCCTGGATATAATTTTACTTCAGGCCTAATGATATAAATACCATTTCTTAAATAGGATGAATATGATGCATTCACAACAAAGAAGGGAACTCAGTAGAACATTGTTCAGAGTTGAAAATGGTGGGGCTGGTGTAAAGATTGGTGTTAATTGGTGTAAATTGTGTTTGGACAACACAGTTTGAGGTGCAGTTGTAGGGGCAAGAGCAGTGATCAGGACACCAGCTGGTCCACCTCCCTCCTGGAAGGAGACTCATCCTTGTTTGGCTGTAGTATAGGCCAATGCAGACACACAATTAACACGACAACAACAAAAAACAAAGGAGTGCATCATAGAACCATGGAAGTTGTCCGCGGGGCCATCTTTGATAAGTCAATGCGCCTTATTAAATAAATATTTCTCACTTACTTACTTACAATGTGCCTCCACTCTTTTCTCCTACAACTGCCTCTCGAACTCTTTAAACTAACCATGAACCACACAATCCAGTCCTGATAATGAGCCACAACCTGTTTGGGCTGCTGTGCATTGAGCTCATTATACAGTCTGTGATGGAATAATACTTAAATGATAATTCTTTAAAACAAAAAGTATTGTATAAAGTATAAATCTAATAAACCAAATTACAGCAGCAATATATAGTTCAGTACACACACACATTATAAGCACCAATATACATAATTTGACCGTAAAGCAGAATTATCTCACCTGAATGGGAAGGATGGATTGCAATTCTTGTGGACATGTTTTCAAGTCTTCTGGAACTTGAGTCTTCTTTGAAATCTCTTTTCTGGTACCTTCAAAATCATCATTTGTAATGTCCACATTGGACAATTTCTTAGAATTTTCTTTGGGGTCACAAGAAATGTATTGGTGGTTTTTGGGTCTCCTGAGATCCAACACTTGTGCTTCTGGCTTATCTGCAGTATTCAATGAATGACTCTGCAAAGAATCTCTTTCAGTGGACACTTCCAGTTCATCTAAAACTATATCTTCTGAAGCTGGAAATGTGATATCTGGATCAAATTGAAAGAACCGAGCAGTAGATCTGCTGTAAAACAGACCAATCCACATATGAACAATAAGCTGTACTTCTTCATTGGTGTCGTGAATGGAGGAATCCCAGGGGCTGTTAAAGCATAAACAATTAAGGCAGAATATTAATATTAAATACTTATTTATATATGTGAATTTCATAATATGTGAAAATACCAAATTGGTACTGCACTTCTAATTACAAGGGTTGAATATTAAAATACCTACCCATGTAAGGCTCTGACAACAGTTTTGTTCTTATTTTCGACCGCAAATCGGCTGTCCAGATCAAAGTTGTACTCGTTCGGCCAATGTCTTGTAACATCAATGGTCTTATCCCTGTTCTTGATTGTGCGCGACTGGCAAAACTGTCTTCTGTACCAACTTTTTTTGGGGTCTTCAGGAGTTCTGTTTTGTTCAAGTGTATCTTCTGAACTGGCATGTGGCAATTGTTGCAACAGTCTGGAGATACCATTTAAAGGTAAAACCTGGAAAGGTGCTGGCAATGCCAACGGCAAAGGGGAAGATGATGGCAATGAGTAAGCATGTTCTTGATATATCACATCAACTAATCCAGTCCCTCCAATATAGTCTGGCAAAGTACATTCTTGTAATTGACAAGATTTAGAATCAGGCTGTCTAAGCAAAGCATGAAGAAATGGCAATTGTTCAGAACTGCAAACACCATCTTTTGTATTTTCACACATCTTACTATTAGCCTCGAATTCACATTTTTGTGCTTGATGGATTGGAACCTGTTCTTTATTGCGACTAAGTGCTAAGTCAGCCAGTATATTCAATGCCTCTGAAGATGTGTTTGTTTTTTCCACATTAGTCTTCCTGACTGAAATATCACATTGGGATTGTGTTTCATCATAGCAAGTCGGGGTTTGAAAATGCAACCACCCTGTGAAAACAAAACAAAGGAGAAAAGAGAAGTATGAAAACGTAAAGAAGCACATTTAAAGCATGTAAAAGATACCATTTGGACCCAACCCCTATTCTACCTCATACACGTTTGCCTTACACCTTCATTTTGGAAAACTGCATAACCTCCACTGTAGCAGCAGTGGGCTTTCATGCCTAGCTCACTCCACAGTGACTCAGATTTAACTAATAAGTACTTTTTATCTGCTGTGAGCAGAACAGTTGTTATACATAATTGATCGAATACATTTGTTGGGCCCTGTTGAGAGAGCTAGATGAGAAAGATCACAATGGGAATAAGTGAGACTAAGTAAGTACAAGTGAGAATTGGGATTGGACCTAGGACATTGTTGCCAAAATGCAAATAGAGAACCATTTACTCATTTCATTTGACACCACCAAAGAAGAGAAAGATAGAGGGAATTAACATGCATGCAAACCCTAATTTTCTTAGCTAAAGCACAACAAACATATATCTGTAATATGCGTCATACTTACATTTCTTTCTTACTCTGTCTGCAGAAACGTTGCGATGCTTTTTAAGCAGTTTTTGCCTTTTTCCTTTAGGAGTAGATGGAGTAGCTGGAGATTGCAGTTTGCATGTAGAGTATTCCATATCAACAGATTTTTCTTTGGCTCCAGATGAGTCACTTATGTGCACATTTTCATCAAGTGTTCCTTGTGCTCTTTTGGGAGTCAAACCCAGGGCGCGAACAAAGAGAGGGTCAACTGAAATTAAGGCGGGGTCATTAACCCCATCACTCAGTGGCTTAATAGTACATTTGGCAGGTGCAAACGCCTGTTGGGCTTCCTTTTCATGGGGTGTTTCATGCTCTGCTTCTGTGGATGCTGTTGTGCCATCATCCACTTTGGACTTTCCAGTACATGCATTCTTGGTCCTTTTTGGACTGAGTTCATTGTCAGGGACACCATCAACATTCAAGTCCACTTTGAGGGCATCACACTGCCTCTTTTTAAGAATAACAGACTTTAGTTTTCTGAGCATAATTTGACCCTTTGATTGAACCATGGGAGCCTTCTTATTATGGCCAACCTTTATGGCCAGACTGCCTGTACTGCTGGCCTGTTCTTTTTTGGCCTCTGCTGATATTTTATCATCTGTCTTTTGTTGCTTAGAAATTGGGATGGTACCGACCTGACTAGTGGCTTCCAAAATATCTTTATCAGGATGATCAAGATTCTTTTCAGTAGGGTGTAGTTTATTTAGTAAAAAACGAATTTTGCCAATATTAACTGAGCCATAAGGAATTAAGATGTTCCCACAGGTGCTAGTAACTGGTTTTAGACCCCACCGTTCAGTCTTTTTTCCAAGAGCACAAGTTTCCAATTCCTTAAGAAATGCATCAGTACGAGAAATGCTGGGTGTTTTTTCTGTACATGTTTGGGTTTTTGGTGAAATGATTTGGTCAACAACCAGTTCACTTTGTATTTTTGTCATCTCTTCATATAGTGACAGCTCCGGTGTGGGAACACGGGCCAAACCCACTGGTTTGTTAGTTTTAGTCCTTTGTGAAGCAGAGGTGCACTCCACCGTATGTCTTTGAGGTAGCTTATCTGACTTTGTTAAAGCAAAATTTGCATCTGAGGAGTTTAGTGAAATTTTCCTTTGAATTATTTCATCAACACTGTTCAATGTGGCCTCTCGTAACCTTTTAGTCATTAAAAGTTCATCAGACTTCACATCAAGACTCTCATTATTAACAGTTTGAGCAGCAGAAGTGATACTTATCATCAACTCATCTGTAGGCTCAGCTCTTAAAGGCATCTCTTTTGTTTCCATAGGTTGGACATCTTTGTGAGAACAATCAGTAGAGATAGTTTGTGTGGTGTCCTGTGGGGTCTCAATAAGTCCTGAACCTTTCTCATTGAGTTTGTCCTCTGCCTCTGTACTGATCAAGCTGCTTGATGCTTCTGGAGATGACAAACTGATATGAATGTCATCTTCAAGATCATCTTGTGATGTTTCTTGTCCATCCACCAACATTTCAGAGGCTTTGCAAACAGATAACTGGAAAGAGTTTGCATTGCTCAGGTATGTCTGCAAACTTTTCCGTTGAGAGTCTGTCCATTCAGGGGTTGAATAAAAGCGCTGATGGGCATCAAGCAAGTCGAACTGATTCGGGACTATTTCCACCTCTCGAAATGGGCTGCGAAGACGGCCCGGATTCATCAGCGTGGCGTAACTTTGCATATGCTGCACAATTATGTCACAGAGATCCTTGTCTGATGTATGGCTTGCTTTCTCAATTGCTCCTTCAGCATAGATTAGCATAGGCAAGATACTCATTGCATCTGCTGGGAAGCGTTGATTCATTTTATTTGTGTCTGTGAAAAGAAAGATACATATTACATTGTAATCTATTTTATTGTATTGAGATTTTGTTAATACTTTTATAATTTATAAAATATACCTTTCTGGATAATATGTGACTCTGGGAATACAAAAACACCTTGCAGGGATTTATTTGTAGGTATGACAGTATCTGAAATAATTCAAGAATACTAATTAATTTTAACACTGACTTTCAATCAATTTAAAGTTTCACTCAACCGTACCTTTATCATTTGAGATAAAATTTGAATCATGAATTAAGATCAGAAAACCCCTATCTGATAATGGAATAATAAGTGCCTGAAAAGAGAAAAATATCAAATAATTGGAATGTAAAAAGCCATATAAATTAAATATTATGTCAAAACTCACAACATCTTGTTTTTTTATTTCCAGCAAGAGAGATGTCAGTTGATCTATTTCCTCCAAGTTTAAAGCAACTACTTCACACAAACTGCAGTATATGTGTTCGAGAGGAACTAAAATAATAAAAAGACATGCAATGCAAGATTATAAAAAACATAATTTTCTATTAATTTGTATACTTTTTACAATTTATACATTTTATAGAACCTTGTCCATTAATAGTAGTTTCAAAAATGTCTTTTGGCAGCAGTTTTCTGATAATTAACATAGAAATGACCCATTCAACATTAATTATTGGTGGCCTAAAATACAGAAAAATTAAATCATTAGTACATTGAATAATAAACACAAAAACACAATAATACTGTATTTTGCAGTTGCTTACAATTTTGCCCAAGGTAAGACAGCTGCTGTTGATCTGATTCCAATATTGAATGTTAGGGCATCTACTTGAAGTTTTCCTGTCCATGGTGAATATAGACAAGCTGGAAAGATGAATCAAATAAAAACATGACTTGCCTTTTGCTCCCAATATAATGTTTTGGTCTATTGTGTCAAATGCAGCACGGAAGTCCAGCGGAACCAACATTTACCCTAGTCAATTATCAGCAGCTAGTAATTTGTGACTTTAAGTGCTGTTTCAGTGCTCTGATGAGCTATAAGTCCAAATTTAAACATTTCAAATATATTATTGTCCAGATGCTGCAAAATGTAGGGCGGAAGTGGTGGGCGGGCTCTGATGCTAACGAGTTTAAGCTAGCTGCTTTTTGTGTTAAGTTATCCTCCACAAGTGCAGATCCATGACATCTCTGTGTCTGGAGACCTTCCAGAGACATCATATTATAGCAGTATATGGTGACGGAGCTACACCATGGTTGTACTATATTATTAGAAAGTTTCAAATAAGGCCGCACATTCCTGTAGTTTGAGCTAGCGTGCTGGATTAAAAGAATGTAAGACGTAAAAACAGTGAAAAAAATCCGCACAGCTATGTAGCTCCCAATAAGTGTATTTTATTTACACAACAAAAACTGTTACGTTTCGGGCTGAGGCCCTTCGTCAGACATAAAATCCAGACACACCTGGTAGCAATTTTAAAGATCCAGTCACTGTTTGTACTATATTATTAAACATTACTTCAGTATCAGCGGACACGTTATACATTCACGGTAGAATGAGAACGCAGGCTGGAGGAATATGTTCAGAAGCACGAGGTCCCCCATTGACAGTCTCGTTAAGTCCTTGTTTAGTCCTGGTTTAGCTCTTGTTATGGCTGTTTTGGAATGTCTTCGTCTTCTTGCTCTGACCGGCGTGTGTCCCCGTGATCACTTTGCTGCTCTCTGATTGTTTGCCGAATAACAAATGATCATCTCCTGCGTTTCCTGCATGCTTTGAGTCGGCTTACCAACCGGCTCTGCCAGACCGCAACGTGTCTGCCGCGCCGGACAAACCTGCGTGCCACAACGCACATGCAAATATTTGCACGGATGTACTGTACGTTGCCAGTTGCAACTGGATGGTGTATTTTTGTATAGTAAAGTGTAGTAATTTGTCAGGAACACACATTCTCTATCTGTCTTGGATCTGAGCACTTGGCTTTTGACTGCATGGGTGAGAGGTGAGAGGTCAGAGGATGTGGAACTAAGTTCCAGACAACTGCTCTACACCCAGCACTTTGCTCTGGACCGTCATTAGAGCCGGTCAGAGAAATTCAGAGCCAGGGCCAGATTCTGAGCCAAAAGGGATGTACTTTCCAAAGTTGGGTAGACATCATCCGTGCGCATAACACCGGCCTTTCCCCAAAAGGCACTCCAGTAGTCAAAAAAGACAACACCCCGTTGAGGGCACCAATTAGACAACCAGCCGTTGAATGTTGGTTGAATGCAGAAGCAGGACAGAGCGTCAAATCTATTTTGAGTACTAACACTGGGGCCAGTATCTACAGTGTATGGGGCCAGCTAGCGGGCGCACAGCGTCAGTGCGTGTCACATCTTATTGATTGGATATGTGACAATAAGAGCCAAACCAATACAAAGCTGTAATGACTTCTCAAGAAAAACTTTTTAAGAAAAGCTAGATGCTGCAAAGAGAGACTGACCAGTCCCAATGAGAGCAAGCTTTAATCAACAGGGGAAAGGATCTTCCACATTCAAATTGCTACGAACGGTTCCATGGCAGGCTCTGAGAAGCATTGCAAGCCATTTCCCAGTGAATAGTTTGAATCGTCATGTTTCTGTGATGCTGCTGTGGGTGCGATGGATTGATTGATTTGACACTCTGCGCAACTGCAGCTTTGTATACTGGGTGTGTTTACAGTTAAGTGTCAATTATAGTATCTGGACTTTAAAAGGTTATAACTCAAAAACTACCCTTTAGTGCAAAGTGTACAAAAGCATGGTGGCTGAGTGGATAGCACTCTCGCCTCTCAGCAAGAAGGTCCTGGGTTCGAATCCCGGTCGGACCAGGGCCTTTCTGAGTGGAGTTTGCATGTTCTTCCTGTGTCTGCGTAGGTTTCCTCCGGGTACTCCGGTTTCCCCTACCACTAAAAATATGTACAATAGGTCTGTGCCCCATGTACTGGCCCCTCCCATCTCTGTGTGGAGTGAGAGGACAAATGCCCAAAAAATTGTAAACCACGTTGTGACTCTGGTCTGTGAAAGGCGGTATATAAAAAAAGATTACTTACTACTACTAAAGCAAAGGAAGGTTTCTCACCCATCATCTGTACTTCTTAGCAAGTTTTCCCGACGATTCGTCCTCAAACCAGCGGACTTCTTCAGGGAATGAATTCTCAGACCGCGCGTTGGAGATTTATAACCTATGGGTGTGGTTAGCCACACCCTAATCCTGATACTAATTCATAAACAATCTAAGGTCTGTTTGATGTAGGAGGGAGCAGATCTAACGACCCTGCTGAGGCTAACGACCCTAACTCCTTAGCATGTCACAGACCTATTGTCTGCTGGGATGCTCAAGTGGAGTGCAGGTCTCACCCCTCCTAACTCATTAGCATGTCACTGACCTTGTCCCAAGTTAGGGCGTTGTTTTTAGGATGTCGTCATAGATAGGAGGCAAAACAAATTTTAACCCTCCTCCTCTGTTAAGAGAAGGTTTTTGTTTCCTCACAAAAATGGCTTCTTTCACCCCTCTCTCAAACCAATTCTTCTCCCGAGCCAGAATTTTAACCTCGGTGTCATCCACTGTGTGGTTGGAGGCCTTGAGGTGGAGATGAACAGCCGACTGTGGCCCACTAGAGTTTTCTCTACGATGTTGGTAAAGTCGTTTCTGCAGAGTTTGTTTAGTTTCTCCAATATAGTGGTCAGTGCACTTCACTACATTTAATTGAATACACCACATTGCTCTGTTTGTGTCTGGGTGTTTTGTCTTTGGGATGCACTAATTTCTGTCTTAACGTGTTGAAAGGTTTGAAATACACAGGGATTTTGTGTTGCCTAAAGATTCTTTGTAGTTTCTCTGAAACTCCCGCCACATACGGTAAGGACACCCCTCTCCTCCAACTTTCTTCTGTCTGTTGGACTGTGTCTCTGGCCTTTCTCGTCCTTTGGGCTTTAGTAAAAGACCACTTGGGGTAGCCACATCTGGAAAGTGCTCTCTGAACATGTTTGGTTTTTCTATTCTTTCCCTCCGAGCTAGTGGGGACCTGGTGGGCTCGGTGTTGAAGCGTTCTAATGACCCCGAGTTTGTGTTGTAGCGGATGATTTGAATCAAAGGCCAGGTACTGGTCAGTGTGAGTGGACTTTCTGAAGACCTCAGTCTCTAATTGTCCGTTCTCCAGTATGATGACCTTACAATCTAGAAAGGCGAGTTCACTCTCCATAGCATCCTCGCGAGTGAAATTTATAAAAGGGTCCACCGAATTAATGTGTTCTGAAAATGGTTCCACTCCCTGTTTCTTTAACCCATGTATCGTCTACATATCGAAACCAATGGCTTGGCGCTGTCCCTTGGTAAGAGACCAGGGCTTGTTCCTCCAGTTTCTCCATATACAGATTGGCCACTATAGGAGAGACTGGGGAGCCCATCGCACAGCCATGAATCTGTCTAAAGAAGGTGCCTCTAAATTGGAAATACGTGGTGTTAACAAAAACCTTCTCTTAACAGAGGAGGAGGGTTAAGATTTGTTTTGCCTCGCATCTATGACGACATCCTAAAAACAACGCCCTAACTTGGGACAAGGTCAGTGACATGCTAACGAGTTAGGAGGGGTGAGACCTGCACTCCACTTGAGCATCCCAGCAGACAATAGGTCTGTGACATAATAAGGAGTTAGGGTCGTTAGCCTCAGCAGGGTCGTTAGATCTGCTCCCTCCTACATCAAACAGACCTTAGATTGTTTATGAGTTAGTATCAGGATTAAGGTGTGGCTAACCACACCCATAGGTTATAAATCTCCAACGCGCGGTCTGAGAATTCATTCCCTGAAGAAGTCCGCTGGTTTGAGGACGAAACGTCGGGAAAACTTGCTAAGAAGTACAGATGATGGGTGAGAAACCTTCCTTTGCTTTGACTAATCCCTGTACGACTGAGGGCTTACACAAACTTACTACTACTACTTACTTACTAGTGTGAACAAGCCTCTGAGATGGCTGTGTCAAATTGAGTTGAGTCTCAGAGATGTACAACAAAAAACTGCGTACCTCATAAGCAAGGTCAGAAGTTTCCGTGGCAGTTCGCACTTTGACACGTCATTTATTTCTTTTATCAATCTCAGCCTTTGCGTGACGCCTGGCGACTTGCGTGACGTATAAAAGTTCTATAGTTATGCATTCAGGCATCCTCCTCACTCAGTCTCTTCACACACATATTATTGCTTGATATTTGGGCCTGCTCCTGTTCAGCTATGATGAGTGCTTCTAGCCATTAGTAGAACTTCTTGAGATATATGCCGTGTAGGGGCTTGTCTTCCCTTGATGAAGCCTCCTCCAGCATCTCCTCACATGTATGCCACAGTCTGAGATGTTTGCATGACATCAATTGGGGCCTGGTCCTTGATGTATTCAAGGAGCTTGGAAATATAATTGTGAATAGTGGCTTTCATGCCAGTCCATGGGGTCCTTACATTTTGCTTATTCTCAGGGCATTGAATTTAGGATGGAATCCGCCATGCATGGTGAGGAGTGGCTTAGGCAAGGCAAGGCAAGTTTATTTATATAGCACAATTCATACACAAGGCAATTCAAAGTGCTGAACAAAACAAGAAAGCATTAAAATCATAAATTATCACAGAACATTAAAAAGAAAGATAAAAATATAAAATCCCTCAGTTGTATGCACAGTTAAACAGAACTGTCTTTAACCTGGTTTTAAACATTGTCAGAGAGGAGGCCTGTCTCACATCTTCTTACCATTGGCCTTGAGGGTGGTATTCCACAACAAATGCTCTTTGTTGGTATTATACATCTTTAAACATTCCATCCTTGTAATCCAGGATTACCAGTCTAGTATCTGCAGGCCAAGCGTGCTGCTGCCCGGGCTGTTGCAGAGGCAAAAACCCAGGACTGGGAGGAGTTCGGAGAGTCCATTGAGCCTCGGTCGGCCTCGAAGAGGTTCTGGCAAACTGTCCGGCGCCTCAGGAGGAGGAACCAGTTCTTTGCCAACACTGTGTATGGTGCGGGTGGAGAGCTGCTGACCTTGACTGGGGATATTGTTGGGCGGTGGAAAGAATACTTTCAGGTTCTACTCAATCCCACATCTTCTGTTTCGGAGGTAGAGGCTGAGGATGTACCAGCGGAGTGGCAGACCGGGGTGGTGGTCCCTCTCTACAAAAAGGGGGACCGGAGGGTGTGTTCCAATTATCGTGGGATCACACTCCTCAGCCTCCCCGGTAAGGTCTACTCCAAGGTACTGGCGAGGAGACTACAACCGATGGTGGAATCTCGGATCCAGGAGGAGCAGTGTGGTTTTCGTCCTGGCCGCGGAACACTGGACCAGCTCTATACTCGCCATCGGATACTCGAGGGTTCATGGGAGTCCACATGTGCTTTGTGGATTTGGAGAAAGCGTTTGACCATGTTCCCGGGGTGTCCTTTGGAGGGTTTTCCGGGAGTACGAGGTCCAGAGTCCTCTGCTGAGGTTCGTCCGGTCCCTGTATGACCATAGCCAGAGTTGTGTTCGCATTGCTGGCAGTAAGTCAGACCTGTTCCCGGTGCATGTTGGCCTCCGCCAGGGCTGCCCTTTGTCACCGGTTCTTTTTACTGTCTTTATGGACAGAATTTTAGGCGCAGCCAGGGGCCGGAGGGGGTCAGGTTCGGGGACCACAGGATTTCATCTCTGCAGTTTGCGGACGATGTTGTCCTGTTGGCTCCAACGAACCAGGACCTGCAACATGCACTGAGACGGTTTACAGCCGAGTGTGAAGCGGCTGGGATGAGAATCAGCACCTCCAAATCTGAGGCCATGGTGCTCGACCGGAAAAAGGTGCCTTGCCTTCTCCAGGTGGGTGGAGAGGTCCTTCCTCGAGTGGAGGAGTTCAAGTAGCTTGGGGTCTTGTTCACGACTGAGGGAAGGATAGAGCATGACAGGCGGATTGGTGCAGCGTGCGCAGTGGTGCGGTCGCTGTATCGAACTTGTAGAGGCGCTGCTTCTCCACATAGAGAGGAACCAGCTGAGGTGGCTAGGACATCTGTTCAGGATGCCTCCTGGACGCCTCCCTGAGGAGGTGTTCCGAGCATGTCCCACCAGGAGGAGGCCCCGGGGGAAGACCCAGGACACGCTGTAGGGACTATGTCTCTCAGCTGGCCTGGGAACGTCTTGGGGTCCCCCGGGACGAGCTGGAGTGTGTGTGGATAGGGAAGTCTGGGCGTCTCTGCTTAGACTGCTGCCCCTGCGACCCGGCAATGAATGAAGCGGAAGAAAATGGAATGGAATGGAATCCTTGTAATCAATCCAAGCTGTGCACAGGTTGGTGTCTGGACCTGCAGTTGTGGTTGACTGTTCCTTCAACCATGAGCAATGTCCTTCTGAGATTTTCTCTTGTATTGATCCATTTGTCCATTTATCATGGCTGCAATTATGTCTGACATGAGCTTCCATGCTGAAGAGACTTTGTCACCGATAGTTGGAAGGGACTGGTGGTAACTGGCTTCTGTTCAGGGAGGTCGCTGTGCTCTCTCGGGGATACCATCAACGATGCATTGCTGTTCTGTGCTGCCTTTTTCTCATATGTTCTACTAGAACCATTCAGTTTCCAGCCTTAATACAGTTTCTCTGTGGTTATTACATTGCCATAGAGTGTACACTTTTGCAGGATAAGTTTGTTTGTCTGACTTTGTTGTCTTTCGCGTACTTCTGTAGCCTTTGTTTGGTAATTGTGAAAGCTTCAGGTTGGGACATCTGGCTGTACCTCTAGAGAACCATTTTTTCATTGTACATCTCTGAACCTCTGTCAATTGACTCACTTCTCCCGGAGCTGCCTTTATGATAGTCATTACATGGCAGGTATGGTTTTTGATTGGATACGCAATATAGCGAGACATCAATGTGATAAACAGAAACAAATGCAATTGCAAGTTAAGTTTTTTCAACCCACTATGGCTAAAAGAGGCGAGATAACGATTTGGTAGATAGTTACAACGCCATTCTCAAGAAAAAACAGAGGAGCCAGGACCAAGACTTGGCCCCTGAACACAGCTGCAGCAGAGCTGAGGCTAAAAGCCGATGGAAATAACAGTTTGTCAACAAGCAAACTGACAGAGCTAGGCTAGAACAGCATGAAGGTCAATGAGGAAGACACGTCCTGCCAATTGTTCTGTCTCACCACCACGGTAAGAAAACAGAACATTAACACCCACACGCTGTTGATAAACAATATTTTGCTGATTGTTTTGTGGGACAGTGTGTATTTTTCAAATTTTATGCTTGTCATCTGGATGAGTTTTGTTGAAACTTGTGGATATTGTAGTATGTATTGACAATCTCACAACTGGGTCAGAAAATCCTTAACGCCTGTTTTGCACATTTGGCCACGTTCTGTCATGTACAAACTTAGGAGGCATAGTGCCTCCTGTTGATTTAAAACTGCCTATTTGTTCAAATGTTTAGTCCACCTAAATATCTAAACATGTACATACAAATAAGAAACAACCACATACCAAAATTGATGTTGTTGCTGTAAAGAGAGAACACATTATATTAAAATACGCACTAGACCATCAACATCTGGGCAGGGACTCTCTACTTACCAACTTTCCTGTTGAGTTGCAAGTGTTCCTTTGTTATCAGTGTATGAAAATGCTACAACTGCATATGGACAAGCAAGGCTGGGAGATGGGGCAGTACTTCCATTGTCAAGCAGCTCATATATGTAGTACTGAAAAATAAAGCAAAATGTCAAAACAATCTTCCTCTTGTGGGAGGTTTGTACTCATAGTAAGTGTTTCTTTTAACCTCGAACAACTGAAAAGTTTGGAAAATGCCTAATGGAAGCCTGTAAACACCCCCAGTTTTTCTTGCTGTCACTGATTTAAAATATCACTGATTTGTATATCATCTGTACAGGGTATTGCTAGCTTAAAGCTGCACTAACTGACTTTGGGATTTTGAAGCCGCGGACTCGCTGGCATCGCTCTTTCTGCTGCCCTCCCCGCACCCACGAAGCTATCGCCCCCCCACACACACCCACTGTTGTTGACGGAGCTAGCGTCTCCCAATATGGATAATACATGGATATGGATTTACACATGGATGGCGTGACCATAGAACGATAGAACCGGGAAGCGCGGAGGAACGGGACTTTCTTTTGGATGACTGTCTCACTGTGTAAGCAGTAACCAGTGACGAAGACACGGAAGCTTCAGGTTAGCTCCGCCGCTTGTTGTGCTAACTCAGCCGTCTATGCTAACGGACCTGTAGATTTCTCACGAAAGTGCTGGCTAGTGGTCCGCTGTGATTGGTCACAATCTGCGACCCGAAACACATTCTCTTCCATGTTTCATCAAAACTCGATCTAAAATATAATGTCACGCCAGCACAAATCTGCGCTACTTTTTCTTTGAAAGGACGTATATTCCAATGCACTACATGGACATGGATAGCATTTTCGTAATGAATACAAAAATAAAGTCAGTTAGTGCAGCTTTAAGCCAGGCCCCGGCATGGAAGTGGACCACCCGCACTACTGCAGACCAAATTCACCAGGGCGACCCATGAAATTTCTCCATGGACCTCAATGTTCATTAAATAATAAAATCACAAAATCACAAGCCAGGACGAATAAGGCCTCTACAGTGAGCGCGGATTGGTCAAATACGCTCGTGTTTGTCTCGGCCGAACGATGCACCAGGTGCTGGGGCTTGGAACTAAAATAATAAAACTATGGATATTATAATGTATCAAGCTGCAACACCAGGGGTTCTCTGCCTTTCAGATGACAAGCGTCAAAAACGCCTCGACGTTGGCGCTGCCATTCATTCCTTATGTGGCAAGCTGACCCAAGTAGTAAAGGCCGACTCGACTCCACGAGCCGGGCCAAGTAGATACCAAAACAATCTGACTTCGGCGAACGTCAATTCTGATTGGTCAGAGGCACTGTCAATCACTCTTCAGCTGCTGCATCAGCTGTTGCGGAAATCTTAACAAACAAAACATTGCCTCAACCCATAAAGATTTCCAAAAGGGAAAACAATTCCTTGGTAGCTGGATGCGGTCAACACCTTCCTCAGTTTGAGGAGAGGACACCAGCGTGAACTCGATGGTTCCACCCGAAACCAGAAGGTGCTTGTGGAGGTAGCGCTAACGACAAAGCAGAATGATACCAGACACAGACAGACCTCCTCTCCTCACAGAGCGGAGAAAAGTTAAGAAGCTTAAAAGTGACTACTCTGAAATGAAAGATCACAACAGCAGAATAAGAGGCAGAACCGAAAAGTCTGGAGGTGGTTTGACCAAATGGATACAATTACGGACATCGGCTAACATTAGAGCTCACACCAGCTACAGCTGTTGAGTTTGAGAGTGTCTGTCATCAATCAAATGAAAAAGTATCTGATCTTATACTGAACGTGTGTCTGTGGTTCTAAAGTCTAGAACAGCTAAAGTGGTGTTGATGTTATGTGTCAAATCTATATCTTTTACTAAACGTAGTTAGAGAGTGAAAAATTGATTCATGGTTCAAAAAAGACAGTCATTGTGTTATATGCTGAATACTGGGCTGAAACTCCAAAAAAAGTTCTCCGTTAGAACAGAGATTGACACTCATTTTGGAATCAGATATAACGTTTGCCGATTGTTTTGGTACCTACTTGGCCCAGCTAGAACCAGGGACAAGCCGTTACTAAAAAGGTACCGGGTAGAGTCCTGTAGCACAGGGGTGGCCAACTCTGACTGGTTGGCCACCCCTGTGCTACAGGACACTAAATAAATCCTGGACTAAATCATCCAGAACAATATTGAAATACAATACATAATTATCCAGACCTACAGTGGGGCAAAAAAGTATTTAGTCAGCGACCAATTGTGTAAGTTCTCCCACTTAAATGAGGGAAGCCTGTAATTTTCATCATAGGTACACCTCAATCATAAACGACAGAATGAGAAAAGAAATCCAGAAAAATCACATATTGGTCAATAACAAAAGTTCATCTCAAGGGTTGAGACCTTGAAATGCATCATACAAAGCCACTCCTTCTTTGCCCGGGTGGTGTGTTTGGGATCATTGTCATGCTGAAAGAGCCAGCCACGTTTCATCTTTAATGCCCTTGCTGAAGGAAGGAGGTTGTCAGATAGCTTCCTGCTTGGAGTGTAGACGTGTTTCTTGCTGCTACGCTGCTTTCTTCGCTTTGCAATCTCTTTTAATAGTTTTATTTACATTTTTATTCTACAAAACACGGATTACTCATTCTGCAGACTTCAGCTTTGTGAAATTTGTCAACATTAGTCATGTCCGGACGGAAGAAACGGAGAAATGTCTGCGATGGCTGCTGCTCTCTGGAAAATCAGCTCAAATCTCTCCAAAAACGGATGGATATTTTGGAAACAGAAATGGGACTTAACCCGACTCTTCCAATGTGTGAAAATGGGATGAATGGACAGACTGGAAATGTAAGTTATGATGACCTAATTACTTTTCCCAAAATCAACAAAGAGAACTATTGGAATAAATGCGCCGCTAAACCCAAAGTTGACAAAGCTAAGAATGACAATGGGAGTGGAATTCTGCCACAAAATGTTTTGAAGACATCAAATCGTTATGCTGCTCTGTTTGAAGAAGCAAAGCCGCCGTTAGTTTCTCCCCCTTCGTCAAGGCCACGGAGAAGAACTCAACACGTCCACCAGCATCATCATCAGCAGCGCATACAGCACCAGCAGCAGAAGTGGCTGCCACAGAGTCATCAGCGCCATCAGCATCAGCGCCACCAGCACTAGCTGTGGCTGCTTGCATCATCTTCAGCAGCACCTTCCCCCCCCCCCCCCCCCCCCCCCCCCCCCCCTCCCCCCCCCCCATTGCTCCAGGCTACAGACAGGCCTGTACTGGGGGCCTCTCAACCACCTCCGTCTCCACCAAAGTCTCCCTCATCACCTTCCAAGGACCCGGTTTGGGTCCCCCCCGCCACATCCACTCCATCTAAGGAAAATGAGGACGACCTTTCCCTGTGTTTTCCATCACTATTGGAATTACCGGAGCACTCTGCAGGCATGATAAGCTCGGCGATGAAGACTATTCCTCTCACACCCACTGTAGCCAGATCAAGAGTCCTATCTAACATTCATAGCTACTCCCCATACGTACCTCCAAAGCCACCTAGGGCGTCGAACTCAAATTCTCCCACAAAATCCACCCGTCCCTCAAATTCTAACTCAAATTCACCCGCAAAATCCACAGGTCCCTCCCCTAACCCCAAATAATGTTAATGACAGAAATGCAAAAGAGCTGAGTTCTTTACCCGATACCTTTGGTCTCACTCAGCACGTGAGTGGCCTCACCCACAGCAGAGGGCACACTCTAGACCTGTTAGTTACTAAGGGGGTGAATATTTCAAATGTAAACGTGGTCAATGTTGCTCTTTCGGATCATTTCTGTGTATTTTTGTGTTTCACTAACAAACCACCAGTGGACTCTGCAACTGTTCGAAGAAGACACAAAAATGAAAATACGAGTTAACTATTTATGGGAATGATAAACTTTCAAAATGCATCGTATTCTATTGTAGATGAACTGTTTAACTCTGTCACCTCTAGTGTTTTGAATGTTCTGGATACCGTTGCCCCTGTGAAGGTTAAAATAGTGAAAAATAAGCAGAAGGCGCTGTGGGCTAAAGCAGACTCGGTCAGAGCACTGAAGAGAAAGTGCCGGAGGGGAAGTGGCGCAAGTCCAACCTCCAGGTTGATTACGAGATCTTCAAAGATAAGTTGTGCGAGTTTAACCGGGTGCTACATAGTACGAGAGAAAGGTATTTTTCTGAAATGATTGAAGGCTGCAGTAACAGTCTGCGTGTCCTGTTTTCAACAGTTAATAGATTAACAAACCCCCCTGTTCAGATGCCATTAGAGCTTACTTCCAAACGTAAATGCAATGAGTTTGCACATTTTTTCAATGACAAGGTTCAAGGCATCAAAAACGCCATTGTCTCCAATCCACAGATAACAATCCAACAGCCAGAAAGGCTCTTTGAGCTAACTCACTTTGCACCTGTAGATTATAAAAATGTAGATTATAAAAATGTCCAAGATAATCTCCAGTCTGAGCTCCTCCACACGCAGCCTGGATGTACTACCCACTAGATATCTGAAGTCTGTTCTGAGCAGTCTGTTACCTTCACTCACACAGATAGTAAACATGTCCCTTCATTCTGGAATATTCCCAAAGGCCCTGAAAACTGCAGTCATCAGGCCCCTTCTAAAAAAAGAGCAGTCTGGATGCTACGGTACTTAAAAACTATCGTCCCATCTCAAATCTGCCATTTATGGGGAAAGTCCTTGAGAAAGTTGTCTACCTACAGCTTTAGATTTCTTATAATCAACAATCCATTTGATATGTTTCAGTCCGGCTTTAGACCCCACCACAGCACTGAGCTCTCGTCAAGGTTACAAACGATATCCGGATGAACAAAAAGGTGCCATTAATACAGGCCAAGTCTCAATCTTAATCTTGTTAGATCTAAGTTCTGCCTTTGACACCGTCGACCATGAGATCCTCTTGCAGAGACTAGAGGACTGGGTCGCTGGCACCACCCTAAGTTGGTTTAGGTCTTACCTTGAAGACAGGAAGTACTTTGTGGAGATTGGAGACTGTGTCTCAGATCATATGGCCCTGACCTGTGGAGTACCACAGGGGTCGATCCTGGGACCTCTTCTGTTCAATCTCTACATGCTGCCGTTAGGTCAGTTAATACGCAGAAACAAAGTGTCCTATCATAACTATGCAGACGACACTCAGATCTATGTCTCACTGACTGCGGGAGAACATGGACCAGTGGACTCACTCCTTCACTGTATCCAACAGATCAGTGAGTGGATGCAAAACAACTTCCTTCAGCTAAACACGGACAAAACTGAAATGATTGTCTTTGGTCCCCAGAAACAAAAGAGAGAGCGTCATCTGTCACCTCCAGTCTCTCTCCCTAAAACCTTCAAACAAGGTCAGAAATATAGGGGTAATACTGGACTCAGACTTAAATTTTAATAGCCACATTAAATCAGTAACATCAGCAGCTTTTTACCATCTAAAAAACATTGCCAGGATCAAAAACATAGTGTCTAAAGCAGACTTGGAGATTCTTATCCATGCATTTGTCTCCAGTAGGTTAGACTACTGCAATGGCCTGCTCACAGGTCTGTCCAAACAGGCTGTAAAACAGCTGCAGTACATTCAAAATGCAGCAGCTCGAGTCCTGACTAGAACCAGGAAGTACGACCACATTAGTCCAGTTCTCAGGTCTTTGCACTGGCTTCCTGTGGCTCAGAGAATAGACTTTAAAACAGCTCTGCTTGTTACAAGTCTCTCCATGGCCTCGCACCAAACTATATTATAAGCATGTTAGTACCATACGAACCAGCCCGGACTCTGAGGAGCACAGGGACTGGACTCCTGTTAGTGCCCAGAGTCAGGACTAAACATAGGGAGGCTGCTTTTCAGATTCATGCTGCTAAAATCTGGAACAATCTTCCTGAAGATGTGAGACAGGCCTCCTCTCCGACAATGTTTAAAACCAGGTTAAAAACAGTTCTGTTTAGCTGTGCATACAACTGAGGGATTTTATATTTCTATCTTTCTTTTTAATGTACTGTGATTATTTATGATTTTAATGCTTTCTTGTTTTGTTCAGCACTTTGAGTTGCCTTGTAGTTTAGTTTAGTTTAGTCTTTATTTGAAGGGACAGTGTACAGAGACATTAAGCTCAAAGACAGATATGTTCTGTACCAGATTATAGCTAAACAGCTAGTTTCCATTGTGTATGAACTGTGCTATACAAATAAACTTGCCTTGCCTTGTCATTCAAAATGTCACAATACATGGCCCCATTCATTCTTTCCATTACACAGATCAGTTGTCCTGGTCCCTTTTCAGAAAAACAGCCACAAAGCATGATGTTTCCATCCCCATGCTTCACAGTAGGTATGGTGCTCTTTTGGATACAACTCTCCTCCAAACACGACAAGTTGAGTTTTTACCAAAAAGTTTTATTTTGGTTTCACCCGACCACACGATATTCTCCCAATCCTCTTCTGGATCATTCTAATGCTCTCTAGAAAACTTCAAACGGGCCTGGACATGTACTGGCTTAAGCAGGGGACACGTCGTGCACTGCAGGAATTGAGTACCCGGCTCGTAGTGTGAACGATGGTAGCTTTTGTTACTTTGGTCCCAGCTCTCTGCAGGTCATTTCCAAGGTCCTCCGGTGTGGATCTGGGATTTTTGCTCACTGTTCATGACCTTTTTGACCCCACTGGATGAGATCTTGCATGGAGCTCCAGATCAAGGGGGATTATCAGTGGTCTCGTATGTCTTCCATTCTCTTACTAATTGCTCCCACTGTTGATTTTTTTCACACCAAACTGCTTACCTATTGCAGGTTCCCAGTCTTCCCAGCCTGGTGCAGGTCTACAATTTTGTTTCTGGTGTCCTTTGAGAGCTGTCAGCACTTTTGGTCATAGTGGAGTTTGGAGTGTGACTGTCTTTAATACTAATAACGAGTTCAAAAAGGTGCCATTAATACAGGTAACAAGTGGAGGACAGAGGAGCCTCTTAAAGAAGAATTTCTGGATTTTTTATCTCATTCTGTCTCTCACAGTTGAGGTATACCTATGATGGAAAATTACAGGGCTGAGAAGAACTGGGAGAACTTGCACAACTGGTGGCTGACTAAATACTTTTTTGACCCAATGTATATGCGATGTACTGGTATCAGCAAGTCTCTGCAGCTAAGCGCTTCATAATGTCTTTAAGTCCAAAAAAACCAAAACTGCATTGATAAAACCACAGACTCACTGCCACAAAGAAGTCATGTTAAAGCAGCGGACCCACACACCTGATGCAGTTCCTCTTGTGTGCCCTGTCTGGATAATGCCATAATTGTCCTGAAGTCCAGAACGTGTAGTCCCAAAGTTATTTTGTGAATTAAAATGTCTGAGGATGATAGTCGCTGTTCCCACCGCGGACCATGTCTGGAGCCTAGACAAGCCACTTGGTCAAACAGCAAAGTTTTCTTTCTTTTATTTTTACAACTGAAACTACGACTATTTTACAGATTGGGTCGGAGCAATCATTTAGATACATCCTTCCTTGTTCAATCAAATTGACCTCTGAAGGGGCGTTCACACCGGACTTAACTTCGGCGTCAAAAGCGTCAGGTTTGCATTGAAAGGGAATGACGCCGAAGCTGAGCGAAGCTGAGCAAAGCTGAGCTTTTGAAGCTTTGTCACGGGCTTCAACCAATCAGGAGGCGAGGAGCAGAGGCAGCAGAGGGTCTGTCTCTGTCATGAAGAGAAGTCATGTATCTGCTGCTGCTGTTTTATTGTCATTATTGTTATTAGTAATATTATTTGTTTGAGTACTAACGTTCTGAGTAACAAAAATGATACGTAGTATATTAAATAAACGTAGTTTATTTAATATAAGAACAGGCTGACGATGAGTCTGGCTCAGAGCAAAGCAGCTCCGGGCGGGCGAGAGCCGGGGAGAGGCAGGGAGAGACGAGCGAGAGCCGGGGAGAGGCGAGAGCGAGGTGGGGAGAGGCAGGGAGAGGCGAGAGCGAGGCGGGGAGAGGCGAGCTCCGGGGTTTGAGAACTCAGACTGGGCGAGTGACATGCGGAAGTACCGCTGAAAGCGAAACTCCTCCGTACGCAGCTCCTGGAGTAAATGACGAAACTCTGCAAACACTGCAGCCTCTCAAGTCTGTGGTGAACCCAGAACATGTTTTGTTGAAGCCCTACAACAACGTTATTTTGCTTTATATAACAAATAAAGGCTCGCTGCTCATTGAAAAATCTACCGCTGTCCTGACTACAGACAACAGAGAAGCTCCTCCCACCGGCGTCAGGCGCGTCACTCGCGTCAAAAGCTTCAAGCAACAAAATGACAAAACTATCCAGGCGTCAGTTGAAGCGCGTCAAAAGCTTTTTGAAGCTTTTGGTCTGAACGCGCCTTCATGAAAATGTTTGGAAATGTTTAGATGCAGCAATGTCCTTTACAGAAAGTGCGAGTGGATTTACAACATTAAGTTCAAGAAGTTTATTTATCCCAAGCTTTTGGTTAAAAAAAAATATTCTTAAAGAAATAAATAGTGCAATCATAAATAGTAAATGCAAGGGTTGCTGTACCTGTGTTCTTTCGAATGACAGAAATGAACTTGTTTTTGAAGAGACTGATTGTAGCTGTTCAGAAACATGGCAATCAAACCCCACGGTGGGCACAGTTAGATTTTGCGTGTAGTTTTCAGAAACTTTTGCAACTCTTCCCTGTGCAAAAAAAAAACAAACAGATTAAGTACAGTAAAATTGGGTGCTGGGAAATGAATCAAATGTGATTGATCAATTTGAGTTTTTATTGGTAGACAACAACTGAATTGGGTTATTCAAAGAGCAGGTAACAGAATGAGATGAGAATGAGAAAACACCATACATCAGGGTTCTCTAACTCAATTTATCTGGGGCCGCAGAGGTCGAGTCTTAAGGCTGGGCCATATAAAGGTGTATTTTTATCACGTGTTTGCAAGGTATATGGACATAAGAGGAAACAGATCTAGCACATGTAGATGGAGAATTAAACCACTAAAAAATCAATTTACTTTCCACACACTGTTTAGCTCCTAGATTGACCACCCCCATCTTCTCATTCTTTAAAGGTACACTCAGTAATTCTTACATTCGTCTTGCATTGAGATCATATATTGCTGTCAACTGTCTAGCGCCACGCAGGTTATGGGACACAGACATGCTGCAGGACTGCACTCCTGGATGAGAACTTCACTCGAAAATCTGCTAGCTTAAACGCGTTTATTAGCCCAGACTCTCAGCGGAGGCCGGACTGACATTAGTTCACTTCAGTTTATTTCTTCTTCTTCTTCGATCACCACATTCAAAATAAATTTGACATATTGGTATACAGACAGATGCTAATAGATGACCGAAGGGGTTTAGGCTGAAGTATAAACTTATTTTGCCTAAGCCCGAACATTAAACTTATCCAAATACTGATGGTCATCCCATTCCCTGGGGACCAATAGTAGTATTGCATTTCCTGTGTTTGATTCTGAGATCTATGTTGGCGAAATGAAAACACGACTGTTGTTGTGATTTAGGGCTACACAAAATGAATTCGATTACACTCAGGTGGGCTCTAATCTGAAAAAGGTAAGCAATCAGCAGAAAAGCATTGCAATGCTGTATAAATACCACACTTTTAAATCACGTATTGATTTCCTTTTAAAATTGTTTGTGGTAAACATGACAGGATGTGCAAATGTTTAAGTTGTATCAGTACTTTTACAAGCCACTGTAAATGTTTTTTGTAATACATAATACATTTTTTTCAAAACTACTAAACAAAAGAAATATGAATTGTTTTCTATGTCATTAAATCTTTTTCCATTTTACGTCTATTCACAGCTATAAAGTACAATGGTTTCATAGCAGGTCATAAAGGATGAAAGATAAACACATAATCTTACCTTTGTAATCTTTACAACTACAATGTACCCTGACTTCCCATGGTACCAACAATTTTGATCCAAACAGTCAGAGTACATTGACAGATATACACCTACACAACACACAAGACATTGTTATAGTCAAGTACAGCATAATACAACACTTTGGTTGAATAATAAACTTTTCTTTAGTTTAATTATCCTACTAGTATAGTCAAATATATGCGTGTATTCATGATAAAGTGTCAGTTAAAGTAACACTGAGTCACTGAGTCTGATTTAATAAATGGTTAAGTAAGAGAGTTTATTGTCCCCAAGGGGATAAGGAAATTCTTCTTCACATTCACATAAGTATGCTGGTAATGAATAACTTGCTGCAGAACATGAGGTGGGGCAGGAACTATACCAGGCTAGGTTTGTGTGTTGGAGAACAAGTTTCAAGTCGCACTGCTTACAGCGCTAACAACACTACAACTGAGCACCAAGGAGTGTTCGATGCAACTCATGTATGACTTTCAGTCTCAGCCATCAACTTCTAAGTCAGGCTTTGTTGGTACATGGATCAGGTTTTTCTTGAAAAACAAGTTGCAGAAAACATTGAGCAATGCTGCAGCAGAGTGGAATAAGTTTGATTCCACTGAGTTATAACAAGTTATAACAATACTTAGCATATCTACATCTAACTATTGTCACACAACTCACTATTCTTTTCCAACTTAATAATTCATTTGAATTACTTATATGGTTTACAATGTATTTCTCTTTCACTTTCAATTGTCTGAACTTTCAAAAGCAAAGTCCTCATCTGTCACACACTCATAAATTGGAGAATGTGGAGATGTTTTAAAAGAAAAGCAAAAATGACACAAAACATGACATTATGATGACATTGCACTACTTACAACATACACTTTCCGGTTAGCTCTACTATGTAAGCATTGCTAATGTTGTCCTCCTAAGACATTGAGGCTCTGGATATGTTGATCACCCCTAATTACTACTCGTTCTGGTGAAAGTAATGAGTCTTTCAAGCAACACGATTTCCCATTCCAAGCATGTCTGAGAAGGTCTATTTTTAGGGTTATGTTGACTGTAACTCATTAATTTCTACTATAGATTGAATGTGTACATGCTCAGTTTACCCTTTGTGGGATCTCCCAAAGTTGTACATGTCCCATTTTCAGCTAGTACGCCAGTATCTCCAATTGATTTTGCCTTCAGAATGAAAAATGGTTAGTAGTAATAAGATAATGTATTCAAGGTGGGGCTTCAAGATAGGCTTCCAGTTAGTCAGATGCCTACCTTGCTCAATTCATCAAACAATAAAAACCCGTAGGTTTCCTTCAATTCTGTGTCCAAATAGCCTTGTTCGACTCTTTTCTCTCGACAGGCATTGTACTAATAAGAAGCAATAAACATTTGTTTATAAAAATAAAAATATTTTTATTATTATTATGTATTCAGTAAGTTATCAAATGGAATACATTAGAATGGTAAATAAAGTGAACTCACCCTGTTTTCTAATGCCGCATTCTTGATCAGAAAAGCAGATGTGTATCTGAAAGAATGGCTCGATTCCTCAAACAAATACGCACTTTGAAGTGGTAACAAAATACTGTTTTGAAAGACTTCAGAATCCAGTGGGACAGGTATGAAAACACCTTTAAAACAACGAAAAAGAGAGAAAAAAAAGAGAGGGATTAGAGCCAGCACGAACGAGTCCTAACCCAAGAAACCACAAGCCAAAAGTATTTTCACTTTCGGCTTGTTCAGAAAAGTTGTAAGTTCAGTAAGTGGGACTAGTGGCGGCAGCGGACACACCATTAGAAAACATTACGTCCCAAATCCACCTAACAATTCCAGTTTCCTATTGTAGATATGTAAGTAAGCCTTTGTTACACTTATGACATATTGACAGATAAAAACCTGTGTTCGACGAAGCGTCACTTTCCATTGCTCAATACTTATGGAATCTGTCCTTCTCCTTTTGCCATGGGTGAAACTGTTCTTCACTCGGAAAACATAATGACATTCACAAGAGCAGTCGACAAACCGAAGTCAAAATGTAGTTTACGTGTCTCTTGTCCTTGAAAAGACGTTGTAAAGACAGTCAAACGACAATACGGAAGTTAAACATCGTCACAGTATATAACGCGTGTTTCAAGTAAGTACCCAGCAAATAAACACTTTTCCATTTAAAGGTTATTCTGTCTCTATCACGTAGTCTTTGATCCTCCGCGTGATTTGTATATAACGTGGGGCTGAACCGCACTGTTCCGAAAAAGAAAGAGAAACCTATCTATCCCAAAGCATCCATCTTGAAAGCGTAAACCAACTGAGGCGCTGTTGCAACTGGGGCACAGGCGGCAGAGCTCCGTCCTGGTGGTGAGACTTTGCTCTTTTACCCGCGGCACACACAGATCTGCATAACGTAGGATTTCTATTGACCCCATAGATAGTGGCTTGCAAATATTGTGCGTATATTTTAATGGAATGTTTGACACTGTAGCCTACAGAAAGCTTGTGCATGGTTAAGTTTTTGCAACTTTTGATACCACAGATATTATACAGACTTGGGCAAATTACGGCCTGCGGGCTCCATGCGGTCCGTGGTCTACAGAAAAAAGTCAAGAACATTATTGTTTGCTCTTAACAATATTTAAAAAAAACATCCAGTCTACAATTGTATATGTTATATATGTATATATAATTATAATTTTCATACATGTATGTCTGTATGGAAGCCCGTTTCCTCTATGTAAAAAAAAAAAGACAGTCATAATATTGACTTTAAAACTTGAAATTACGACTTTAAAAGTAAAAATTCTGACTTTTAAACTGCGCATGTGCAGTTGCTGCCCCGAATGTATTGTTGTCTGGAACGGTCTCTGGATATCCTTTACCTGCAGGTTATGTTGAAGATATTGCCTACAGCAGTGGTCACCAACCTTTTTGAAACCAAGAGCTACTTCTTGGGTACTGATTAATGCGAAGGGCTACCAGTTTGTTACACACTTAAATAAATTGCCAGATATGGCCAATTTGCTCAATTTACCTTTAATTCTATGTTTTTACTAATAATTAATGATATTTATTTTGTGGAAAAACTTTTATATTTTCTCTAAGTGCACATTTTTCAAATTTAACAAATGATCACTTCTAAGACAGTCCCATTTAATCGCAATTAATCACATTTTAATCGCATATAAATATTTGACCTGAGAACAGTGAGAAGTAATTTTTTTCACATGGATTTTTAGTTTACCATTGAATAATGACTGAATACATGAGGCTTAAAGTGGTTCTCACCCCCGCTCCTCGGAGCTTACGTCACTCACATTTCCTGTTCAAATCTTCCTCTAAATGGGCGTAGCCTGGAGGACATGCAGGGGGCGTGAACAAGACTGGGCCGTTTACATTGCTCTGGGCGGGGGGCTGCTGACGTCAGGTCCAACTTGCAGACGTCAGGTCCAACTTCTGTGCCAGTGTTGGCGCCAGATTCAAAATTCAAATGTAGTAATACAGGTCGCCAGCAGATGGCGCCTCACAGAGGGTTTTAGGCAGAAAGTCTAACTTCCAACTAATTTGCACCAAAGTGACAAAATTATGACCAGGATATGTAGACAACACTATTGGACACTCATTTATACCGTTTATCAGCAAAAAAAAGTGCATTTGAGGGTGAGTTGTCCTTTAATAAGCAACACATGTTAATATGGAGTTTAAGGGATAACTTCTAAACATCAAATAACGTTTCTGTCATTGCCTCCACACTCTGACGACAACATATGCTCCTCCTCCTCCTCACACTGACGACAACATATGCTCCTCCTCCTCCTCCTCACGCTGACGACAACATACTCTTTTTAAGCCCAAAATCCACTGCACACGCTGTGAGCACTAAAGCTGGGCATGCGCTGTTTGCTAAAGCTTTTATAATACGTTTTTGATGTGTGCATTCGGAGTAAACATCAGCATTAGCAGCTCACACACCTGTGTCTCGCTCCTCCTTCTCCTTCTCCTCCTCCTCCGCTCACACAGGAGTCACTGCTCCTCCTCCTCACACACAGAGTCCATCGCTCCATACACAGCGCTCATTCCCGTCTAATTTACTCGAATTTAAAGTTGGTCTCTGCTTGTAATAATGTACTTTTGAACAAGAAAAGTCACGGAGCTCCGGTTGGTGCGTCAGTTCAATTGGTCCGTCTGAAACTTATTCAGTGAGGAACGTTCCGCGGTGCAAAAATACATACGATTAAAATGCGTAATTTTTTTAACGCGCTTTTTTGTGTGTAATTAATTAATCTTTATTAACTTGTTAAAGTCCCGGCTCTAGTTTATATGCCATTTGTAAGTTGCATGTAAGTATGATTTAAACAAGAATAGCACTGGTAAGTGCTGCCATTTGAGCTATTTTTAGAACAGGCCAGCGGGCGACTCATCTGGTCCTTGCGGGCGACCTGGTGCCCGCGGGCACCGCGTTGGTGACCCCTGGCCTACAGTGACCACTGCATCCACGAAGTAGCCAGCAATAATGTTGGGGCAGTAATCGCGTTAAAATGCTTAACCTAAATGGACTGTGGAAGATTAATAATAAAACACATGCGGCTGGTCACATTCATTGAGCATCAACTGGTGACATCTGGTCAGTATCATGGCTATCGATGGATGCACCAGAAATGCAGTGAATAAAATTGTGACTGACAGAGAGACTGTTCGCGACTACTGGACAGTGAGGGAGGTCCGCAAACAGAGGCAGGTGAACCACAGTCGCGGGCCGTGACAATATTTAACCTTTCGGAATTGCGATCATTGCATTGAAGAGTATGTGACGTGAGTGTGTGCGTGCGCGTGGCCAAAACGTGAGTGTGCTCTGGAGTACTGGGTAAAACAAATAAATAAACAAATAAATAAAAAGACAGCTCCCCCATGCGTCCTACGACCACGGTCCGGGGGCTTAAACAGGAAAGTTTTACAAAATCAATGCCCCAACATTATTGCTGCTTCTTCATGGATGCAGTGGTCACTGTAGGCAATATCTTCAACATAACCTGCAGGTAAAGAATGTCCAGAGACCGTTCCAGACAGCAATACATACGGGGCAGCAACTGCACATGCACAGTTTAAAACTCGTAATTTTGTCTTTCAAAGTCGTAATTTTGACTTTTAAAGTGGTAATTTTGGGTTTTAAACTCGTAATTTTGAGTTTAAAACTCAAAATTATGACTTTCTGTAGGCTTTTTTTTTTACATGGGGGAAACGGGCTTCCATATGTCTGGGTCTGATCCTAGTGGCTGCGGTTACCTCGGGTGTATCCCATCCGACCGTTCAGCGAGTGGGGGAGGCGGGTGCTGCCAGCAATGAAACTTGCTGGCAAAGATTTTGTGGCTCTACTAACCACGGGCTCCGTTAGTGGCTCAAAAAAAAAAAAAATCTTGTGCGCACAAGATACTATCCTGTGGGAACAAGATATTATCTCTATCAAGATATTATTGTGTGCAAAACATGACTTTTTCTTCTTCTTTTTGGAACTTAAGAAGCTCCGTACATAGGAGTTCTGTTATGTTTGTCTCTTACATAACTTTTAAGAAGAACATACAGAAAACTCCGGTGACTTCAGTAACGTCTTTACTTGTCAGGTGTCATTCAAAGTACAAGATATCAGTACGCTACCCGCGTACTCGTTACATATGCGCTGTGCGTATACTCGAGAGAAAGTAGTCCCTACTGTTGTAATCAATACATAACAATTCCTCCCTTCCAGCTTTTATGCTCTTATCAAACAAAAATCAAAAGTAAGATAAATGGTTACTTGAATAACAACTTCAATAACAAAAGCACATTTAAATGCATAACATTTTTGTTTTGTTACAACACTTGGTTTATACAACACTTTTAGTCTATGAACCAAGTCTGTCAGGAGGTTTGCGGTGCCTCTCAGGATATCTGCGTCCCGGAGGATCAGACAGGTTTATGACAAGTCTGGGACAGTCCATAGTTTCTGGTGTGGAGTTGGTTTCCACTGTCATGTCTGGTGGTAATGTACTGTCCTTTTGACTTGGGACAGTTGGTGTCACTGGTGGGTTTGCGTCTTTTCCAGGTGATGCATCCAAAAGTTGATCGATATGTCTGCGCCAGACGACATTAGGTTCCACACCTACAGTGTAAGAGAGTGGTCCAGTTTGTGACAAAATCTCAGCATGATGCCAATTGTCACTTTGGTTGCGATAGTCTCTAGCCAGCACTTTTTGTCCAATATCAAATGATCGTAGTTTTCGTTGTTGTTGAGTGGAAGAACTTTGTTTGTTTGTAACATGTTGACGGATGTCAGGTTTTAATAGATCCAAACGAGACCTTAAGTTTCTTCCCATAAACAACATTGCAGGTGATTGTCCAGTTGTTGTGTGTGGCGTATTTCGGTATGCCAGTAGAAAGTTGGCAATTTTCTGCTGCAGCGGCACTTCCTCTTTCCTACTTGCTTTCATGGACTGTTTAAAAGTCTGTACGAAACGCTCAGCCAGTCCATTGGTTGCTGGATGGTGAGGAGCAGAAGTGATGTGTTTTATTCCATTGTTTTTCAGGAACATTTGAAACTCTTCACTGGTAAACTGTGTTCCATTATCGCTAACTAGTTGAAGCGGGTAACCAGTACGTGCAAAAAGCATTTGCAGTTGGGCCACTGTTTTAGTTGTAGTTGCCTTGTTTACTGTAAAAACTTCAGGCCATTTTGAGTGTGCATCAACCACAATAAGGAACATATGTTCCATAAAGGGTCCAGCATAGTCCACATGTAGGCGTTGCCATGGAGCTGTTGGCCATTCCCAAGTGTGGACAGGAGCAAGCTGAGGTTGTCGCTGGGTTTGTTGGCAACCTGTGCATGTTTTCACAAGAGTCTCTATTTGGTTATCAAGGCCAGGCCACCACACATAACTTCTAGCAAGGCTTTTCATTTTAACAACCCCCATGTGTCCATCATGCAGTGAGCTAAGCACTTTTGAGCGCAGTTTGGGTGGTACAATGACACGTGAACCCCACATTACACAACCGTGGCACACAGTGAGTTGATCTTTCCTTGTAAAGTAATCTGACAGTTCAGTGTCTGTATGAGTGGGCCAACCACTTACAGTTAAGTCATACACTTTAGATAGCAGTGGGTCATTTCTTGTTTCTTTGTTTATTTGTGCACTAGTCACTGGGAGAGGTTCCATTTGCAGCATGTGAAGGGTTAAAGCAGGGTCGGTGCCTTTACCTGTGTTTGGCTGAGGAAGGCGGGATAATCCATCTGCATTTCCATGTTGCTCTGTTCCCTTGTATTCAATGGTGTATGTGTGAGCTCCCAGAAAGAGAGCCCAACGCTGTAGACGAGCTGCTGCCATTGCTGGAACACTTTTCTGAGGATTGAAAATGGAGACTAATGGCTGGTGATCTGTAATCAGAATAAAATGCTTTCCATACAAATATTGGTTAAACTTTTTTACTCCCCATACTAAGCTTAGAGCTTCTCTGTCTATTTGTGCATAATTACGCTCTGCCGGTGACAAAGAGCGTGATGCAAAAGCAATGGGGCGTTCTGAGCCGTCAGTCATTTTGTGTGACAAAACGGCACCAATGCCGTATGGTGAAGCATCACAGGCATGTCGTAGGGGCAACTTTGGGTCAAAGTGTGTCAAAACTTTGTCTGAGATAATGAGTCTTTTTGCATTTTTAAATGCTTCATCACAGTCATTAGTCCAATTCCATTTAGCGTTTTGATGGAGAAGACCATTTAGTGGGTGGATCACAGATGACAGATTTGGCAAAAACTTGTGATAATAGTTAAGAAGGCCAAGGAAGGATCGCAGTTGACTCACATTTTCAGGTTGTGGAGAATTCACTACGGCCTCGACTTTATCTTGTGGTTTGTGTAGTCCATTCTTGTCTATCTTGTGTCCACAGTACTCAATACATTCTTTGAAAAACTCACATTTCTTTTTATTTGCTTTAAGTCCATATTCCTCAAGTTTGTTGAGAACCGCATCTAAGTTTGCTAAATGCGAAAATTTGTCTGGGCCAGTGACTATGATGTCATCCAGGTAACATTGTGTACCTGGGATCCCTTGTAACACCTGGTCCATTGCACGTTGCCAGATTGCTGGGGCACTTGTAATGCCAAATACAAGTCGGTTGTATTGGTACCCTTGTGAGTGTTGATGGTGAGGTACTTCCGTGAACTCTCATCCATCTCCATTTGCAGATAGGCCTGAGCAAGATCTATTTTTGTGAAGTGCTCACCATTTGCTAGAGATGCAAAAATGTCATCAATGCGGGGAAGTGGATAATGGTCTGCGTGCAGTACCGGGTTAACGGTTACCTTGAAGTCCCCACAAATACAAACTCGTTCTGAAGACTTCTTGGCCACTGGAACGATTGGTGTTGCCCATTCAGACCAATCCACTTTCGTTAAGATCCCCTGATCCATTAGATGTTGTAGCTCAGCTTCAACCTTTGGACGTAGTGCATATGGCACTGGACGAGCTTTGTGAAACTTTGGTTTTGTGTCTTTTTGAAGGTCTAGACACGCTTTAATGTGTTTCATGGTCCCTATGCCCTCACTGAACACTACTCTGTGGTTGTCTAATATTTCTGAGAGTTGTTTCTCTTTGTGTTGTTTGGAAGCCAGGCTCATGGTCTTTATTTCTGGCCAGTTCAGTTTAATTTGTCTTAGCCATTGACATCCGAACAGTGGCGCGCCTCCCTCTTTGAGAACGAACAGTTCAAGGTTACTTGTTTGCTTTTTATATTTCACCTTAACATTCAGTTTTCCCAGAGGCTCAACTCTTTCACCTGTGTATGTCTTAAGTTTCACATTTGTGCGAGACAACTTCATTTCTGGAAAGTTTTTAATGTAATCTTTCTTGGATATTAGTGACAGTGCTGATCCCGTGTCCAGTTCCATTTTTAATAGCACACCATTGACTTTCGGTGTCAACCATATTATATCACTGTCATCCTCTTTAGTGGCATACAGTCCAAGACAAGACAGTTCCTCTTCACTTGAGCTATCTGACTCAGTTTCCGTTACTTTATGAAGTTTTTGTCCCCTTTTTGCACTAGAGTTTTCTTTATTGTTGCTGTATTTCGCTTTACACATTTTCTGTATATGCCCTCTTTTGTTGCATTGTCTGCAATATTTATCTTTAAACCAACATTCAGCTGGGTCATGTGACTGTTTACCGCATCTGAAGCAAGGCTTTGATTTGACACTTTGCTGCTTTGAGTGCAGTTTGTACACGGAGCATGCAGCGGGCTGTTTACCTTGTAGTTCAGTGGCGTCTCTTGCTGCGGTTTCCACTGACACAGCGATATCCACCGCACGCAGTAAGGTGAGCCTTTCTTCTGTTAAAAGGCGTTTTTGTGTACTCTCGTTATGCAGACCACAGACGAACCGGTCTCTCAGTGCGTCAGATAGTCCCTCTCCGAACTGACAATGTTCCGCCAGTCTTCGCAGATCTGCGATGTACTCTGACACTGTCTCAGTCTTTGCTTGGTTTCTCTTATGGAATCTGAAGCGCTCCGCGATCACTAGCGGTGCTGGATTCAAATGATTTTTGAGTGTTCTTGTAATCTCCTCAATAGTTTTGTCTGCGGGTTTGGCTGGTGCGATGAGGCTGCGGAGGAGGTTATACGTCTTCGCTCCCATGAGACTCAGAAGAACCGCGACTTTCCTCTCATCCTCTATCCCGTTAGCAAGGCAGTACTGGTCAAATCTTTCAACATAAATTGACCAGTCCTCTATGGAGCTGTCAAATGTGTCCATATGTCCAACAAATCCCGACATTCTGTCACTTTATTGCGTCCGATTACTGTAACGGTACTTCGTCCCCACCTCCCGTTAGTTTGTCTTCGGAGTGAGCCAACGAAAATTTCTCTCACCAAACCAAGTCCATTTTTACCCTTTTTACTTGCCGTTATTCATCCAGAGGCTTTTATGGGTTCTTGTAAATCCTCGTCGCTAGTTTTGTTATGTTTGTCTCTTACATAACTTTTAAGAAGAACATACAGAAAACTCCGGTGACTTCAGTAACGTCTTTACTTGACAGGTGTCATTCAAAGTACAAGATATCAGTACGCTACCCGCGTACTCGTTACATATGCGCTGTGCGTATACTCGAGAGAAAGTAGTCCCTACTGTTGTAATCAATACATAACAAGTTCTTTTAAGTTTTTAGATAGGCACTGATTAAACTGTCTTTGGAAAGTAGCATGTTTAGAAAGTAGAGCAATTTTATACTGTTACTGTTTATCCCACCAGGAAATCTGAAGAACACCAATGTTTTTTCATGTTCAATGTTGGGCTTAGTCTCAAGAAGAGGCACCCTCCCTATGAGAGAGATCTGGAGAAGTTGGCCAAAGAAGAGTGGGCCAAAATTACAGCTGAAATGTGTACAAAATTGGTTGATTGTAACACCAGTTCCTAAGGGGTTTTCAATCAATCAATCAAATTTGTATTTGTCGAGCACATTTAAAACAGCCTAGGCTTACCAAAGTGCTGTACAGACAGAAAAAAAACAGCACAATAAAAACACATCAAAAAAAGTTTTTTGGACTGATGAGAAATTGTGTGTGATCTGGGCTTTTAGTCAGGCCACTATAATCAACTCAAACCACCTCTTAGACTTTGTCCGTTAATATATACAGTCTATGGTCTCTACGAATGTTTATACATTTATTACATTATATTCAAACAAAATCAATACATTAAAACCCACTGATGTCTGCTGTTGTTGTGTCCTTGGACAAGACACTTAACCCCACTTTGCCTGAAGCCCCGCTGAAAGATCAAGGCTGTGCCATAGAGCAGCCATCCTCCTGTGCAATCACCACGTGCAGGAGGATCAGTGATGGGCTGGTGCCATGTGTGGGTGGCATCTCTGGCACCCCCTTGATATTTAAAACATTGATTGCAGGTGACTTGCTTTTTTCTAATTTAAAGATTTTAATTATTCTTCTTTATTAATGGGGCCAGAAGGGTAGGGTAGTGTGGTTATGTTTAATAAAAGTCTCATTTGGCAATTTGGAGCGCACCATTTTGATTTATAGGGCACCAAATTCCACAGGTTTTATTACAAAGTTCTCAGAATTTACGTGAATTGTGATCAGCTCATCGTACTGCTGCTCTAATACTTTCTAATCAGTTGGAACTCTCTTAGTTTGACAGATATTGTTGTAATATACAATTGTTGTATTGTAACCGACACAGGACAAAGGTCACGCGGTGCATTGTGACCTCTCCAATGACACAACCCTTTTCATAACCAGCATGAAGCACAGTGCACTCTCTTCCACCATAAAGTGTTATTTTTCAATTTCACATTAGCTCAATCAATCAATCAAATTTTATTTATAAAGCGCTTTTCATACAAAAGATGCAACACAAAGTGCTTTACAGTTTGGTTAAAAACAATCCCGCCGACCCAAGACCCCTCCCCCAGACCACCCAACAGACCCACCCCAAACCACAGACAAACACACACACGCGCTCATGAACACTCATACACACACACACACACACACACACACCAGTAAAACAATAAAACCATGATGAGAGACTTGGCAGGGTTCAGATGCAACCAGCTGAAAAAGCGTCATCCAAGGAGCCGTCTGCACCAGGAGCAGAGAGCCGCCCGTAGCCACAGGCAACGACACAGGACCCAGAGGAGACATGAAACCGAGGCCCCAGGCCCCCACCAGGCCCAAGAGTCCGACCCCCGCAGCCACACCGACCACTGCTCCCAGTGCAGAGGGCTCCTCCAGAGGAAACACTGGGTACACTAAAAACAATACAATAAGTAAAACACTAAAATGTGAGACTAAAAGGAACACACAATACATGAATAATAGCAATAGCAATATAATAAATAATAAATAATAAAAGATAAATAGAATGGAATAATAAAAACTAATCAAAAGCTAATCTAAAAAAGTGTGTCTTGAGCCTACTTTTAAAAATATGAACGTTCTCTGCGGCCCTGAGCTCCTCCGGCAGACTGTTCCAGAAACGGGGGCCGTAGTGCTGGAAAGATGCCTCGCCGTGAGTGTGTGTCCTGACTTTGGGGATGGTTAGGAGTCTGCTGCCGGAGGAGCGCAGGGGCTGGGAAGGTTCATAGGATAAAAGCAAATCTGAAAGATAAGAAGGCCCAAGACCACTAAGACATTTAAAAACCATTAAAAGAACCTTAAAATCGATTCTGAAACACACGTGGAGCCAATGCAGCGATTTTAAAACCGGTGTAATGTGGTCCCGCCCCCTGGTCTTAGTCAGGACACGTGCGGCCGAGTTTTGGAGTAATTGAAGACTTGCAATGTTCTTTTTGGGTAGACCAGAGAGCAGGGCATTACAATAGTCAATGCGACTGGTGATAAAAGCATGCATCAGCGTCTCCGTGTTGCCCCGAGAGAGAATGGGGCGGACTCTGGCGATGTTCTTTAGATGATAAAAACCTATTTTTGTGATACTCTTGATGTGAGGAATAAAAGTCAGCTCAGAGTCAAAGATTACGCCCAGATTTTTCACTTGTGATGATGGATTAAAAGAGTGTGATTGGAGTTTTGATAAAAGTTTCTCTCTCTGGGCCTCAGGACCGATGACTAAAACCTCAGTTTTGTCCTGGTTAAGCTGGAGAAAGTTTTCTGCCATCCAGGATTTCAGGTCTAAAATGCAGTTAAAAAGAGCATCCATTGGCCTGGTGTCATCAGGAGACATGGAGATGTACAGCTGTGTATCATCTACATAACTGTGGAAGTTAATTCCATGTCTCCTGATGACACCGCCAAGAGGGAGCATGTACAGGTTAAAAAGGACTGGACCTAAAATGGAACCCTGGGGCACACCACATGTGATTTTATGGACCTGAGAGGAGCAGGTATCCAAACTTACCATGAAGGATCTGTCTGTTAAATAAGAAGTGAACCATTTGTGGACAGCACCAGAGAGGCCGAGGTGTTGTAGCCGTGATAAAAGAATGGTGTGGTCTACTGTGTCAAAGGCAGCGCTAAGATCCAGTAGAACCAACACAGTCACCTTTTTGAAATCATAACTTAGTCTAAAATCATTTAAAATCTTTAAAAGAGCAGTCTCTGTGCTGTTGTTCACCCTAAAACCTGATTGAAATGTCTCTAAAATTTGCTGTTGATCTAAAAACGCATTGAGCTGGGTAAAAACAAGTTTTTCTAAAATTTTGCTTAAAAATGGTAAGTTGGATACCGGTCTGTAGTTGTTAAAATCATTAAAATCTAAATTGCTCTTCTTCAGAAGGGGTCTCACCACAGCCGCTTTGAAGGCTGCAGGAAAGACCCCAGTCTGAAGAGAGCAATTCATCAGGTTTAAAAGCATCAGGTTTACTCGCGGTGAATTTTTGAAGTCTCTTGTTCAAATGAATGGAGCTGCGCCGGCTGACGCATGCGCAGATGCGTTTTTTCACAATTTTCTTGTGGGCGGGACCACTTGCGGCCATTTTGGATTTTCATTTGAACAAGAGACTTCAAAAATTCACCGCGAGTAAAATAGAGTGGACCAAAAAAATCCACCCCCCTCAGCATTGACACACATGTGGAACGGAGCTTTGGGCCAAGAGCCAACTTTTGGTCCATCCTGTAAAGACGTTTTTGAGAGGTCTGCCAACGCTATATGTTAGCATTGGCTAATTCTTCTTCTGGGTCCACCCCCATCGGCCCGGGGTGGTATTGCAAGCATGTCAGCACACGTCATTTTGGCCACTTTTGAGCCGGGACCCGCCCCCACTGGTTTTGACGCTCGAAACCAGTCACCATTGACTTTGCATTGAAAGCAGACCGGTCTGAACGCGGCATTAGTATGAACACCCGTAGGTGCGTACTGGGCGGATCTCGGCGGATCTCACACGTTCATAAATCCCACGTTGGATCTTGCGTATTTTGAATCTACACCCCAAACTTACACCTTTTTTGCGCAAGTTTCATAAAAGAGAGCCATTGAGCCAATGAAGTGTATGTATGCCACGCCTACAGCTAGAGTTAAAGCAAATGGATTGCTCTCAGAAACATTTAATTTAAAAAGAGGAATAAGACAAGGGGACCCCATTTCTGCACAGATTTTTGCCATGTGCATCGAGCCACTAGCAGAAAGGATTAGGAAGAATAGAACAATAAAAGGAGTGACGGTCATCGATGAAGAACATAAACTAGCACTATACGCCGATGACATCATGGTGTATTTGACAAATGGGAAAGAATCCTTGCCAACCCTAATAGAAGAAATAAGGCTGTATGGGCTAATATCTGGTTATAAACTGAATCACAATAAAACTGAAGTTATGGAGATAGGAGAGCCACTAGACCTTGATTTTAAAAAACAATTTAAACTAAAATGGACATGTGACAAAGTTAAATATCTTGGAGTTAACATACCAATTAAATTAGATAAACTTTATGAAACCAATTACTATACCCTTCACACATCAATAAAGCGAGACCTTATCAGATGGAAAATGATCCCCCTAACTATTTTTGAAAGGGTTAAACTTATAAAAATGAACATTTTGCCCCGATACATCTTCCTTTTTCAGAACTTACCTCTCTATTTGGACAGACACATTTTAAAAGCATGGGAAGGACAACTCAGAAGTTTTATTTGGGATGGGAAAAAACCCAGAGTAAAAATGAAAAACCTCCAAAGAGAGAAAGAGAAAGGGGGCTTAGCGCTTCCTGACCTGGCAAACTACTTTCTCGCATCACAAATGAAAACAATATTAGATTGGATAAATGCACAGAAAAACACAC